TTAATATCTAACTTAACCATAGTTTTAGTACAAATGACAGTTCAGTCACTCAAAACTCTGATATGTGTCATGTCAAGATCTTAAAATCCATCCTAACCGTTAAAATATGGTCTGATAATGTATCTTAAATCCTAATCATCACTCAAAGTTTCAATGTCAAATTAAGATGGTGAAGTTCATCATCTCAATAACTCGAACTTCTCATCGGGAGACCTAGCTATTCGTCTAACTATGTATCTTATATAATCTCTTCATAAAATCAATTGTGTAGTACTCTCCCTCTTCATGCTAGATCATATGACCTACCTAATGCTATACCTTTTCTGAAAGAATGTGGAGGAGAGAGAGAGATATCATCAGAAACCAAACAAAGCACCAAAAAGGTTTCATAACAAACATTATTTTGCTAGGGTTCACTCTTTGATATGATCATTTGATCACATGCATGCCACCATTGTCAAAGAGTGGGGGAAAAAAGGCAGTGCTGGACACAAGGCAATAATTCCCTCCTCCTCATGAATCGATCGACGTAGATGATCAATCAAACAGACATGCAAAACCTAGATGCAATAAATCCAACATACTCATATATATAATACTATATTATGTTTGATTAATGAACTAATTAATGTTGGTCTGACTAAATATTATACAATTCAATGAATTCATGTATGGTTCCAAGACAACACGTACGAGAGTAATGTAATCCCATGGTTATATATGGGAAGCAAAATCTTATCAACCAAAGTTCGAGTTGTTCGAAAACTGGAAACCAGTTTGTCTGTGTTTTGTTAACCAATCTCCAAGCATTTCCCTCTGTTTCCTCAACTCTCCCATTATTTTTTACTACTACTTTTTTTTGACTTTGGGGTATAAAATGGGAAAAGCTTGTAACTTGTCATGTATGGACTTATGTGAAGAGAGAAGCATTGTTGGGAATCCCCATTGCACACACCCACCTTTTTTTACACCATTGGAATTGGGAAGTAAGTAATTCCATGCTAGGGTTTCCAATTCATGCAAATATTATAATATATATGGGTTCTTGAGAAAGAGATATCATGTATGTGTCATGCCATGTAACCATGCTTGCATGAAGATATGAATGAAATGATCATTTGTAGTTGTGCATCCATAAAAGGGGAAATGAAGGTTTATTTAGTGGGTTTCAAATTTGAATTCTACTTATAGCCGTTTGAATAGTTATATTTGGTGGGAATTTTCTGATATTGCTGTTGTGCTGTAAGAAGAAGAACGTATTTTCGACACGATATAACAACTAATTCGTAGCGGTGTCCATTGATGAGTGATTTAAGCAATATGTTGAGATACTACGGTGAGGCTTGTAAAAAACCCTGATAATCCTTAGCAACATATATTGACGGATGATTTGAGCACATTGACATAGCACAGTATTGAGGCTAGCTTGTACAAATTTGCCATTGCATTCTCACAAAAAGTTCATTAAGGACAACTCCTCATCATCAGTAAAAGAACACAACGTCTTGTGCTCACGATTGGTATAACAAGATTCGTGACTTCACATCTCCCAATATTTTGAGGATGAATAATCCGACTTATCGGGATTAATAGATTATATCATCATAGCATCATGCATTAGAGTCTTTAATTTATACAAGAGATCTGATGCCCGAGTACTTCTCACACGACCTCCTAATATTAACGGTTGATTTGAATATAACTGCTCATCAGCTATTAACTCCTCCGTCTTCGAGACCCAAATTCAATTAAGAGAAACTGGTGTAATAATTTACTCTTTTTTTTTTTTCCCTCTCTTCTCCTAGCTAGTTTTTATCGTGTAGTGGAATTTGGACAAAGCTCTGATCGTACAGTCAAACAACAGGAAACCTAGCTTAAGCTAAGCTGAGATTTTAGGAATGGTCAGTAAAAACAAGACACCACCACCACCACCACAACTACATGAATCTGGGGGCAGTGTTGTCAGTCACAATATGGCTGATGCACTGTTCTGCTGCAATGAGAGAGAAGAGAGAAGTTCTGTGGGTTCATCCTCAGGACCAAAGACATAATAGCAATGTAATGATTGATGATTTGTACTTCAACTGTTGCATGGCTCTTTACTTTCTACTGCCATCCATCCATCCATCTATCTGTATGACTCTTCCTCTGCCATCCATTTGAGCTTTCTCCATCACTTAATACTTAGGCACTATCTTTCCATTGTCCATTTGGGAAAAGGAACAAACTCCATTTCCACCCAACAACATTTGCACCATCCTTTTCTTTCTGCTTGCTATATACAGCTAGCTGCCCTGCTGCTCATGGTAAAACCCAGTGATGATATAGACTTATTTCCGACGAGTTAGATATATATCTAACTTGAACATAATTCGGACATTCATTGAGCTTGAGTTTTGGTTGGTAATGAATGCTATAAGCTTGTACACTGTAGAAGGAATCTACAGTGAAAGTAGTAGTAGTAGTGGGCAATTGTCTTCTTCTTTTTCTGTGTCTTGGCTTCAATGGGTTCCTTCATTTTGTGTTAGTTTGTTTGGACCAAAAGGGAAAAGATGAGCTACTTAGCTAGGAGAAAGAAGAAAACCTAAAGGTTGGCCTCCCCCCCCAAGGATAATATACAACCGAAATTATAAATTCGATGATCTAGTATCTAAACATTAATGGGTGCGCGAGTTTAATTCATTATTTCTTATATAACATTCATTTGTGTGATAGTTCGTGATTCAGTCAACCTAATCTATTTCAATAATCTCAAAATTCTAACATCGATCGAAGTCGCTTTACAATTGTGAAAAATATATTAGGAGATAGTACCATTGTACGTGGCTTTCTTTTAAAATATCCAACTTCCTTGCCGCAGAAAAAACAAGATAACATGACCAATCTACTTCAGTTACTGTTGCTCATCAATTTTTATTCTCGATTCATGATCAGTAGCTGTGGCAGAGAGAAAGACCAATATCAGAGTGACCATCCCTCTCTCCCAACAAACTGCATTTATTTGAATCCCTCCCGAAGGAAAACGAAGTTACTTTGGCCACATACTAAGGAGGACAATCACCTCTCTCTCTCTTTCCCTCTCTACATTTTGTACTTCTATGATGATCAGATGGGGTAATGAGTACCCCAAAATGTTCGTATAACTTTCGCATTTGTGCATAAATATTTTAATTTATCATGAAACTGATAGGGTGGTTCTGAAAATTTACGTTTTTCATATAAATGATATATAAGATTCGTTCTCTAACATCTCCTAACAATTCAAGTTATTGAAATTTGGAACCAACATTTCCATCCAAATTTCCATAACCCATAAATAATGCATCAAAATTAGTCCCAACTAAACATGGAACTATAGTGCAATATTTTGATGCTTTTTCATAGTGACTAGGAACTATTTTTATATTATGGAAGGTTTGTGACATAAATTTATCGTTTATTCTAGAATGAAAATATTTTTCATTATATATAACTCAACTACCATTTTGATAAGTTAGTCACCAATCTCATTTTGAAGCTCATTATTGACTCGCTTCATAGTATAAAGAATTCATTTCCACTGCTTGCAATTACGATATATGTGTCAATTACAATTTTTGGATGTCTGTTAGAGATCCTGGTTTCAAATTTTTATAATGACGAAATATGAATTTTTTTTTCACCGAAATCTCGGGTTGTGATGGATCACTTGACAGTTGACATAGCTCCCCCCTCACCTAAACAATCCAATCCATCGTTTTAACCCATAGGTAACATCAGTGTTGGAGCTAGGTTAAAGTTAGTAGGGGGCGTATTATAGCCCTCCTAAATTTTGAAATACAGGTAAATTACATGTAAAATTTGCTCAAACCATTTCGGACAATTACCCGCCCTGATCATCATCATCATCAGATGGGCGGTGGAGAAAGAAACTAAAAGTCTACTACTCCCCTCTTATTAATTACCCTCGAAGAACTTAGTTTGATCATTTTTCTGGTTTTGACAGTGCCTTTTTTAACTGAACCCCTGTTCCATGGAGGACGACGCGACCGTTTGACCGGTAGTGTTCCGAATTCTTTTGTTTTGTTTGTTTTCGTTTTGCTTATCCCAATTGCTTGGTCTCTTCTCTTCTCTCGTCACAGTGAAGATAATTATTGTTGGCGTTCAACGTTTTGTCTGTACAGCCAGCCAAACAATTAGCCAGCCAGACCAAATTGCTGTCGGTGTGAATCGTGTTAAAACAGAGCTACAGCTTTTGCCGACCAGACTGCCGTGGTTTTCTTAAATCAGAATCCGAAGCCAAAAGATAAGACTCTCTCTGGCTTGAATGTCTGTCGTCGACCTTGACTCCTCTACCCTTCAACCAACCGTGTGTAGAATACCACGCAAATATGAACAGAATAATCACAGCATTTACTAGCAGCCGTTTTGTTTTTGACCCAAATGAACTTGATTACGATCGTGATTACTATGTTAAGAATTCTGCAGTTTAGGAATATAAAAAAAATATATGGGTCGTTGATCATTAAAACTGCTGCCCGTAGGGAACTTGAACCTTTGACCATATGGAATTTAAGTTTGATTCGTCTAGATTTAGCTAGTTTAAAGATGAGTTATACAAAATGTACAAACATTTTGAGCTCAAAGCGGTTGATGGGATTACTATTATTACATCAATTAGTCCATCTTCATTAAGAGCCAATTATTCCAAACATGGTTGATACGTTTAGTGATATGGAAAATGGTTCGCCTATACGAGCTAATTAAAATCTACGTTACCGATATAATTTATGACCAATTGGCATCCGCATCTAAGTATTTTGATATGAAATCGTTGGATGGCAAGACTACAATGACAATTTGCATCTAAGCATTTTGATATGAAATCGATTGATAGCATGACTATAATGCCAATTATTCCAAACTCTTCTTAACTTTAGGGGTGTGCGAGATTCTTGTCCGGATCAGACAAAATTCATGAGAACCGCGATTCAAAATTCATTGGATCATTATCCAAATATCACTTCGATAAAATTTTCTTAAATCAACCCGTTGCACACCCCTACTTTAACTTCATTAAATATCAACATTTAGGCACTAATTTAATCTCAAATGGGCCTTTGCAATTAAATCATAAGAAAAGAGGGAAAAGAGAACTTTGACATTGGGCAAACGAGTAGGTAACGACCTATAAGAACACCAATTCCATGCATTTTGATAAATATAAACCAACAAAGTGAAGAAATTAAGAGGAGTTAGTTGAGGGATCGAGAGATAGTAAACTGAAGTCGTTAATTTCGGTGACCAACTCCAAAGTGAAACCTTTTGGCCCGCCGATCGTTGAATGCATACTCCAGCCGCAATGGGCCCAACGGCGAATCGACCCGCACCCCGAACCCGTACCCGTACCCACTCCCGGGCTTCAGCCTCGCCCCGGCAGGATCGCCTGCAAAAACCAGAATCATTACTTCACAAGAATTAACTCAAACCATCTCAAACAGCTCCTTATAGCGAAACTAACTCATGCTTAGTCAAACACTGTCTTTCTGAACTCTACATGTCATGTATGCCGAAAAATTTCTCTCACACGAGGAAACAAACGAGAAACAAACGAGGAAGTTCGAGCACAAGTGGCATGCGAGTCGACAAGCTCGAGCACGACGATGTCCACTTCCACTAACAACGGGTTTAGAAAAACCTTCTAACAGCTGGACCACAAAGGACTAGAGCGTATGCATGTACATGTTTGTTGAACAGATCGTGCATGGAATAATGCAGGGAAGGAGGCAGAAATATGACATTAAACCCGTTTACCAACTGGAACCAAAACCTTGCTTTCGCATTCAGTAAGAGCTGGGGCGAAGTTATATTATTATAGAAGTACATGGGACAAGACAAGATGGGGTACCTGGCACGGTTGGTCCAGAACCTAGATCAGTGCCGTAGTCGCTGAATATGACTCCTTCCACCGGCCCCAACTGCCCAACAGGTTAAGAAGTTAGAGCAGATAGCTTGATGGGGATGGTTTTAGGGGTTAAGGCAGTCAATGGAAGGGGAAATGTTGTTGCAAGTGCAAAAACCTACCAAAGGGAAAGAAAGTTCGCCCGAACCGACTACATAGGATCGACCAGAGCCCACGGCGCCTTCTTCGTATCCTCTGACGCTGTTTGTACCACCGATGGCGAACGCTTCGTGAGGAGAGAACTTTCCCACGACATGGCCACCCGACACGCTGCAAAAAGGGGAGAAGTCCGACAAACTTTGTATAAATTCAAACTTCCCATCACATAGGCTCCTTAACAGACGATCTACCTCAGTAGACATACCTGAGAAGGAAGAGAGCAGGGCCGATTTCCACGCCCTTCCTAGCACGAGCAGTTACTCGGTTGAAGAACAACCATTCTGGCCAGAGTGGTAGTCCTTGTTCCATGTTGAACACAAACTGCAACATGCGAGTATCCAGTCAAAACCAACTCCAAGAAGTAGCATTATTGGTTCCAGTACTAAGTCGAAGACTGACCATCGATGATCCATGGTCACCGGAACCGGTGTAGACAGTTTCAAGCTTAGCTAGTAAAGTGTCGTCGTGCGGCTTGCCACTTGCAGTAAGAGGACTGCTGTAACGGTCCTTGATGATGGGATTGGCTTTTTCATCACGAACGCCAGCATGCTGAGAAAAGAGGACCACAAAGAACAATGTCATGATGAATAATTGTTCACTGCTATTACTGCTCAGGAATATATTGCTACCAATGTACCTGAAAAATAACTCCAGTCGTTCCGCTCCACTTTGGCCTCAGTGGTCTACTAAACTCTATGCCAGCTGTCACGCGGCCAATTGTCAGACTACTATCGCCAGGCTGGTTACCATGAACAAGATTCCCAGGAGTTCTTGAATTCTAATAAAAAAATGACAATTATTACTCCTAACACCCAAATTTCATTGCAATTAGGTGTAAAATTAAAGTACAGGAACAAAGGAAGTAGTACCTGAACCATAATTGTTCTAGATGTCCGCTTATCATCTCCCTCAATCCATGGGTCGGTGTAGTTAACGCGGTATATAGAATCAATTTGGCCCCTCTCCAGGGAAATGTTAAGTTTTTGGTTTCTTCCAAAAACATTTCGATGAGAATAAGCAAAGCTGGAAAAGAACAATGTCAGTAAAGTCGGAATGCTTGCGATGGTATATAGGAATGAAATTAGGAGATCTCCTACATTACAGCATTACCTCCCGATGAGTCCCGACAAAGGGCCGCTTGTAATCCTACAAATGCAATATTAGCAGATGTCATGTTTTTGCAAAGTATATGACTATATGATAATGTATTTAACCTTTGTAAGAAATTCAAGCCTACAAACTAATAGGCTTACCCACTAGATATTCCTCCACCAGCTGAGAAACCTCCACTTGGACGTTCAACAACATTCATGATCAAATCAACTTTGCCGGTATCTAAGAGAACGTTAAGAGAATGACTTAAGTAAAGATAATTAATTGGCATTGGACAGTTCTGAAATGCTTAGAGAACGGACAATGACTGACAAAATTAGAGTTCTTTTGAGCAAGATGTAAACTTTAACAGTACATGATGTTACCTCCAGCAGGTTGTGGGATGATGCTGACATCTTCCATAATCCCCATAGTTAACACAGTATCCACATCTCTTTTCCCTTGAATCATACTGTACACCTTCAAGTTGATTCAAAATGGCAAGGTACGTATCAGTCAGAAACTTCTAATCATGGGAACAAGTGCATTCATCAGTTAAACGATGAAGCAATATAGAAGCATAAAAACAATATAACAAAGCCAACAATGGCATGCTCTAAAGCAATTTGAAGGCATTAGTCACTTATGTCCCCCTGTTAATCAGGCTACGATGAGAAAATGAGCTGTTTTTTTTTAATCCTCAGAAAATATGGCAACAAAATTTAAGAAACGCCAGAAAAAACTAAAATCAGTCTTACCTGGCCCTTCTTGGTTGTCAATTGCCTAAGTATTGTTTCAGGCTTTGTCTTCCCTTTAGTTGGTTCACCACTGAAGACAGCAACACAATATGCATTAGCTATTTAAGGTAGGAAGTCTCCTTTGTGAGAAAGCTGGTACAAATAAAAGAACTTGAGTATCTAAGTATGATTGAAGGCAGATTCTCACGTCTTCCGGTCAAGGAAACGGATGGAAATGTCATTCACCTCTGCTTCTGCAACTTGCACCCTTATGATACCACCCGAAAGGATCTCAACCCCCGAAACCTAGGATAAAAATCAGACATTAAGAATCAGCACGAAGTAAACATATTAAAACAAGTATACAGCAACAAAGAGTAAATAGAAAAACAAAAAATGGGGCCTAACCAAACCAAAAAGGCCACGCTCCATATACCATCCATTGACAGCAGTTATAGCATCATCCAAACGCCTAACATTCACAACTTTCCCTGCACAGCTTGACAACAAACATAAAAATCAATGAACATTCTCCTGGGGGAATACTTGCAGCAAGATCCTTCTACTGACCATAATCGCTCAAAGAACCAAGAAAGCAACCAGTTAATTGTTGGCTATGGAAATTAGGTGGCAAAAAAAGCTACAAGTAAACTTTTGCTAAAAAATAAAACCTACCATACTCGTAACGGAAAGCATCCTCTAGAAACTTTGTGGGGAGGACGCTTGCCCCTTCGCACACAACACCCTGGAATTCTTGGTTTGGTTCTACCTTATGCCACAAGAAAGCAATATTAGTCACTAATCAAACTTCCCTGACCAAGTAAACGAGTTTTCATTTCAACTCCCCCTGGCCTAACTTTGCAGTAACCATGCAGCATTGGCCAACACCCAGCAGACATTGGTGGACTAACAAGATATTTCAATCGATAAGACAACAATAGAAATGACTTCATAGAGCAGGGTCCTTCAGAAAGCGCTTCACTTTGGCATGGAGTAAATATGAGTATCTCAGTTGCAGAAAATCAAACTGTTAAAGTTCCACAAATAAAGGATACAAATCTATTCGAAAGTTCAAAACTTTACATCTGCAAGTGCATATATGTAACTTGGTTCAGCTAATTCATACCTGAAACACTAATCTAATGCCATCTCTAGTGTCTACTGCCACAGGCATACACGAGGAGAAGTAGCCACTGTCGATGATCCTGTGCACATCCTCTTGAACTTCCTGCACAGTGAGAGCTGAATTCGGGCGGCAGGCCTTCAATGCCGCCATCGCCTCAGCTTCAAGGTCCTTTCTCTCCAGCTCCTCGCCATCCTTGTTCTTAACCAACACTTCACTAATCAACACCCTCTCTTCATCACCCCTACTCACCGAGTGTCCGCCGCTCTTCTGCTGCGTCACCACCGAAGCTTCCGGCGGGCCAGAGTCAGCGGGCTGACTCAGAGCCAACGATGCAGAACACAGAATTGACTGCCGCGGCGGCTGAGAACCAGTGAGCGAGAGCGACGCCGAACATAGAAGGGGCGAGCGAAGGCTTCGAGCGCCCGAGTGTCGCTGAATCGAGCCGAGGGAGCGAGAAATTAGGGAGTCTAGGATATTGTCGAAGGAGGATTTCGCTCTGGCGAGCTGTGATAGTAGATTATGAGCGAGGAACGGCGGCGGTGGTGGTGGAGGATTGCGGCCGGAGAGAGTAGGGATTCTGACGGTGGACGAAGTGAAGCGAACGTCGCTGTTGCACCGCGGCGGCGGCATTGAAGCTTGAGAAGGAAGCAGAGAAATTGAGCAGAATTTCGTTCTGGCGAGCTGAGCTAGTGGATTATGAGGGAGGAACGGAGGCGGCGGTGGTGGAGGAGGATTGCGGCCGGCCAAAGGAGGGATTTTGACGGTGGACGAAGTGAAGCGAACGTCGCTGTTGCTCCGCGGCGGCATTGAAGCTTCAGAAGGAAGCGGAGAAATTGAGGAGAATTGCTGAGGGCTTGCAAGGAGGGAAGGGAGGATAAACCCTAGTTTGAGAAGACGGCGGAGGCGAGAAATCCGATCAGCTGCAGCAACCGGCGGCAGCTGCAAATACCGAAAATCGGAAATGAGACGAAATAAAAGTTCGTTCCTTGAACTTGGAGTAGGCTAACGAGCCCGGGAAGGAAATAGGCCCTGTTCGTCGCTAAGTACTGGGCTCGTGGAGCTAGGTGATGTATTGGGCTAATTGGGCTTTTTGGTGATGGGCCGTTTTTTTCCTGGCTGCTTGGGATCTTTTGATTCACATATGAGATAATAGATATGACATTTAAGAATTTCGCAATAACAATTAGAATGAAAAATCTATAAAATGGCAGTTAAACTTATCATAAACACAAATTTAAATGTCATATGGCAAAAATGACGTCACCTATACAACTGAACGTATACTCAAACATACCCTAATCTCAACTGTTATAAACGCGACGCTACGGATCAGGAAATCGCCGGAATCGACAAAGCAAGAATACGAAAGCGAGAATCGAAAACACGACACACGATTTACGTGGTTCACTAACACGATGTGTGTTAGCTACGCCCATGGGCGAGAGAGAGCCAGTTTCACTATATCGAAAAGATTACAGATTACAAAGGAGTATGAGAAGTACTTATAGTACTTCTCCATGTGGGTCTAAACCTAATACAATCTGGCAAAGGAAACGGTTACAGACAAGGCCCAGAACCCGAACCCAAATAACATTGAGCCCATACACCGCAGGCCGGGGCCTTGCCCCCGCACCCCCACCGGGGCGTTGCCCCTAGACCCCACTCGCTGACCGGGCAGCAGGACTCCCGATTACCAGTCGTAGCGGCTGATAGTCCGATTAAAATCACATCAACGTCAACAATTTTTTATTCGAATTCCGAGTCAAGTTGGATTTCTCTTGCCATGCACAATTGCACATACGGTGCTGACCTAGTCTATAGCTCGTGGGTGCTTCAAGCTAAGTAATGTTGAATAAAGGAACTCCAATGAAAGGGAAAGCCAAAATCAAAGGAAGGGGAGAAAAAAGATCAAAAAGCAAAGGAAAAGGGAAAGATCATGCTTTGCTATTTTTCCCCCTCTATCCGTAAAGCAGGAATTCAGAAAAGGCATTGCATCTCTCTTTTTATCTTCATTGGCACTTAGACCCATATACGTAAATGTCATGTAAAGATCCTCATGATCATTGATCTCTTGATATGATTAACTAATCATATACTTATCCAGTCATCTAGCTAGCTATTAAGCTATAAACTGAAATTAATCATCAACAATTCCACTTCATATTTCCAACCCAAATTTGACATGTACCTTTTTTACTTAATTTTAAGTAACAATATGCGTCTTGGTAAATGTTTTAGTACCTCGTTAAAATGTGAAACCAAATTGAAAGTTAAACCGAGAATACTGTAATGGGTAGAATATTAACGAGTAGATGCATGTGGAGTCGTGGAGAGTTGAACTCATGGGTTGGAGCTATATATATGTGGTCATTTGGGCATAATTTTATGACAGAATACCTAATCCTTGTGGAATGAGACATTTTGATCCAAACAGTATGTCAACTTGTAACACCTCCATTTGAAACAACGTGACGCCCCTCCTCGAGTATAGTGAAACTGGTTTCCCCTATTCGTGAACGTAGTTAATAGCTTGCACATTTGATCATGCCGAGGTTAAAGCGAGTTACATGGCCCATGTTTGTGCACAACATCATCATCATCATGGCCAGATCTTCCCTTCCCCAGCTGAAGCTAGCACGATATTAGGTTACTAAAGGGAATGCAAAGCTACAACAAAAGCGCCTGCTATGTCACGTCCCACGTCGAAAACCTAGACGTACGGTCGCAGAAGGCGCCATGCGGCCATGCTGCTCGCCACCATTTGTTGGTCTGGTCTATACAAAAAGACGACTGATTGTCTGATAAGTTTGCACTGGCCGATGAAGTGGACGATAGTGAAACCGGAAAGCAAGACAACAATTGCTTTGCTTTTGGAAAAAGATGCATGTGTACGCATCCCACTATTGTATATCGAAAGGAAAAGAGAGGGAAGAAAAAAAGGCAGATCGATCCCCCCATCATTGAGCACATTAGGAGTTAATAATTGGGTTTAGGGTTGCACTTGCCATGCATCGTCGTATCAATGATCTCCTCCATACCTATACAAAAGGAAAAAGAGGGAAAGACTAAAAACTACATCTTGTTATTTGTTTCATCGTAGGGTTTGAGCATGACAATTATGTATATATATATTATCCACTTTCATGCGTATGGACGGGGAATGGACAATAAAAATAAAAAGAAAGATAACGATTAGCGAGAGAGTAAAGATCACAGAGATTTATGTGGTTCACTAACAAAACGTGTGTTAGCTACTCCACGGGCATGGAAAGAGCCAACTTCACTATATTTGAGGAGATTACATATTACAAAGGAGTATGAGAAGTATTTATAGTACTTTTCCAATGGTCTAACGATTAATCCAATCTGATAAAGAATAAGGTTACAAACCAAATCTAGCTCAAACATGTACAAGCCCATATTTATAGTAACTTTCAATCGATGGAAAATAATTTGATTCAAGTAAAATATTCTCGCGAAGAAAACTCAATTTTACAAGTCTCCACAATATCCACTATTATGATGAATTCTCGAAATCAAGCCTTATTTATAAGAATTTAATAATTTGAATTATAAATTTCATATTAGTAATAATATTACAAATTCTCATATGGCAATTTGAACATGTCCCTTTCGGGAATTACTCGATTTGACTAGTGTTGGGTCGAGTATTACTTGACCCAAAATTGTTTGGAGCGGAACATTGGTACAACTTTCAACTTGACTGGTCCGTCATGCTCCATTCTTGACCCGTCCTATCTCGATTTTACTCGTTATCTATTTTCATTTTCCTATTTTGGATTTTCTTCAATCATGCCGTCACCGAATGTTGAGTAGGTGCAAAATTTGATCTTTCAACTAATTAGACTCTATAATTTTTTTTTATATCCCTATTTTTTATTTTATAAAGTGCTATATCTTTAGTTTATTGTAAAAAAATATTTTTTTTGTGTGTTTATTTTCTTCAAATAACATATTAAAATAAGTCGACCTGTCAGATCCATATTCATACAGATATTACCCAATTTGATTCGGGCTTAATATGAAGTGGTGTAAGATTATTGAAACACCCACCTAATTATCATCACTAATGAAATAAAATCCCTAGTAACAACATTATGAAATGAAAGTCACTTTGATTTTCCCCGGCAAGCATCTAACGTCGGTGAGTTTGGACGGACAGCCAGCGGGGTTTCGTACACGAAACAAGCGCCAAAACAAGGAGGCGAATAAAACGAGAAAGAAAAGGAGAATTCTGAATTCTCCTCCTCCTCCTCCTCTCCCTCTTAATTAACGCCGTCAGCGATGGACGACGACGAGTGAGGGAAAATGCGATGGTGAGGCCATAAGCCGTTAAGATTTAAAATGTTTCAAATATTCAAAAATTTATCAAATACCCTTGACTATATAAACGCGGCAACCGCACCTCTTGAATTTCTGAACATTCTGGCGCAACCGCCAATCCCTTCCTTCCTCCGCGGCCGCCGCACAATTCTTCTCTTCTGATCATCGCCCGCCGGTTTCTGATCATCGCCAGCCGTCCACCTTTCCATCTTTTTGCTCTCTCTTCCTTATCCCGATTTTCGGGAGCCGCAGAATTCGAATCTTTTCTTTTTTTTGCCTCCTTTTCCCCTTGTTACCACTTTTCCCCTATTTCTTCAATTTGTTCGGCGGAACTGCAGAAACCCTAGTGAGTATCCGACTGTCACTTCGCCTCCGTTCTCTCTCGCTGTCCGCTCTTCCCTTCCGTGATTCTCCGTCGTCGATATCCAAGGTAATTACCTCTTTGAAGAATTTGATTCACGAGCCCTCGCGAGTTTGACTTGCTTGAAAGTTATGGATCGATTTCGATTCTGTGTTTGCTGCTGTTGTTGACTATGGATTCTTTACTTACATGCTGCTGCTGCTGCTTCTGCTCAATTGATTGAGAACTCGTTAATTCGTGGTTTAGTTTAGTCCTTCTGGTGTTCTGGACGGAGGAAGGTGTTGTGTTTCGTACTGCGTCTGGTTGAATTCGTGATCATCGATTGACTAAGATTTATGATTGTTGTGCCTTTTCTTAGATTTGTTTCCTTTAGAGGAACCGATGAGCTCGATACGTGAGAATGGTGGTGGGGCGGAGCTTAGTGGGAGGGTTGATGACGATTTGAAGGCGCCTCTACTGCGGCCTGCTTCTGGTGGAGCTGTTGCGATTACTGTCGCTGCTGCTGGACAGAACAGTAAAGCTGCTGCCGCTGTGGATAAGAAGGTTCGAACTGCAAAGTTCAAGATAGGAGACATTAAATGCACGTCTTGCACTGGGTCTATCGAGTCTGTGCTCAAGGAGCTTGATGGAGTTCAAACTGTGGCGATATCGGTTCTCGATGGCCATGCTGCTGTCACTTATGTGCCAGAGCTCACCACTGTAAGTCTTTAAGTTGTGAGGACTGACAGTGTTTATCTTTACTTTCCGGAGTTCCAATTGTGCAGACGATTTTGATGTTGTTGTTATTGTCTTTAGGTTGAGAAGATTAAGGAAACAATTGAAGATGCTGGGTTCCCAGTGGAGCATCTTTCGGAGCAGGACATAGCAGTATGTAGGCTCAAGATTAAGGGAATGATGTGTACCAGCTGCGCCGAGTCAGTCGAACGTGCTCTTCTGATGATCGATGGAGTTAAGAAGGCAGTGGTGGGTCTTGCTCTGGAAGAAGCAAAAGTCCATTTCGATCCAAACATTATAGATATTGCTGGAATCATAGAATCCATTGAAGATTCTGGCTTTGGAGCTGTGCTCGTCAGTTCTGGTGCTGATGTGAACAAAGTGCATCTAAAACTTGAAGGTGTTGAATCCTTGGAAGACTGTAAGCAGATTCAAACTTTGCTCGAGTCAGCACAAGGTGTTAATCATGTTGAAATGGATCTGGATGAACATAAGGTAACTATCAACTATGATTCAGCCATTACTGGGCCGAGATCTCTCATACAGCTGATTGAAGAGGCTTCCCCTAGTCCCAACATGTACCATGCAACACTATACGTCTCACCCAGGCAAAGGGAAAGTGATCAGCTTCAAGAAACTCAGATGTATAGAAACCAATTTCTGTGGAGCTGCATTTTCTCTGTTCCGGTATTCCTGTTTTCCATGGCACTCCCTATGCTTCATCCTTATGGAAACTGGTTGAGCTATAAGCTTTACCACAATCTATCTGTTGGCATGCTCCTTAGGTGGATTCTATGCACCCCTGTGCAGTTCATTGTTGGTAGAAGGTAATAAGCCATCCCTTTCCTAGTTACTGTAATGTAGAATTTCATGGCAAATCATATAGATCACACTAATTGGCTTATCCTGTGATGTCTTGTCAGGTTTTACGTGGGAGCGTACCATGCATTGAGAAGAAAATCTGCCAACATGGACGTTTTGGTCGCGTTAGGCACTAATACTGCATACTTCTACTCTGTGTACGTAATCATAAAAGCCACCACAGCCGAAAATTTCGAAGGCCAGGATTTTTTCGAAACGAGTGCCATGCTGATATCTTTTATACTCTTGGGGAAGTATCTTGAGGTTGTGGCTAAAGGCAAGACATCAGATGCTTTAGCAAAACTCACAGAACTTGCTCCTGAAACTGCCTGTCTGCTAACTTTAGACACTGATGGGAGTGTTATTTCGGAGGAGGAAATTAGTTCGCAACTTATACAGCGGAATGACATAATCAAGATTGTTCCCGGTGCGAAAGTAGCTGTTGATGGAGTTGTTGTAGATGGACAAAGCCATGTTAATGAGAGCATGATCACTGGAGAGGCAAGGCCTGTTGCCAAACGACCTGGTGACAAGGTACACTACAGTTGTAGATATCGTAATACTTTTTTGTGAAATGTTATGACACAATACGATGACCTATATTTTCATTGTTATCAGGTAATTGGTGGTACAGTAAATGAGAATGGTTGCATACATGTTAAGGCTACTCATGTAGGGTCTGAGGCTGCACTTTCCCAAATTGTTCAACTGGTAGAGGCTGCTCAGCTAGCTAGGGCACCTGTTCAGCAACTAGCTGACCGAATCTCTCGTTATTTTGTTCCCACGGTGAGTTCATTATCCCCCTTGTTTGTAGCTGCTGGTTGATCTCATAATTTTGCCTGAACTTCTGGATATCCCATTTCAGGTAGTCGTTGTTGCTTTCATAACATGGCTAGTATGGTTCATAGCTGGGGAAGTTGGTCTTTACCCTCGAAACTGGATACCAAAAGCCATGGACAAGTTTGAGCTGGCCCTGCAGTTCGGCATATCAGTACTGGTGATTGCCTGTCCTTGTGCTTTGGGGCTAGCAACACCAACAGCTGTTATGGTTGCAACTGGAAAGGGTGCTTCCCAAGGTGTCCTTATTAAGGGCGGAGATGCCCTTGAGAAAGCACATAAGGTGAAGACAGTTGTCTTTGACAAGACAGGAACGTTGACAGTGGGGAAACCACAGGTGGTCAGTGCTGTCCTCTTCTCCAATTTCTCAATGGAAGAGTTCTGCGACTTGGCTACAGCTGCAGAGGTATGAATGTTAAGCATCAGAGTTGATAGTAAAAAAAAAATAGTGTCAAAACAACTAAGGGACTTGAAATACTGTTATCCTGAAGCAATACTAGTGCCATTGTTTTCTCGATTAAGATCGGTTTTCAATGTCTCATCTGAACAACTCGTCATTTGTTCCAGGCGAACAGCGAACACCCTATAGCGAAGGCTGTGGTCGATCATGCGAAGAGATTTCGACACAAGATTGGATCAAACCCAGATCATATCCCCGAGGTGAAAGACTTTGAGGTGCACACTGGAGCTGGAGTGACTGGAAAAGTGGGCGAGAGAATGGTTCATGTTGGGAACAGAAGGCTTATGCGGACAGCTAAGATCACACTGGGGCCAGAGGTGGAGAAATACATCTTCGAAAACGAAGAGTTAGCTAGAACGTGCGTGCTGGTCGCCATTGATGGGAAGATGGCTGGAGCCTTTGCGGTGACCGATCCCGTGAAGCCAGAGGCTCAACGTGTGATCTCTTTCCTTGGTTCCATGGGGATCACTAGCATCATGGTGACAGGGGATAACAGGGCAACCGCCGCAGCCATCGCCAGAGACGTCGGAATTGATTACTTTTTCGCCGAGACCACCCCGGTTGGGAAGGCTGATAAGATCAAGGATCTACAGGTAAATAAATATCTCTCAACAATCAGAATGAGATGTCAGCTCCAAATGTGTTTTCCTGTGTTTCTGTTCAGCTTATTAGATTTTACCATTGATCCGTTCTTCACAATGCTCGACTGATGCAGGGGAAAGGGGAGATAGTGGCGATGGTGGGAGACGGGATCAACGACTCGCCGGCGTTAGTGGCGGCCGACGTAGGGATGGCGATTGGCGCTGGGACCAACGTGGCCATTGAAGCAGCCGACATAGTCCTGATCAAGAGCAACCTGGAAGACGTTGTCACGGCCATAGACTTGTCCAGGAAGACCATTGCGCGGATTCGGATGAACTACGTGTGGGCGCTTGGTTACAACGTCCTCGGCATGCCCATCGCCGCAGGGATCCTTTACCCGTTCACCGGAATCCGACTGCCTCCATGGCTCGCCGGCGCGTGCATGGCCGCTTCGTCGCTCAGCGTAGTCTGTTCTTCGCTGCTGTTGCAGTCGTACAAGAAGCCTTTGCATGTTAGAGAGGGCTGACTGGCAAAATTGTAATTTTTGGGGTCTTTGTTTTCCCATCTAAAAATATTGTTATATTTTTAGGATTTGGCTTGTTTTGTTTGCATTCAGACATTCGGTACATACCACCATTAATAAAGGACAGCAGTAGTGTTTGGGCCTGCCAAAGTGATTGAGGTCCATTTCGGAAACAAATTAAGCCTATTTTGGAACTGTTTTGAAGCCCAAATTCTAGAGCCCAATGGCGCTAGAAGAGCTATATTATTATTTTTTGTTTGAAAAGAGGAGCTATGGTATTATGAAATAACACATGAATGGTGTGAAATGGAATATCACAATATCGGTACTTTTCGCCATACACAAAAGAGTTGAATTGAACAGTTTTTTTTAGTTATGCAAATTGTGTTGAAATATGAATATGGTTAGTTTGGTGATAGATAGTGAGTGTGAAACTATGGTCACATTGTTCTACTAATTTTCCAAATGAATGTGGTTTGAAATATATAATTATTAACTAATTATTATGTCTCATTTGTGCAATTGCTTATACAAAAATTTGCTAAATAAAGATGTTTGTACTGCCAAATATGATAAATGGATTGAGACTTATTGAGATATTGGAGAATATTAAAATACTTGTATTGAGAATCATGGTGTGGAGGTGATTTTTTTTGGAGAAGACAAAATCGAACACACGGAAAAGCTAGATACATATGATAATTGTGTGGAGCGAACCCGTAGAAGGAAGAAAACAAAGGACCTTATAGTACGTAGTCGTTTCATCCAACGTTAGCACTTCTGCTAGTGCTGCTGTGATGTTTGGGGTATGAAAGCGGGACTCCGTGGTACGCAATCCTTCTCGTGCTCAAGACAATCCCTGCAAATCGAATTAAGATGATCAAGTTGAGGTTGCTTGAGATCGAACATATGAAGAATACTAATTACAGTTAGAGGTGGCAATTGGATCGGATTCGTGGATTGGATTGGTGGATCCATGGATCAAATGGATTGGTGGATTCATGGATTGAATCAAATGGATTGGTGGATTGATCCATGAATCCAAATGACATCCAAGGCTTGGACCAAAATGTAAATTTTAAAAAATTAAGGTACTAAAATGTCATAATGAAAAATTTTAGGTTCCCACTCCTAGCTGTTACCATCCCTATAAATGTAGTTAAAATCTTAAATCGGTTAAACAAATAAACCTTGATTAGGGAAATCCCTTAACTACCTAAAGTAAGTAAATTAACAACAAAGTAGCAAAATCAGCCATGACCCATTTTCTGTTTCACCCTGATCCGATATTTCCTTACCACACACACATCTCCAATCAAAGAGGGGGAAGAAAAAAAAAACACTCTCCAATTTCAACTCCTACATTCTCTCCTTACCACACAGAGCTCCAAAAAGGGAATATTGCTAACAATAGCATCACTCTACTTCCCTTTTTCTCCACCTCCTGGGTTTGCCTTCAAATATATATCTCACTCCCAAGCTGCGTTCCAATCCTGATTGCCTTTGTTCGTTTAATCATTCCTAACCCTTGTAGCTTTGGACAGGTCGTTTAAAGAAACCATGTCTGACAATCAACAGCTCCAGCTATCACTTGTAGGCCAGAGGATGACGACGGCCTGCAGCCAGGTCGGTCTCGGCTCCAAGCTCCCACAAGATCTTTTTCAAGCCCGATACTACGGCGGCAGCCCGGTGCTACTCCGGAGGAACTATGTCTACGGGAACTACTCCAATCCTGGCCTGCAGGGCTATGTCCCTGCTGCGACGTCGACGACGACGATGTCGAATGCGGTGTGTGTTCAGGCGCCGTCGGAGAAAGGCCTGACAGGGTTCGCCATTGATTTCCTCATGGGTGGAGTCTCTGCCGCCGTGTCCAAAACCGCTGCGGCTCCGATCGAGCGCGTGAAGCTGCTGATCCAGAACCAGGACGAGATGATCAAGGCCGGCCGGCTGTCGGAGCCGTACAAGGGGATCGGAGACTGCTTCTCGAGGACGATGAAGGATGAAGGGATGATGTCGCTGTGGAGGGGGAACACTGCTAATGTCATCCGTTATTTCCCCACTCAGGTTCCTTCCTTTTTTTTTTCTATCTTTCTCTTCAATTTGATAAAAATATCATCACGTGGTGCGCAGTAACATGATGTGTGTTAGCTTATTCACATGTGAGAAGAGACGTGTTTTTAATATATTTTTATAGGGTTGTACGTCTAGCCCTAGATACTCGGTGACTCGGCCCGATCGACCCTATTGGTCAGCCTCGATTAGTTTTTCTACCGATTCAATTTAGAGTATGGTAATCTTTTTGGCAATGTAAGGGCCGGGTAGGATCAAGTCAATTTAGGGTAGGCCATTTTTTTGGCCCAATAACCCATAACCAACTAGTGATATAAAATTCTTCATACCAATATATTGAACTTGTTTGTAAAGTTTTAAAAGTTTAGGTATTATAATGCAAAGTACAAGATATAAAGATAATAATACGTAATTTTACCATCAAATTTATGATCCTTTTTGTAAAAAAAAATAGAGTTTAGGTACTACATTGTAAGAAAAAAAAGTTTGGGTATTAAAATGTTATTTTCTAAAAAAGTGTGTGTTTATTGATGCGAGTGACCCACCGTCTGGTCCTGGCCCTACCCGCACGAGCCTGCAGACAAGACGGAAGGAGAATAGGACTGGGTCTAGTCAAGTTTGAGCTTGACCCTACATAGCCGTATTTTTTTTAGTAGTGGCAAAATCAGGGTTAGGTTTGGTCTAGTTTCACTCATAAATTACTCGAGTAAAAATAGATTAAAGAGATTGGGAAGATATACGTTGCATCTTCTTCAAACTGTTTAATCCTAATCTCATCTGAAAAGGATTCAACAGTTATCTTACAGTAAGACCCCAGTAACTTTCCGTCAAGGACAAATAATCTATTTTTCGAGTGATAGCAACATATTATTTTAACTTGTTACAACTCTTTGATCTCTTATGTGATCACCATTGATCTCCCCAACCTTGTTACTATAACCTTCTCTCCAGGCACTGAACTTTGCCTTCAAAGATTACTTCAAGAAGCTCTTCAACTTCAAGAAGGACCGTGATGGCTACTGGCCGTGGTTCGCCGGCAACTTGGCCTCCGGCGGTGCAGCTGGAGCATCTTCCCTCTTCTTTGTCTACTCCTTGGACTATGCCAGAACCCGCCTGGCCAACGACGCCAAGGCCGCCAAGAAAGGAGGGGAGAGGCAGTTCAACGGCCTCGTCGATGTGTACAAGAAGACGATGGCGACCGACGGCATTGCTGGCCTCTACCGTGGGTTCAACATCTCCTGCGTCGGGATCATTGTCTACCGTGGCCTCTACTTCGGCATGTATGACTCCCTCAAGCCTGTCGTCCTCACTGGAAGCCTCCAGGTTAGTTAACGTTTACAGACTTTTCTCAACTACTCCAGTTATTCGGATTACGCGATGGGTGATCGTATAGACAAATTAAAATAATGAAAGGTACGTGATAGTATTGCATTCAATGAAGGTCGGTGGTAATAAGTTTTGACACGATATCATAGTCATTGTTAAACTGAAAGTCACATACATGAACTAGTTTGGGTAGATACTACTATTAATTAACAGTCGAATGAAACTTATTACGTGACGGATTTTGCATAAACTTACGTCAAGTTTTGATGGAAGGGATGTAGTTTACGTGGGATTGATGCATGATTCATGCTTATACTAAAGGCTCCTTTGGATATAATGAATTTGATGGCGCAGTTTGACCCAATTGTCTCGTTTGGCAATACAAAATAGGGATGCAACAATCGGGCTGAGATAGTTTGAATTGTTTCATTTTGCATTAGTTAGAATTCACAGGGAGATTGAACAAGTATTGTGAAATGATTTGTTTTTGTGAGGTAATTGTGAGGTAATTAAATTAAAATGTTTCAACTCGTAAATCTGTCATCCAAACAGACCCCTAAAAAAACATATATGGCGTATTTGTCGGCATATCTAATTTTGCATGGAATGACGTGTTAGCTAGTGATATAAGGTTCAGCTCGATGTTTTCTACTTGGCCTAATGTTAGTGGGATGAACTGATTATCAACGCAAGCAACTCTTTTACTCATATCTCGAAAATTACATTTGTTTGTTTGTTGTTGTTGTTGCCATATGTTTCATCATTTCAGGATAGCTTCTTCGCGAGCTTCGCCCTCGGCTGGCTCATCACCAACGGCGCCGGCCTGGCTTCCTACCCGATCGACACCGTCCGCCGGAGAATGATGATGACCTCCGGCCAGGCCGTGAAGTACAAGAGCTCCATGGACGCCTTCTCCCAGATCCTGAAGAACGAAGGCGCCAAGTCACTTTTCAAGGGCGCCGGCGCCAACATCCTGAGGGCAGTTGCCGGAGCCGGAGTGCTTGCCGGATACGACAAGCTCCAGATGATCGTGTTCGGCAAGAAGTATGGCTCCGGTGGAGCTTAAAGAGAAAGGAAAAGAGAACCCCCCCCAATTTTGAGATTCAGCATCTATGCTGAAAATGAGAGGCATTAATTTAGTTTCAAGAGCATATGATGGCCTAAAATGAGAGGCGTTTCCTCCATCATAACCTAGTTTCAAGTAGTATACTTCTCATATATATATGTTAAATTTTCATGCTTAATCTTTTGTTTGTTTTGTGTTTTTGCTATTCTTTGTAAACACTTTTATAGGGGATTTTAACCCCAGGATTGAATTCATAATGGATTCGATGTTATCATTGTTGATTATAGCTTTACCTAATAATTACTATAGGGTTAATTGTATGGTTGGTCACTGAGATTACAAAAAACGTTCATGTTTGGTCACTGGAAATATTTAAATCCAACCTTGGTCACTCAAATTAGTTAAATGGTTCAAATTTGGTCACTCTCCGTCCAACTCCGTTAAATTTGTCTGATGTGGCAGTCAACCCTCAAAGTTGACCGTTAACTCAGTGACGTGGCAATTAAAAAATAATAAATAAAATAAATTTTAATCATCTACCATTTCCAACTCATTTTTACAATAAAATAAAATAAAAATTATTATAATCACAAATCGGGCTCGGCCTTGTCGACGTTCTTTTCTCCGATCCCCTGAAACCTCCATTAATGAAGCGCCAGTACGATTACTCCATGGTCCCTCCAATCTATACAGAAAGTTCGCAGCTTTCGTTTTGCCAGAGTAAACCCCAAAAAACAGAGTGTACTGAGTGAAAGCCTTACTCTATTTTTTTTTTTACATTTTTTTGTTTACAAACAGAGCAATGTCGAGCTCATCAATTACCTTCTCCTCATTTGCCGTTGTGGGTTTGATCCTCCTCTTCGCCGCCGGACCCGCTTCCGCCCGGATTCAAATCCCGGCGAACGAATCCGTGCCGGCGGCTTTAGTGTTCGGCGATTCAATCGTCGATACGGGGAACAACAACAAGATCCTTACTTCCCCTGCCAAGTTCCCTTTGGTCATCATATTCCTTCTGATCATCTTATACGCCGTACCTGCCAGTGCAGCCATTCTTGCGCTGTACGTTCTCATCACTGTTCTGTTTGCCTTAACGTCGTTTCTCATACTCTATTTTGCTTATCCCAGTTTTGATTGGCTTGTCAGAGAAATCATCACTTGATATCATGGTATTTGCCAGCTACTTCATAATTCGATGACTTTACGAGGCTCAAATGTGGATCGCCATTGTGTATCTATGTAGATTATATATGAGCTTTTGTAATGAATCTCTTCTGCTTGCTCCCCATTGGTATAGGGTGTATGTTGGCAGCAGAGGTACTGGAGGCAGAAGCCATCTTCTGCACTGTACTGGTTTCTGGTCATTTAGAGAGATCTCTTTATGTAAGACAAGTTTGTGGTGATAGTGGATTAGGGAAATTGGTTTCGCATATATGTGTAATTAAATGCTACCATGCTAGTGCAGTCAGCTTCAGAATCAGTGGTTTCTCTGTTATACTCATCATTGCTTGGCCTTCTTCCTTTTTCACCATTGTAGTCTGACGCTGTCGAATAGCCTACCGTTACGATCCTGCCTTCGCCTCCTTCAACTTCAAGAATGAAACCGTCGAAGCTGCGGGGATGATGAGCCCGACTTCCATCCTAGACAGCAAGTCCTTCTCCACCCCCTCAAGTTACATACTAAGAATTTGATTGAACATGTTGGGTTTGATATCTCCTTCCTTGTTATATTTACCATTATTACTAACCTTTTTCTTACCATTATTTACTGGTTGGAGGATAATGTCCCTCTCGCCTTTCATTGCAGACAAGAAATCCCATTGCAATACAGGTGTAGAATCCTTCCACATCTTCAGTCTTCTAATTTTATAGCCCATATTAGTTTCAATTGGGATTTGAGCAAGGGGAGAATCCATATTCGAAAAAATAGTAGTCCCCTAATGTCTCCAAAACATACTCAGGAGAGCTTGGTCCAATGACTGCCTCTAGTTGTGGATCATGAGAGTTATCAGTAGCAATCCCCTTTCAACAGGAGCATCGGTTTTAATGACAGAATCCATCTCCAACACATTAGGAATATATTCACCCAAATCTACTTTGTCTATCCTCTAGGTTTATGAATTTGTGGCCAAAAACACCGCATGATCGACACCTTTTAGGCATACGACACTCAACCGTAATCAGTATCACCTCCTCGCTTCTCCCGCCGCCGTCGACGCTCCCAAGCAGAGCCAGTACTAGGAAAACCTCGATTCCCCTAAAACCTCAATTTGTGAATATAATAATTTTTTATTTTTTATTTTACTTTATTGTGAAAATGAGTTGGAAATGGTAGAAGATTAAAATTTATTTTATTTATTATTTTTTAATTGCCACGTCACCGAGTTAACGGTCAACTTTGAGGGTTGACTGCCACATCAGAAAAATTTAACGGAGTTGGACGGAGAGTGACCAAATTTGAACCATTTAACTAATTTGAGTGACCAAGGTTGGATTTAAATATTTCCAGTGACCAAACATGAACGTTTTTTGTAATCTCAGTGACCAACCATACAATTAACCCAATTACTATAGTTGACTTTTTATTTATTTAAAAGAGCGTTAGTTAATTAGCCCTAGATTTGTTAAGTACTACAATTTATAACCCTAAATAAACGGGTAAACGCCACATTTGGTCACTAAAATTACTACATCGTGTCATGTTTAGACACTAGAAAATTTTAATATAAATTTTGGTCACTCAAATTACTAAAACAGGTCACATTTAGTCACTCTCCCGTTAGCATCCGGCCAACTCCAGTCACTCGAATTACTGAAACTTGTCACATTTAGTCACTCTCCCGTTAGTTTCCTCCAACTCCATTAATGGAGTTGGACAGAAACTAACGGCACAGTGACTAAATGTGACTGTTCCTGTAATTCGAGTGACCAAAATTGATATTAAATTTTTTTAGTGACTAAACATGACACGATTCAATAATCTCAGTGACCAAGTGTGGCATTTACCCCTAAATAAACATATACAAAGCGTTCTCTCCGTCTTGACTTGTAGGACAAGAGCAACAACTAATAACAACATACCAAAACAACAATTAATAAGTCAATTAACCAAAACAAACAAATAACCAGAGTATGTAGTATGCAGCTTAATTATGATAAAATTAAGCATAAACAAATCACATTCAATCGAAACTCGACAATGAAATCTCGGATCCGACGTACGTTGTCACACTCCGAACCTCGCTCCAGCCAGATCGAACCCCGAAATCACGAGCACGTCCCGTCTTCAGATCAAAGGCACCCAACAGCGTAGCATGATCATCAGCTCGATCATAACGATAATTATAACGCACGTCTCTGAACAGGTAGAAACATTTGTTGTCCGCCCAAGCCACCCAGGACGGAACCCAGTTCCTAAACTCCGGTCCCAATTGCGGCACCACATCAAACACTTTTAGCAACGACGACGGCGACGACGACTCCCCGAACCCCATGGCCACCCACACCTCGAACCCCGAACCGCCGCCGTCGTCGTCATCGGTAATCGCAACGAGGAATCCTTTCGAGATCGACATGGACCTGACCCGACGACAACCCGGTTTCGGGCCCGTCACGTACCCAACGGAGAGCGCTTCTCTAGTCAGATCGTAACACAAGATTCTCGCGCGCACGTTTCTTTTCTCCCAGTGCCACTGGTAGCACCTCCCGCCTTTACTCTCGACGATGGGCTGCTCCACCTCGTTCGGGCCCAAGCCCAAGTAGTTCAGGCCCATTCCCTCGTGTTTGGATTCCTGTCCCCACGAACCTTCCCTCAGGCTGTACACGTCGGTGTACCTGTGGTCCGCGTCGGTGCGGACGCGGACCACCTTGAAGTCGCTGGTCTTCGGGTCGAACCCGAAGACCAGCGACGAGAAGGGAGGCGGGCGCGGCAGGAGCTTGGTCTCCGAAGTGGCCGGGTTCCAGAGATGGACGTCCCGCCGCTCCCGACCGACGGTGATGCAGAAGATTCCCTCGCTGTACCCGGCCACGGAGAACCCGTCGCCCACGGTGAACCCATAGCCGTGGGGTAGAGGGGGATCGGGGCGACGTAGAGCGAGGCCATCGGGGCGTCGGCGGAGCGGAGAGAGTAGACCGGGACGGTTTTTGCATTGAGGAGGCGGATGATCATGATGGTCTTATTACGATCGCCGCCGCCGCATCGAGTACCATCGAAGAGGAAGATTTTGAGGAGGAAGTCCGGGTCGGAGAGGAGGGTGCGCCACGATGCGGAGACGCAGCGGCATCTGGCGACGGCGGTGGCGGAGGGGAGCCGGGTCAGGATTTCGATCACCGTGTCGGAGGGTAAAGACATCATCGTTGTTGCCGCCGCCATCGCGCTACTTGGAGTTAGGTAGAAGGTGATGAGATGTATATATTATATTATATATATAGCACGTACTTATGTACTTCTCTTATCATGCATGGGCAGTTAGGGTTTAGTACTCCCGTGAAGAAATCGCCTAATTTTGCGCTAGCTATCCCACTATATTACTAGGATGATAATTGCCCAATCATGAATAATTTTATTCAAACTCAAGTACATTCTTTGATTTTGCCCTATCCATTGATTATGGTAGGGTATGGATTTGGAATGGGGTTGGGGTTGGGAAGGGTGTGGATCTTGCTTCTATAATCTAAATTAGCGGGATTTGGGTATGGATACTCGTTTACTGGAAGTTGTTTTAACTACACATACTAAAAAATTGAACCTATTTATAAAACTAAAAAAGTTTAGGTGTCAAAATGTAATACACAAAAAATTTACATACTAAAATGTAAATTTTCATCGATATTTTGAGGAATTATATGAAAAAGAAATTATATTTAGACACTAAATCTAAAAATCTATTAAGTCTAGGTACCAAACTATAATTCGCAAATGAGTATGGGTACAATCCAAATCCTTGGATTAAAAACTCAATCCAGTCCAAATAAATTGGTATGGGTATAAACTCATTCAACTCTACTCATTTACCATCTATTTGGATATCATATTCAACCCAATTGAGTTGGATAGTAAAATGTCCATTGATTTGGGCAAAATTATCATCCCTACTAGTAAGGTTGTTAAACGGTTAATATCGCGAAAGCGGTGTTAACCGATAAGCAAAGCATAATCGGAGTACATTACACCGATTAAACAATAAATGATTGATTTCCGCTAGCCAAGCTCCCTTGTCTACCCTTGTTGTAATAGTGGTTTAAATTCAAATGAGAATAATATCAAGGAAGGGCTCTAAAAGGAGCGCAATAAAAAAAAAATGGACTTGCGCATTGTAGCTCGACAACGATCAGTAACATTTAATCTTCCATGTAATTTTGTGGGATTTATGAGTTACGTTGAGTAATTGTTGTTGGATCTCTTATTCTTCTCTGTTTTTTTAATCAAATTAGACGGTTGTATGGTGTTATTGTGTACCTTTGTTGGATTGAGTTTATTATGTAATGATATCTATGTTAAATTATTTTTTATTCAATAATGACATCTTCAAAAGAAAGAACACATTTATGTACGTAGGAACAAAATCTACAAAAATGCACAATTGAAAAAACGAGGATGTCTTATGTTGGTTAGATTATCGATCAGTTATGTTGGTCTAAACCTATCGCCATCGCGCTACTTGGAGTAGGTTAAGGAGGAGACGATGATGAGATGTATATATTATATACCCAATAGGGCAAAATTTGGCAGCGGAATAGGAGTAAAATACCCACCATACTACTAAAGTATGAGAATTAGGGCAAGGGTACCACTAAAATTAAAATAGGGCATTGGTAGTATTTAATTAGTGTTCTTGTAAGGGAAGAAACATGAATTCTAATAGGAGAAGGAGAAGGACAGATGCTAAAGTTTTGGATGAGAAAGAAAGGACCTTTGTTGTGTAACTATATAAATAGATGCTTGTCAAAAAACCTGACCATTAATGAAATTCTCTCTTCGATAACATCGAGCACGTATGTCTGTATTCCCACATTCAGAGCTAGATGAATATCATTTTAATCATCTTGTGTTATTTTGAAACTGGTTTAAAAAGAAAAAACTGAATGGCCTGAAGAAATGGGATTAGAATCGACAGTCCATCTCTGCTGCACATGGGATGCTTAACAAGGATCTTGCAACAACAACAAAAAAATGCATGATGAAAACTGAACCGCACCTGCAATAGCAAATGTGATAAATAAACTCCAGTTTGGGTTGTTGAACTGTGATCCAGCAGACAAAAGTAGTCATAACTTCATACGTATGCAAACTGTACAAAGAAATATAATCTATTTACAAACCACAACCAATGGTAACAAGTAACAACAAGTACATTCCCAACATAGATAGGAAATTAGAACAGAGTTCTCTCAATCTCTTCCTTTGCTATGGCTACTCTTTCAGGGGACTGGAGATGCTCACCTCGGCGGCATGTACTAGTGTATTTGTCCCCGTTGATGAATGTCTAGCATGGCTGGAATAATGTTACAAGGCCGCTTAAATGCAAGCAAAAGAACCAAGTTGTCTGCAAAACGATCAAACAATATAGCCCCTGGGAGGGCCGTATACATAGTCATCAAAATATAGACCAAACAGGCCCTGGAGGCATCCGTCTGAATCGCAGAACGCAGCAGTGGCACTAATGAATACAGTATCAGAAACATGGCTGAAACTTAAGCCATGAGCCAGAACTGCAGCAGATAACAAACTGGCAAATGGGATGTCAAGATATGAAACTAAAAAAGCCTTCAAAGTTGAGCCAAGCCGCGCTTTAACCACAGTTGCAATCAAAAGCGACGAAGCAGAACACAAAGATAAGCAACAAAGAACCCATTAGATCATAGAGCCTCCAGCATTGATATGGAGCGCAAAGCTATGGAAACTGACACCCAGCAGAACTTCCTGCTTGTATTCAAGAAATAGAGTGCAAAAAACAACACGCAAAGCAGGCATTAAATGACCAAGGGTAGATGCTAGCATGGTCAATTGCATATCAATTCATCCCATTGCTGACAAACCCCGATGGTGCCTATTAGAACCCTCATTTCCAGAATTTTGGATTCAATATGCAAGCAAAAGCAAGCAAGGAACTACAGAATGAGCATATGAAATAACCCGTCTTTTCCACTGGTTAAGTGGCCATATCTCTACAATAAAACGTAGTAGTTCAATTCTTTTCTCACCTCTTCACCATTGTAGAAAAAGGAAAGGGAATTAATTAATGGACATGAAGATCATCATGGGAACATCAAATGAGGCATTAAACTTATCAACATCCCACAACTCATAACTTGCACAGAACATCGGATCAAATATCAATCCAAATTCGACAATGAAGTTTTGGACGGAACATATGAAATAACACTTGGATTCAACTCATGTCTATAGATCTCGACATCACGAATGAATCCCGTCTCCTTCGTCTTAAGATCAAAGACCACAACCGCCACTTCTTCCTCAGTATCATTACCTGGAGCCATCAAGATCTTTCCTTGGAAGAAACACTTGTTGTTTCCCCAAGTCACAAAGGGCGAGCAGTAATCAGCACTAAAATCCCCTGTTTGGGGCACATCAGCCACCTTGGTCCACGACCTGGCATCTCCAAACTCCATTAACGCCCACACCTCGTACACAGGGTCGTCGGATGAACGGGCACGGCTGCAACCGTAGATCGCCACCAAAAACCCTTTACAGAAAGAAACCGACTTGACGAACCAACAATCCCCCAATTTCTTCCAGGGAATCGTCAAGCGCACCAATGAGAGCGCGTCTTTTGCAAGATCGTAACAGAGGATTCTCATACCCCCACCCCCACCAATCCTGTCACATTCCCACCTGTAACATTTCCCGTCTCGGCTCTCGAGGATTCGGTTCAAGCAACGGCGACGGTGATTCATCTTGTCCTTTTTGTACCCCTGACTCCACGAATCGTTCCTCAAGCTGTAAACCTCGGTGAATCGCAGGTCCGTCGAGCTCCGGACCGTCGAGATCCTCACAACCTTGAAGTCATTCGATTCCGGGTCGAACCCGAACATACACGCCCACAAATACTTGCCCCGCTGCTGGCGCGGCAGGTAAAGAGGCGCCCGTCGCAGAAGCTTGGTCTCCGACGTGGTCGGGTTCCAGAGATAGAAGTCCGACGTCAGTGTCTTGCCGTCGGTGAGACAGAATATGCCGTTGCTGTGGCCCACCAAGCGGAACGGATCACAGGGGGGAAGGCAACCGACCGGGTGGGGCGGCCAAGCCAGGGGGATCACGGCGGCGGAGGAGGAGGAGGAGAGGAGGGTGAAGGTTTCCGGCGAGTAAAGAGAGTAACGCAGATGTCTATCCCTCATTAGGGCGAGCATCATAACCACTCGATCTCCGCCGCCGCCGCCGTCGGAGGACAAGAGGATTTTGAGGATGAAACTCGGATCGGAGAGAAGAGAGGACCATGATTTGCAGACGCAACGGCATCGGGCGACGGTGGCGGCGTCGGGGAGCCTTGTCAAGATGTCAATGCACGTGTCCGTCGGGATCTCGTTCGTGGGAAGTGACATCGTCCGGCCTGTTGCCGCCACCGGAGTTAGGGTTTTTAGACCACAGCAGCTCTGCTGGCTGTTGGTGATGAAAAGAAAAGAAAACAGACAGACAACAGAATAAGAGGGATGTTTCTCAAAAAAATGTTATGCATTTTATAGCCCAATAAGGAGGGAACAAATTTAATTCAATTAGTTGGAAGTTCACCCACCGCGGCTACCCTCATTAATATTGTTTTTTTTTTCCTTCTCTTTTTTACTAATACGAGAATAATCATTTCGGAGTATTTATTCACTACAACAGTATGTTATAAAGATTTCCGAGTTGCATATAAATAGAATACACAGTATTTTCAAAACAGTTCCACTATGTCACTCACAAAAAATCTCTTATCTATCTGTTGATTGATAAATACATTTCTCTATTAAACCCCACAAAAACAGAAGAAATAGGATCGAGTAATCCAGGAAGAAGGAAAAATGGAATGAAATGGATGAATTGAGCAAGGAACTTAGGGGTCGTTTGGAGAATATGAGTTTAAATCTATTGATTATCAACAATTTAAAGATTCTAACTCTTCAGATTGTTGAAAATAGATTTTAAAATGTTTATTGTTTGGTAACTGTGATTGTTAACATTCAATGAAAATAAAAAAAATTATTTTTATATTAAATAACGTGTTTATTCTTAATAAAAATTAGAGTGGTTCGAGAAATATTAAAAAGTTTGTTGATAAATATATTTAATATGATAAATAAATAAAAGAAAGAGGAAAAGTAGGAGGAAAAAAATCTCACGAATTGAGATATAGAATCTCTCTGATTATGAGAGATTTGATATCCGTAGATTTTAGAGATTTAAAATCTCTAAAGCTCAAATCCACAATACAAAAAGCAACAAAAAAACATAACTTTCTACAAAATCTACGGATTCAATAAATCCACGCCCTAAATCCTGTTCTCCAAACGACCCCTTATTGTTCTGTTAGAAGGATACTTATTTTATTGCCCGCACTATAAAAATTATTGTCTAAATTATTTATTTAGTTGTCATATCACATTACATAAACTTTATTAACATTTCGTTTTGAACTTCCTCTATTACTGGTTCGGCAATCTGCTATGTATATGCATATCTTGAAATCTTTTGGAAGTCTTTGAATTAGATAATGAATAATTAAGAGCATATCATAGACGCTAGACTTTGTAATCAAAGAAACATAAAGGAATTAAAGTTGTAACTATGATGAAGGCCAAAAGAGCTTAATTGATTGATAATATACATATGTGACATGACAATACAAATGTACAACACCTAACTTTAGTACATAAATTCATTGAATCACACCACCATCTCCATTTGTCACATCCTTTTCTCGCTTGTGTGCAGAACAAGGTAGCTGCTAGCTGGTGCATGCTTCATGAAGCACGAGACACGAAATAAATCAGCAATTCAATTATGGGTGTTTCAATTTCGAAACTTTGTTGCTGGGAAGCGCCTTCTGGACGTCTTGACAAGAGAGAGAAAAGCAACAACTAACACACATGGTTACATGGTCGATATGGAGTATTGACGTTCCCAAGCCTTTGGCTTACGCCATTTTACTACTACAACATATTTATGGAAGCATATCTTAGCTACTCATTCTCATAATAGCGTTTCTCGTCGGTTTGAACTCAAGTTGGAGATCAATCGCTTAGCTCAAGGAGATCGTGATATTCATGGGTATTATTAGGAAAGTTTCCATTTATGGACCAGATATATTTGCTAACAGCTTCTCTTGTTACTAGTGCAAATTCAAAGGCAATTATTAAAGAGCTAGCAACACTCGTGTTGTGCAATTTCTATCTAAGTTGCGTCATGAGTATGATCTCATTCGTGCGTTTCTGATTGACTGCGAGATAACCACAATTGAAGATAAATTTGATATTGCATTTGCTTTTCATTCACAGTGTTTTATCCATAGAGGCAAAAGCTTGTTAAATATCGTTCTCGTCCAATGATACAGTGTATGAACATTCGTTTGACTTGGTACATACAAATTTGTGGAGTCCTTCACCGGTTATAATTCGGTTTGGGATATCAGCATTTTGCTTTATTTATAAATCACACGACACAATTCTCATGGGTCTTTTTTCAAAAGCATAGATTCGGTTTAACATCGTTGGTGAAATATTTTGTTCAAATGGTCAAAACCCAATTTGACAAGACCATTAAAATTCTTCATTCTGGCCTAGGTGGAGAATTTCCAGCTATTGAACTACTTTCGTTGTACAAAACAGAAGGGATTTTGTCTCAACAGTCCTTTCCAGGAGTTCTCATCCAATGATACAGTGTATGAACATTCGTTTGACTTGGTACATACAAATTTGTGGGGTCCTTCACCGGTTACAATTCGGTTTGGGATATCAACATTTTGCTTTATTTATAAATCACACGACACAATTCTCGTGGGTCTTTTTTCAAAAGCATAGTTTCGGTTTAGCATCGTTGGTGAAATATTTTGTTCAAATGGTCAAAACCCAATTTGACAAGACCATTAAAATTCTTCATTCTGGCTTAGGTGGAGAATTTTCAGCTATTGAACTACTTTCGTTGTACAAAACAGAAGGGATTTTGTCTCAACAGTCCTATCCAGGAGTATCTCAGTGGAATGGGCTAGTAGAACGCAAACATCGACATGTTCTAGAATTGACTCGGGAACTCCTCCGCCACTCTTTAGTCCCAAATCATTTTTGGGGTAAAGCGGTTTACAATGCATTGTACTTAATCAACAGGAAAATTGCACATCTGTAGGGACCATTTTCACCATACCAGACCTTATTTGGCAAGCCACCAGAGTATTCTACTTTGGGAGTCTTCAGATGTGTATTTTTTGTACTACTTCCCTCTAAGGAGCATCATAGGTTAGAACCAAAGACAACTAGATGTGTGTTTGTAGGATACAATGATAAGCATAAAGGGTTACTTATTTTATGATATTGTGGATCTCCATATGAGGAGCGCATGTCATGTCGTCTTTTTGGAACATGTTATGTATTATTCAATTAACCTGTACGAGTTATCATCAAATGATTCATTGGATTTTTTATAGCTCCTTTGCCTTCTTTTGGACCCAATATTATGCATGCACAACATGTAGATACATATAGTGAAGAAAGGTCACATGGAACCTCCTTATCTCCCTCGGTATGGACTCCTACTTTCAGTCCTTCCTCATCCGCTTCATCATCTTTGTTGGGAGCCAACTTGCCTTCATCATCGAGCTCAAGCAGCTCGGGTAGATCTTATATCTCGGGATCATCATCTAGTGGGTCACATATTTCCGATCGAGGAACATGATGGCTCTTCACTACCTGCTCAAGCTATGGTTCCTCTAAGAAGATCAATTAGGGCGACTCTAGGGCAACCTCCCACCTGTATGTTAGATTATGTGGGGTTTGCGACCACCCCGATCATGATTCCTTCCAGTTGCACAGAAGCACAAGGAGATCCCCGTTTGGAAGGTGTCATGCAGACAGGATGCGGGAGAACTGGAAGCAAATCAAACATGGGATCTTATCTCTAGGGAACCGGACTTACCGGTTATTGGTAGCCATTGGGTATTTTACAATAAAGATGCATTTACTATGATATGGTATTTACTATGAGGAGACCTTACTCTCGTGGTTAAAAAGCAAATTGTCCGTTGTGTCTTTGTTGTAGTTGAAATGATAGGGTTGTCCTTAATTCCGTTGGATGTGAAAAATGCATTTCTTCATGGCGATATGAAGGAGACTATATATATAGAACGACTTCCAGGTTATACAAAGGGACATCCAGGCATGGTTTGTAAGCTTGTTTGATCGTTGTATGGACTGAACCAAGCATCTCGTGCTTGGTTCGGAAAGTTCCACGATACCAATGTTTATGGAGGGTTTGTCCAGAGCCAGAATGATCCCTCCATTTCATTCGTCCTACACTAGATGGAATTTTCCTCTTGCATATATATATGTAGATGATATGTTGGTGACGAGCAGTGATGCACATGGGATTAATTAAGGTTTGAGGAGTTGAAAACAACACTGCGTTGTTCGTTCAACCCTAAGGAATTGAGTGTGGATTATTTCCGCGGGTTGCAAGTACAACAATCAGCTTATGGATTATTTATCTCCCAAAAGAAGTACATTATAAATTTGCTAGTGGCTGAACAGTATAGTGAATGCACTCCATGTTCGACTCCTATGGAGCAAAACCTGATATTGCATTAAGAAAGTGGTGACTTGTTAGAGGATCAGTCGACCTACCATATTTCGACTGGCAATTTGATTTATCTATCGCATACTCGTCCAAACATTGCCTATGCAGTTCAAGTGGTAAGCCAATATATGGGCATGACAGAATAATGCATTTGGCTACAATTCATAGGCTATTGCGGTACTTGAAGCAAACTTATGATGCAGTGATACTTTTTACATCAGCAGGGGAGCCGGTAATTGAAGCATTTGGTGATGTTGACTATGTTGGTTGCAAAGATACACACCAATATACTTCAAGATGGTGTGTTCGCATAGGTGGATCCTTTGTTTCCTAGAGTTGTCAAAAACATGATCGTGTGTCGAAATCTTCTACTAAGGAAGAGTATCGATCCATGTCTTAGGTAAGTTTAGATATGGTCTAGTTGTAGTGACTACTTGGAGAATTGAGTGTTGTGGGTGGAGCACCTGTGAGGATCTATGGTGATAGCACTAGTGCAATCAAGATTGCCATCAGTCGGTGTTATATGGTAGAACGAAACATATTGAGATACATGTTCACTTTTTTCATCAATTGGTCGTAGAGGGCACAATTCAGGTTGTTATTGTCTATTGAAGATCATACAACATATCTCTTGACCAAGGCAATGACTTCAAGCAGATATTGGTACTTGTCATCCAAATTGATGTTACGTACCCAACATCGATTTGAGGGAGGGTGTTAAAATATGATAATTGGGGTACCAATTTGTAATAAGCTAATTCAACTTTTTGTATAGGGTTGTACTAGGTGAACCTGTATATATGTATAACTTTTGTGCTGTACGGAGTAACGTAAACCAGAATTTGCATTGGAGAGTTACATCTCGTGGACTAGTCATGGCATTTAGAGAAACCACTTTATATCCTAGTGTTATTTAGTTTACCTATGATAATTTGACATGTGACCCCTATAATTTTTCATATTGACAAACGTATCCAATCCGTATTTCCTCGTTAGAATGATTTTACCTTTGAGGATCCATATTCTTAATTTCGTATTGTGAAATTGTCCAAAATCAGTATCAAACCCGACCATGTGATATCCTTGATTGGATAACAAATGAATGAGAGGGAGCTAGCAAGCACAATACGATTTTTGTACCAATCTTTTTGAACTATATGCCTCACATGAAGTTGTATTCTTTGAATGACACATCTTTAAAATCCTTGTGCATGCATATAGAAAAATTTCTTAAGAATAATGAGCAATCTAATATCGATGGCAATGATTTATATAATGAGCTCAAGTTATTACAAGATTTTTTTTACCTATTTGCGCTCTACAATGACACAAGAAAGGCTCAATGGATTAGCTATGATCGCAATTGAGAACGACCTACTGGAGGATACGAAGATTGAAGAACTCATAGATAGTTTTATTTCAAAAAATCCTAAAAGGATGTTATTTTTTAAATGACGATGTAATAAGTGTATTTATTAAATTTGTTAGAAAAAATTGGGTCACAGTTTGTTTTTGGAACAGGGCATCGAGAACTTTAGGGACGACCCTTAACCCCTATATACACGCAACAATACGTACGCGCAATAGTTCAACCGAACGAGAAAATGAAAACGACCTAGATAATGAAAATCACATCCCAATACAATCACAAACGTTCGATCAATTTGTGTCAGCAAAACCCACAACCGAAACTCGATTAGGAACATGATTCCATACGATCTTGACATCCTTCCTATATGCTCGAACCCCGAAATCAACGACGTCTCGAGTTCGAGGATCGAACACAACAACCTCTCCTCCGAAATACGATCTCCCGACCTCCTTCTTCCTCCTCCTCCTCACAAACACACACTTCCATCCCTTCCACATCCCCAGACAACGATACGGCATGTAGTAATCCTCGTCACCAGGAACGTCATACAACTTCACCCACGAAGCCGCCACTCCATACTTCAACATCATCCACACTTGAAGCACGACACCCATATTACGGTGGGACGAGAAGACCGCCACCATCGAGCCTCTCGAGAAGGTGATGTGCAGAGGAAACATGGTCCCGTTGTCCTCCACCGCCGGATCCAAAACGTCGACCACCTCGAACGCTTCCTTTGCTAGGTCGAAAGAGAGCACTTTCGTCATCCGGCTACAACAATATTCTCGATTCCAAAGGTAGCATTTCCCGTCGTGGCACTCGGGAATCGGGATTGCTGTGTTGGTCATGAACCGGGAGATCAGGTCCACGTCGCCGCAGGTCTCGACCTTGCTCCACGAATCACGCATCAGGCTGTACACTTCGGCGAAACGGACGATGACCCCCTCGCCAGCCCTCCGTTTTCCGGCCTTTTTCAGCCTGACGAGCTTGTAGTCATTCGTTGTCGGGTCGAAACCAAACATCGGGCCGCAGAACAAGCTGTGGCGACGTTCCGGCGAGGTAAATGGGGAAGGTGGAAGTGCTTTCGTCTCCGAGGTGGCCGGGTTGTATAGATGGATACCTGAAAATTAAGTACGTAATTAAATAAAGTTCACGGATTTCGTAACTAGTATTAATCTAATTAGACTAAAACATTGTATAATAGATTCCTAGCAGGAAAGAGTTTGACTCATATATAAGCTTTGATTGAACTATTATTTTGCTAAAACATTGTATAGTAGGGCCGGAAAACGGTGCGGTCTGGTCTAGACTAGATCATATATACGGTCTATGATTCAGACCGAGAGGCTAAAGTATAGACCACAGACTATACGGTTCAGTCCAGACCACGCCTGTGCGATTTGGTTCGGTCTGGTCTGGTCTAGATAGACCACACTCAACGAAAAATGAACAATTTGTTTGGTCAACCACACAAAAAATTGAACCAATAACCAAGAAAAATAATTGTTATTTGCCTTAAAACATTAATCCTAACATGCATGAATAATTTTGGTACCCTAATTCTTAGTACATAACAAAGATTTAAAGTAAAAGCATCCCAACTTGCACCATAACGTCATAAAACATTAACATAATGTCATATTGACACATTAACACATTAACATTATCTCTACTCTCTGGTTAAATGTGGTTGTGAATGAAGGAGAGACGAGATTCACAAAATTAAGGTTGAGACTTGGGTTTCGTTGTGGGAGTTGGGAGAGTGATCAAATGGGCTGTCAGCACGTATTGACAAGTTGGTTGGGTCCACGGTTTGGTCCGGTAAATCGCGGTCTAGACCTGACCAGACCAAGAGATCAAAACATAAAATAATATAGACCATACTTAACGGCCTACGGTCCAGACCAAACTGTACGGTATGGTTTGGACCACGGGTTTTCTAACGGTCTGGTCTGTTTTCCCAGCCATATTGTATAGTAGATTCCTAGCAAAAAAATCCAACACATAAAAGCGAAACTGAATGAAAGTACAATATTAAATAGCTCTAGATCGAGCTGAGCTTAACGAACCATCAAATCAAGTAGGCTTAGCATGCTATACTCAACCAAATTCATCGAATAAAGCTAGCTCACGAGCGTGAGTAGTAGACTAAGGTCTAGCTCAAATTTGGCTCGTTGAGCAAAATACGGTAAAATCGTAATAAGATCGTACCGTTGGGTTCTTGTGTCCTGTTACTCAAACAAAAGATGCCATTGTCGTAGCCCACAATGCGACAACTATTATATCCCACGCCTCTGGTGCTGGGGAGGACGACCGGTCGCGGTGGATCGGCGGATAAGGGAAGAAGAGTGTCGTACGAGCAGGGAGAGAAGATAGGTTCTCTATCGCCGGTCAGACGGAAGATTATGATCTGACGGCTGTCATCGGAATCCTGCTCTGTGACGAGGATCTGACGGAGGAAAGCCGGGTCGGAGAGAAGATCGCGCCATGATCTGCATACGCACCGGAACCGGGCCAGAGCCAATGCGGCGGGAAGCTTCTTGAAGATTTCGATCACGAGGTCGGCCGGGAGTTTTGTGCTGGACAGCGTTGACGTCTCCGCCGGTTGATCGCCGGCGGAAATTTTCAGTCGTTTGTTGGACTTGGACATCTTGTTGGATGCAATGTAACATAAAGCTTAGGGTTTTCACTTTTCATTCAACTAAATTTGTAATTACGAAGCTAATTATAATTAAATATTTATCTAATTCCCGCGCTTTTCCTTATCTGAGTTCGACGATTAGTCGACTCCCGCGCTTTTTTTTTTCTTTGAATGACTGATTGTTACCGCTACTATTGGCAAAAAAAAAAAAAAAATTGTAATTACGAAGCTAATTATAATTAAATATTTATCTAATTCCCGGCCCAAAAAGAGAGGCCCACAGTCCCATCCCTTCCGGCCCAAAGACAGTTCTCCGCACGAAATGATTTCCCGCCTTATTTTACCACCATGCTTCAATCTTTCGAGCGCTGATTCGGTGTTAATCCAACTTTTCCCCTGAACTCCGCCGAGCAAATTCCCGATGTTAATCCGATACAGAAGAAGCGTAAGGAAAACTCAAGATTTTACCCCAACCCCTTCTTCTCAACTCCAATCTCGAGCGAACTCTGCTCTGCGAAATGAGAATCAGTTGTCCAGGAGCACAATCCCTGCGTTCGTTCTTTCAAATCCGATTCTCCATCTGCTCGAGAAATGCAAATCGATCTCCCAGTTGAAGCAGATTCAGTCTCAGATGGTTCTCACGGGGTGGATTGCAGACGGGCAGGCGTCCAGTCGTTTGATCGCGTTCTGCGCGATTTCGCAATCAAGGGACATCGATTACTGCATCTCGATTCTGGATTCGATCGAGGAGCCAAACGCGTTCTCGTGGAATTTCGCGGCTCGGGGATGTGTAGAGAGTGGGTATCCTGGGAAGGCATTTGTTGTGTACAAGAGAATGCTGGGTCGCGGGTTCAGGCCTGACAGTTATACTTACCCGTTGCTGTTGAATGCTTGCTTTGGGTTGGGATTGGATTATTTGGGTCTTGAGATTCTCGGGCATGTGTTGAAGTTCGGGTTTGATGGGGTTGTTGTCGTGCACAATGCGACGATTCACATGTTTGCTTCTGTTGGGGAGTTGGGGTATGCACGCCAGGTGTTCGATGAAGGTCGCGTGAGAGATTTGGTTTCTTGGAATTCGCTGATTAATGGGTATGCTAGGAAGGGGAAGGCGAGGGAGGCGATGAGTGTTTATAAGGAGATGGTGGAGGAGCAGGTGAAGCCAGATGAGGTGACGATGGTTGGGCTCCTTCTAGCTTGTGCACAGTTGGGGGATCTGAAACTGGGAAGAGATTTCCATGGCTATGTTGAAGAAAACGGATTGAGATTAACGGTTCCCCTCACAAATGCACTTCTGGATATGTATGTGAAGTGTGGTGATCTTGCCGCTGCAAGAGCTCTGTTTGTGAAGTCAAAAGAGAAAACTGTTATATCATGGACTACAATGATTGTTGGATACGCAAAATGTGGATTTTTGGAGACAGCGAGAGAGATTTTTTACGCCATGCCAGAAAAGAATGTTGTCTCTTGGAATGCTATTATGGGAAGTTATGTCCAAGCCAAGCGTGGCAAGGATGTGTTGATTTTGTTTCATGAAATGCAAGGTAGCGATATACACCCGGATAAGGTGACCATGGTTCATTGTTTATGTGCTTGTTCACAGCTTGGCGCACTCGATACTGGAATGTGGATTCATCGGTACATTGAAAAGCACCAGCTTCCTTTAGATGTTGCTTTAGCGACAGCTTTAGTTGACATGTATGCAAAGTGCGGGAACCTCCCAAAGGCTATTGATGTTTTTCATATCATGCCAGGGAGAAACACCATGACTTGGACTGCTCTCATTTGTGGTCTAGCTTTCCATGTACATGCACTTGATGCCATATCCTACTTCCTGAAGATGCTCGATGCTGGTTTGATGCCGGATGAAATCACCTTCATTGGTGTACTATCTGCTTGTTGCCATGGTGGGTTGGTGGATGCAGGCCGTGAGTATTTCGACCAAATGACGTCCAAATTCAGTCTCCGTCCTCAGCTCAAACACTACTCTTGCATGGTGGATCTTCTCGGTAGGGCTGGTTTACTGAAAGAAGCACTAGATTTGATTGAGAGCATGCCGATGGAGGCAGATGCTGCAGTGTGGGGTGCACTGTTTTTTGCTTGTAGAATTCATCATGGAAATATTGTCATAGCTGAAAGGGCAGCTTCAAAGCTCCTCGAGCTGGATCCCCACGACAGTGGGATTTATGTGCTGCTGGCAACCATGTATAGAGAGGAAAATATGTTTGAAGAGGGCAGAAAAGTGATGAAAATTATGCAGGAAAGAAGAGTGGAGAAGATCCCTGGGAGTAGTTGCGTTGAAGTTAGTGGCATTCTTTATGAGTTTATCGTTAGGGATAGATCGCACCCACAAACTGAACTGATCTATGAGTGCTTAACTCAAATGATTAAGCAGCTGGAGTCACTTGATTTCCAATTTGAAGATGCAGCTTTCTGCTAATGTACAAGGTTGGTATTCATTTGCACCATTCACTAATCTGCTTTTGTTTTCACGAAGTTAAACTGGTTTAAAAGTCAAGGTAAAATGGTGAGGACTGAGGAGGGTGATTGAAGTTTTTGAATCGTTGCTGGTGTGGGAGTCATGGCTTTGTCAGCCTATTTTGTCATTTATCCTCACCTAATAATCTTCACACCCATCTGGCAGGAAGGCTATAAAGCAAAGAGGCTTCCAAATTCCAATTATTGAGTTGGAGGAAAAATTATTCTTCAGACAGGTAACTACATTGGGATTGTCTTTTATATGTTTTACCTCATCTTCACTAGCTTAGTTCTTCTTGATGGCAAGTGCTGAATTTATTATTTGATCTTAAGTCCTTAACCCGGTAAGCTTTAAGAATTGAACATTATAAAAAAAGCTTTGAAGACAGTCAAGTCAAAGGAGACTCTGGTGACCTAGTTGCCACCATCACCATGGTAAATTAAGCTGCATAGGTTAGATTTGTATGATCCAAAGAGTTAAGAGAGTTGTTAGTGCAATGATGTGCATAGAACTCCTACTTAAGGAACAGCAGCGTGGGTGGGAAGGGGAAACATGTTCTAATTAATTATGTTAAAATTATATGACAGAGTCACAAATGTTGAAAATGAATTAACCTTGGGGAAAAGGGGAAAATGGAAATGTTATAGAAAGGGATCCAATGTTGGCATGTAAGAGAGGGAAGAGTTTTTTACTCCAGAAACAGAGATTCACTCTTGACAGGTTCTGGAGGCAAAACACGAAGAAAAAAAAAAAACAAAAACACTAAAAGATGGGGTCAACTATCATATTCGAGCACTTAACTTTGGGGTGACTAACACATTAGTCACTAAACTTAGTAAGTTTGAAAAAGAAAACATTATTGTCACTTTGTTCATCTTAAGTTAGGTTTTTAGTCCAAATAGTTTATGTTAGTGTATCAATTCATGGTGATTTGGGTAAATGTTTTGGAATTGGATCGATTCAAAGGTTTGATTCGTCCGAGTCCATGTAACCTCCACATCATTGATTTATGTGAATCAGTACTCTAATTTGGATGGAACACATAACATAAATAGATGAAGTAATTGTTGAGTTAGTTATTTTTTAACTTCAATAATAAGTTTGTTATAAATTAAAGTATCAGTGACTGATAAGGTAGCTCCAGAGTTTAGTAACCATCTAAAGTATCAGTGACTGATAAGGTAGACTCCAGAGTTTAGTAACCATCTATATAATTGACGAAAAAAGGGTGACGGGGTGGATATCATATGCAGTAATTATCATCTGTCCTTGCTTGCACGCAATGTTTCATTTTTCTCGCGCTTCTCATCTTTTATGTTCATTCACATTCACATATTCAATTGTTTTGTTCCTCCCTCATGCCTATTTCTGTTTTTGTTTTGTCATCACTCGTCTTCCCCACATGCCTGACAGCTTTTGTTGGTCTCTCTCTAGTGGCCTGGTGGCCGTTTCATTTGTTTGGGGTCATATGGCCCCATAGCCATCTGTCATTGCTAACCTGAATTTCACCAACGAGAAATCTTGATCTGGGTTTGTGCTCAGAGACCCATCTGGCTGCCTTGAATATGCGCAAAGTTACAAGTTTAGGGAATGTCATTTCTGTTGGGTAGTTGGAAGTGTTTCCTGGTTTTAGGTGAGAAAACTAGGGTAAGAAGCTTTCTAAAAACTAGCCATTTGGATTTGCTTACCAGAATGGGGTATTTCCTAGTCACAGCTTATCATCTTGAATTCCCTTGATGCATACTTCACCTAACAACAGCAGCATCTAAGTTGGTGACCCAAAATTTGCTGATTTAGGTCTCGAAAGAGTTTTGGGAGACTATGGAATGTGATGAAATGATGGGGGATTTTGCGTGGGGGGAAATTTCATAGTGGTGGACCTAATCAGTGACCAGAGCTGCCACATGACCACCTTCTTTTGCTTCTATGCCCTGCCTTTTGGAATAATTTGCTTTTGTTACTTCAAGCCATTTAAGCTTCTTGGGTTCTTCTTCTCGAGCACATGCTAATTTCTTTTAGGGCTGGGATATATATGTATATACCAAATCCAAAATAAAACAATACAAAAGTTGGAGTCTTGAAGTGTGGGATTTGCTATGTTTTCTTGATGATTTGATTCTTCTATCTCTAAGTATCTTTGTTTTGTTTGGACTAACTGATATTGATCATGAGAGTTTCACGATTTACATTCAATTGGATTGGACTAATTGATATATAATTGAATTAGATCTGACAAGATAGACGATAAAAAATGTTGTGAACTTAATCAAAATTCAATCATCAAAATTTACTTATGATTAAGTTTTAATTGTATTGGTTCCATTTTTGAACCCTGGTTTAGTTCAAGCTTTCTTAATCTTCAACATTTTTAAGTGCAGGTTGGCTTTAATTTTCTTCATTCATGTGCTTTTCTGGAAGGAGCTCAAGGTTATGAGGTTTGGTTTACTCTAGCTTAATTCAATTAAATGAAAACAAGTAATGGAAAATCATCACATGATATCCAGCTAATTTTAAGCATACTTCCAAAGCCTTTTTCGTCTTCATAATTCATATCATGTCATATCTGTGTGTTTCTTCTAAATTCCTTTTTTCCTCTTAACTCAAGCAGCTACCCTTCTTGCAGCGTAGGAATGGTTTTGGTGACCTTCCTTTCAACCGTAAGTCACATGAACCTCACTCTCAGTTTTAATTTGAGTTAAGTAGATAGTGCTGAGTTTTATTATAAATTTAATCGTTATAAGTTAAGTGTCAGAGCAAAATTAAATATTACAATAACTCGAATTCAGTCTATAATACATCTTAGTAGTAGTGATTATGCATGGGCAATTAGGCACTAATTTTGAATTTCTATCTAAACACCTATTTAAAGTTTACCACTTTGATTTCTCAATTCTTCCCATATCGACTGACCCCACCATTGATTGTGATCTTCAGCTCCCCCAACCATAAATACGAGGAATATATTTTGGTGAAAGAGAAGCTAGGCAATGGGGAGGGACCCAGTTTATCTTTTGTTTTGCTATCCTTAACAAGTTCATTTCTTGCTTGCCTGTGTTATCTTGCCACATTGATACATGGAGTGCCACTTTCTTTCTCCAATTTGGCTATTCCTTCATTGGCTTTGGCTTCTATATAGGCTTCTATATAGGTCACCAACCATCTCTATCAAACTCCTTTTGCTTTGGAATTCCAATTAACTCTCTCTCCCTCCTCCTCAGTATTTTGCTTTGGACAAACTTTAGGCAAAGAACCTTCCTTTTCTTTCCTATCTTTTCATCCTTTTCCCCACATGAGTAATTTCCTGGGAAATGAATGAATGACTGCACTAATGAATGAAAAGTTAAGATGTGAGCAAGTGTTGTAGTATCATCATTCATTCCATTGTCAACTCTATCATAATTAAATAGGTTGTTTTGGGTTTAATTTGATCATCTTTTTTACTTTCCACTAGACAGATACCTGGGATTCTTCTCTTGGTAAATGCGAGTGCCACTTAGATAAAAGGAAGTTGCTGCTTCATTGCAATGCCTGCCAAGTGTTTGCGAAAATTACTCTTTCGTTTTTTTGTGGCTTCATTTTTCCTCGAGTGACAGTGTCCTTGGTAAACCACCGCATAAAGGCGGCCACCATCCACCTTCCCTCCCCCCAACTCAGCCAACAAGTCCATACAGTTAGAGACAGACAGACAGATAGACAGTGTCTCGACGGAGAAGAAGAAATGGCATTCTCGTGAAACCACCACAGGAAGAGAAAAAAAGAGAAAAGTGAAAAGCTTGGGAAGATGACGATGGCGGGGGCGAAAGAAACCCTCTGATTCTTCTTCTCTTCACAAAATAAAAAGCTCTCAATGTCGGGTTCCTTTCTTTCTTTACTTCCCTCTCTCTTTTGCATCTCCCATTTGATATTGGCATTATAATATTACTACTGAGATCACAGAAACCCCGTTATCGTTTAATCTTTCTCTTCACTCCTTGTCTCACTAATCCATTCTCTCACATTTCCCTCTTAAGAATATAATTTTTTTTTCCGCTTCGAGTTCACGCAAGTACTCGATTTCTGATGCCTTAATATCGTCCTAGTTCTTGCCTTTCACACTTCCACTTTAATCTGGACTTGTTTCTTCTTCTTCTGGTTCCCCTCCGTGGTGTCATTTTCTCTCTCTCCTTCTTTGTCTAACATTTGTAGCTTGATTCACTTGATTGCCTTAAATCTTGATCCGAGGGGAAGATCCCACAGCGTGTTTGATGCCAGCATAATTGTAATTCGTGAACTGCATTGCTTGAATTGTGATTTGGAATTACTTCCACCGCATCTATCCCTTTCGTTGTTCTTTTTGTGTTGATCTGTTTCTTTCGTCCTGTCATCTTCCCCAGGGTTCTTGAAAAAGATTCCCCACTCACCCATTTGGAGCAGTTGACTGATTCGACTATGTTTGTGCTCGACTGAAGCTTCCAGGCTAAATTCAAACTGGTTAGTAGGCATTGCTTTTTTGGTTTAATGGTTTGGAAGTGCTAAAGCTGGTGTCTTTTTGATTTCCTGACGTTTGTGGGGGCTCTTTGTAGCAGAATAGTTTTTCTACAGAGATGAGTTGGAGTCCGAGCATGGATGTTCACTACATGGAGACTAGTTATCCTTATAATTCAGCTGGAAGCTTCATGGAATACTTTCAGGGTCTCACATATGAACACGTGAATTTCATCTTTGATGGTGGTTGCCATGCTCAGGTACCTACCTAGCTGATCCTGTTGTAGTCCGGATTTTGAGAATTTCACCCCAGAAGAAAGCATTTCATTCACCATTTTTGTTCTCACCTTTTAAGGTCTTGCCAATGTAATAATTTGCGCAGGACAGTAGCGGTGACAGTTCAAATTTCTACAAATTTGGCACTTCGCAACCAGGAGGTACTTCGTATTGTGATCCGAGTCACTCTTATGAAGTCCATGATCATGGACGCGAGATCGATGAATACGTACGGCCCTTTCTGAGTTCTTCACAAATGCCTCTTGGCCGGACTGTTGGTAGAAATGCAGATTGGGATAGTCATGAGAACGCAACTGCCCATGAAAACCCTATTGACTGTAAGTCTAAAGTTCTGAACTTATTATTTCCCCTGGCACTTTTTTGTGAACTTGATTAACCATATGGCTAGATAAGTTGACAAACCATGCACTGATTAACAATATAGGAGCCAAGAGAACAGTTCTTGTTGTAGGGTGTTGTGTTATAGTGTGCGGTTCCTTTCCTGAGATAAACAATTCTCAGATTTGGTGGCCTATGATGTTCTGTTAGTTATATGCCTTATTTGTTTAACCTCGGGTTGTTAGACAATACTTGCCTACACTATTTTACATCTGAATACTATTTGAGATTGCTCTTCTTTTTGTGCTGTACAAAAACTTTTGGTTTCAGGCTATTGCTATAATGTCTTCTCCTCACTTTAAAGTAATATTTTCCTTTCAGGTGTGCGGAGACATCATAATGCTCATGATTACCATGAGGTGTGTTGATCTCATGATGCCATTCTTTCCTATTATAAGATAGAATTGCCTATGATTACTCTTTATTTCGACTTTCGCTAGTTGTAAAATGAAAGGGCTGCTGCAAGTGTTATACATATACTTAGATCTAGCAAAATTGTTCTTTAACATGTTGGAACTCACCAATTTTGAGGAACCATGGACATTATGCATTGATAGCAATAGTGCAGTGCTTCCTTTAGACACCCCTAGTATCGTTCCTTCACTCACTGATTTCTTTGACAATGACTTCTGCTCCTGTTTGTATGTAATATGCAGGCTGTGTGGCAAGACAGCGTTGATCCCGACCATATGACTTATGAGGTAAAGGACATAGCCTCCGCGTATCTCTTCTAACATTTTGCACTTTAAGTGTTAGCGTTCTAATTGAACAGAAAATTAGTCGCTTCATGTGAATAGGTTAGTTACAGTTAGTAATCAACATTTTCCCTGTCCAGGAATTGCTCGAACTAGGTGAGGCAGTCGGAAGCCAGAGTCGAGGGCTCTCCCAAGAACTCATCTCTTTGCTTCCTGTCTCGAGATACAGGCGTTGCATCTTCGCGAGAAGGAAATCAAGAACCGAAAGGTACGCAACTCACATTTCAGAAATACACCATGCGAAGCATAACGATGGGAATAACACCAGTAACTAAGTAACCACAATCTGCTCTGTTTCTTTAGGTGTGTAATTTGCCAAATGGAGTACAAGCGAGCTCAGAAGCGCATCACGCTACCGTGCAAGCACATCTACCACGCCAGCTGCGGTACTAAATGGCTAAGCATCAATAAGGTAAAGCACACTGGACGCTCTAGGTATCGCATTTTCAGTATCTTCTTTTTCAACTGTTCACAAGTCCTTCGAAAGCTAATACTTTCTCCATCAGGCATGCCCCATATGTTACACCGAGGTGTTCAGTGGCGCAGCATCAAACGTCAAGAAATAAGCAAACCTGAAGGCAATACTATACGGTCGATTTTCCCCCCGGGATCCAAGTTTGGGGTGGTAGTTTTTTTCTCATTCATACCTTTTCTGTTAGTTTCTGGGTTTTAGTTGGCTTCTGTAGTGGGATTGGAGTGGAAGAAGAAGAAGTAGAAAAGGTGATGGACTGTGCGAAATGAAAAAAAAAAAAGATTAGGGAAGAGAATGTTGCACGCTACGTTTGATGTTATTATGCAAGGCAAGTCCTACGCTGTATTCAGTTTCTCCCAACCTTCTCTCCTTTCCTTCTTACTTCATAAATGCAAAGATATCCATATTTAAGGAAAAGGTGAATTATAACAGGGTTTTAGAATAATTCCCAAACATGGTTATATAAGCTCAGAGCTAGTCTAAAAGAACTTTTTGTATCTTTAACTACGAAAGGGCAATTGACATAACGAAATAAGCAGTTAAGTTGCAATTCAACTCATAATACTTTCATGGCACCACATCAATGCAATTAACTCGCAATTGTAATTGATCTTTTAATTTAATTATATGAGCACAAACTCTTAAAATAACACAAATAATAAATTATTGAAAGAGAAAAAATGACATGGCTTGCATTCCATAATTGCATTATATGCAAGCTTGCAAAGATGCAATTGACATCTACATCAATGCAATTGCAAATGAATGTCATGTCATTAAATTAAAAGATCACAATCTCAGTCACAAAGTTGACCATTTTGGCATGACAACAGTAATCATAATCTTATAAAAAAAACTTGTTTCTTCATTTTAAAACTTATTAGTTGTCAATTTAGAAGAAAAATGAAGAGTTAATATTATCCTTTTACTCGTTAAACCCAAGACACAACCTCCATGGTCTCCAACAACTCCAGTAGTTGATGGACGAGATCAGATATGGCAAAAGCTAACAAGGAAAGTGACTGTATAAGAAAAGGAAGGTGATGATCTTGATCAAACGGCTAGTTAGCCTAACGGCTAATTTGGGGCTATATATATTCTCTGTTCATTCTTCTTTGAGTTCAACTTTTACAGAAGAGAGCATTAGGCGGTACAGGGCTTTTTGTCTTAAAGTAAAAGGGGGTTTCTCCAGGGGTATAGGGTCTGAGAGAAGTGGCTGATTATCTTTGCAGAGTTTTGGGATTGAAACTCTGGTTGAGTTCTTGATATTAGATAGAGTTCATTTTCTTTGTAACTGTATCAATTAAAGCAAAAACAATAGTGTCTCTCGGCAGTAGTGGTGACTATTGCCGAGACGAGGACATAGCCAATTTTGGGTGAACCTCGTTAAAATCTCAGTGTTCTCTTTACCTTTCAATTTCTGCTTCTTTCTCTTTGAAGATTGCTGGGTTGTTTCTGTTCTGGAAAACATACAGAGTTCTACTCTGTTCTTCATTTCAGAAACACAAAGGGCCAAGGGCTCCAAAGCCCATTCGTTATTATTATTTCTCAACTAATCAAACTGGGCCTATCTTTGTCTTCGGCCCATTTTGTTTAAAACAAGAGAATACATTCTCTTTACTCTGCTTGTCATCGTCCCTGTCGACATTCCTTCTTCCCCTTTCTTCTTTTCAGATTCGAAACCAAATCCCTAACTCAAGTTCGACCTTCAAGTGGTATCAGAGCCTTCCTTTGAAGGAGCTCACTACTGCCAAAGGTAACGATCTATGGGAACCAACTCTGCCGCCACCTTCCTGCATCGCATCACAATCCCCCATGGTTCACAGGCTCAAACTATAATGCCTGGAAGAAGCGAATGAAAACATTCATGTGGGGGATAGATGTCGATCTATGGCTTATCATAAAGGATGGACCAGTGGAGATGGATCCAGAGCGTCAAGACGAATGGACAGACATGCAAAAGAAGAGTGCACAGCTTAACTGTCGGGCTATGCATATCCTTCAAACTGCCATTTCGCCTGACGAAATCGACAAGGTGGAGCAGTGTGAGACTGCTAAAGAAATCTGGAGCATTCTTGAAGCAACCTACGAAGGTACGTCAAATATCAAAGAAACTCGTATTGATTTATTGATGCATGAATACGAGACTTTTGATATGCAGCCGAATGAAGGGATTCATGATATGTATTCCCGATTCACTGGCTTGACGAACAAATTAAAAGGGCTGGGTAGAATTATACAATCTAAGGATATGGTTAGAAAAATTCTTCGCTCCCTACCTAAGGAATGGCTGCCTAAACGGACAGCCATTGAAGAAGCGAGAAACTTAAATACTCTAACTGTGGATGAATTAGTAGGTTCTCTCTTGAGTCATGAGCATGTGATTAAACAAGTGGGAAAGGAAGATGAGCGTCGTAGGAAGAATCTAGCCTTCAAAAGTCATGTTTATGAGTTTGATTCTGACTCTGAAATTGATGCCGATTTCGAAAGAGAATTAGCTATGGTCAGCAAAAAATTTCATCGAATGATGAAATACAAAAACGACCAAAAGCAACGTTCTGCTGGAAATAGAGGTCGCTTTGAAACACAAAATCACTTTCGAGGGTCAAACAATAGATTTTCTGGATCTTCTAGTCATTATCCTGACAATAGGTTTCCTGAGTCATCCTATAGACAGAATGAAGTTATAAATCGTACTAGTGATTCAGGAAGAAATACTGCTAACACTGGTCGGTTTAAAACTGCTTCTTTTGAGAGATATGCCTCCCAGGAAAAGGATATGAATGGCGGAGCAACTGATCGTGAACCTCAAGGATGTTACAAGTGTGGAAGAATAGGACACGTCAGAGCAAATTGCCCTCTCACAATGAGAGCCAAAGAGAAAGCTTTAGCAGCATCTTGGAGTGATTATGAATCAGAAAATGACGAGGAAGGACAAACTGAAGTAGCTTACATGGCTAAAGAAAGCAACCTCGACTCAAATCAATATCACAATGAGGATTTCCACGAAACAGAAAGCAAATGGTACTTGGACAGCGGGTGTTCTCACCATATGACAGGTAACGAAACTCTTTTCTCTACTTTGGATTTTAAAATGGGGGGTGAGGTAGTGTTTGGAGATAACAGTGCTGGTAAAATAGTTGGACAAGGGACTATTGGCCTGTCCCCTATGCCAACTGTTAAAGACGTGATGTTAGTTGATGGTCTCAAACATAATTTGTTGTCAATTAGTCAAGGGTTAATATTTTCGTATGGCCTGAACTTTGACCAAAATAAACATCCTGGCCAATCTTTTCGATCTATAACATCCTGGCCCGAACTATACACCAAAATAAACAATTTGGCCAAATCCGACTTTTGACCGTTAACTTGGACGGTCAAACGCGTTGACCGTTAGTCAACGTGCCATGTCACTGCCAAATCAGCATAAAATATTTAAAATAATTCACAATTCCACACATTCCCTAATTTTAAATTATTATAAATTTAAAAAATCATCTAATACCTTTGTTAAACAAAAAATAAAAAATAAAAAAATTAAATATTTATCAGATCATCTGACTTGGCAGTGATGTGGCAGTGACGTGGCGCATTGACCATTAGTGAACGCGTTTGACCGTCCAAGTTAACGATCAAACATCAGGTTTGGCCAAATTGTTTATTTTGGTGTATAGTTCGGGCCAAGATGTTATAGATCGAAAAGATTGGCCATGATGTTTATTTTGGTCAAAGTTCAGGCCATATGAAAATATTAACCCATTAGTCAACTATGTAGTAGTGGAAACAAAGTTACTTTTGAGTCATCTCACTGTTTGGTAGAACGTATTAGTGATAACAAGGTAATATTTATAGGAAATCGAATTGGAAATATGTACGTGATTGATTTATGTGATCTTGATGCTTTTAATGAAAGATGTCTAGTGTCTCAAGCCTATCAGCAAGAGACAATTTGGCATAAAAAACTCGGACATATCAGTTTGAAGAGACTTGCGTCTCTATCCAAATCAAAACTGGTTCGTGGTATTCCTAATCTAAAAGAGCGAAGTGATTTCTTTTGTACTGCTTGTGCTGCTGGCAAACACTCCAGAAAACCTTTCAAGGCCATCTCTGACATTACAACCAACAAACCTTTTGAACTAATCCATATGGATTTGTTTGGTCCATGTACTGTCACTAGCCTTGGTGGAAAAAATTACGTGTTTGTTTTAGTTGATGATTTTTCTAGATACACTTGGATTTTCTTTCTTGCTAGCAAGGATGAAACTTTTAGAAAATTTGAATCTTTTGTCAAAATGCACTCTGATGTGAAGGGTATTAAAAGTGATAACGGGGGTGAGTTTGTATCTGAAGAATTCTCTGAATTCTGTGAGGTGAGGGGTATAAAACACATGTTTTCTGCACCGCGCACTCCCCAACAAAATGGGGTAGTTGAGCGAAAGAATCGAACATTAATAGAAACTGCTCGTACTATGCTTCTTGACTATGATCTTCCTAAGTATTTATGGGCAGAAGCAGTAAGCACTTCTTGCTATGTTATTAATAGGGTTCTTGTTCGAAAATTGATCAACAAAACCCCTTATGAAATCCTGAAAAACAAGACACCAAATATTTCTTATTTTCATCCTTTTGGGTGTCGTTGCTATACCTTAAATACTAAAGATACCCTTGGAAAATTCGATGCCAAGTCAGATGAATCCATCTTTTTGGGGTATTCTTTGAAAGGTCAAGCATACAGAGTTTATAACAAACGTACCAAGAAGGTAGAAGAATCTGTGCATGTCTTATTTGATGATACTGATTCTACTACTAAGGTTCCTAAGACAGGAAACAATGTTTTCGATCTCTTTGAGTTGACACATTGGGATAACAATCCATCTCTAAAAGACATACCTACTGAAGAGGGAATACAAACATCCAGTTCCAATGTTATCAAGACCACCTCTGAAGGAGAATCAGCCTCCATCTCAGACATTGAGAAGAACATCCAGGCACCACCCCACATTCAGAAAAGACATCCAGAAAGCCAAGTCATCGGTAACATTACAGATGGGCTGCGAACCCGAGGTAAGTACACCCCTGGACAATACGCTTATATTTCTAAAGTAGAACCTAAATCATACAAGGAAGCATTACATGATGAGGAATGGGCATATGCTATGTTAGAAGAATTAAATCAGTTTGAGTACTTAAAAGTCTGGGAACTTGTTCCTAGACCTCTAGGAAAAACCATTATAGGAACCAAGTGGGTTTTTAGAATAAGTCGGATGAAGATGGTAATATTATTCGCAACAAGGCACGCCTTGTTGCGCAAGGGTATTGCCAAGAGGAAGGAATAGACTACGATGAGACTTTTGCTCCCGTAGCTCGTCTTGAATCAATTAGGCTGCTATGCGCTTTTGCTTGCAATAAGAATTTTCCTTTATATCAAATGGACGTTAAAAGTGCGTTCTTAAATGGTCACATCCAAGAGGAGGTTTATGTGTCTCAACCTCCCGGATTTACTGATTTCAGCACCCTGATTATGTTTATAAGTTAAACAAAGCTCTTTATGGGTTAAAGCAAGCCCCGAGGGCTTGGTTTGATCGCTTAACTGCTTTTCTTTTGGAACAAGATTTTACTCAAGGGTCAGTTGACAAAACTCTATTCACTAAGACTTCTGCTGGTCACTTTCTTATAGTTCAAGTGTACGTAGATGATATAGTGTTTGGGTCAACAAATCCTTCTATGTGTTCTGACTTTTGTGAAGCAATGAAATCTGTTTTCGAAATGAGTATGATGGGGGAGCTTCAGTTTTTCCTTGGTCTTCAGTTTAAACAAACTGCACATGGTACGTTTATAAGTCAGTCTAAATACATTAACACCATGCTGCACAAATTTAATCTTTTTAATGTCAATTCCAGCCCAACTCCAATGGCTGTGAATCTTAAATTAGACAAGGATGACAGTGGAGTACCAGTAGATGAAAAATTATATAGGGGAATGATTGGTTCCCTCCTTTATTTGACTGCTAGTCGGCCTGATATCCAGTATAGTGTATGCTTATGTGCTCGATTTCAGGCTGCACCCAAAGCTAGTCACTTGGCTACAGTTAAACGTATATTTCGATACTTAAAGGGAACTGTCAATGTAGGTCTCTGGTATCCTAAACAAACTTGCTTTGATCTGATTGGTTATAGCGACTCAGACTTCGCTGGAAGTCTTACTGATCGCAAGAGCACAAGTGGCTCCTGTCAATTTGTTGGTTCATCACTTGTCTCTTGGTCATGTAAGAAACAAGGGGCAGTTGCCCTCTCCACTGCCGAGGCTGAATACATAGCAGCTGGAGGGTGTTGTACTCAACTTCTTTGGCTCAAATATCAACTAGGTGATTATGGTTTAAATGTTCCTATCATTCCCTTATTTTGTGATAACACTAGCACGATCTGCATGACCAAAAATCCAGTGCAGCATTCTCGCACTAAGCACATTGAAATCAAATATCACTTTATTCAAGAATTAGTTCAGAATCAGGTCATTGCTTTAGATTACATCTCCACTGAATTTCAGTTAGCTGATATGTTCACTAAACCTTTATCTATTGATCGATTTACTTGTCTGTGCTATGACATTGGCCTACGGTCAATTGAAAATCTTCACGATTTTCTTATTAAATGATGCCTTGCTCTGTCTTTCCTTTTGTGTGTTGATTCTTGATTTATTTAGCTTCCTTGTTTTGTTCTTGTTTCCTTTCTTTTGTCTACTGATTTTTTGGCTTCTGCATTTTTCTCTTCTTTGTGTCGTCTGGTCTTCCTGGCTCTTCCTTTGCCGTTCTCTATTTATACCCTGCTTCCTTGGCTGCTGCACTAACAAGTTGTCAGTCATCCTTTCTTCTGCAACAATGAATTATGTTTTCTCTCAAACCTACACCGGTTATATCTTCCCTGAGCCCATTTCTTTCAGTCGTCATAGGTTTGCTCTAGCTTATGAAAATCGTCCTATTGCTCCTCCCATTCATGTTCATCTTCCTGACTTCATGGATTTTGGACTTGATGTAAGGGAGTTCATCCATAATCTTGGCTGGGATTTTCTTTTGCTAGATCCTCCTTTTCTGATCTGTCCTGAGCTGGTTAGCTACTTTTACTCAAATCTCCGCTCTTTTGGCCTGCACAGTCGCTGTTTTTCAACTGTAGTTTATGGGCATCTCGTTACCATTCCTGTGCCTGAGTTGGCTCGCCTTCTCGGCATTCCTCCAGTAGGCGAAGTGTTAGCCCATGAGTCTGAGCTTTGGCAATATAATTTTAATATCGCGGCAGAATTTGTTCAGCTCACTGGGATTCATCCTGGTCCTGCAACTTCTCTGCCTGTTGCATCTGTCATTCCTCGGCTTCGTGCTCTTCACTTTGTGATCACTCGAATTCTTCTGCCACGCACCCAATCCTTAGATCTCATCCTTCCCTTAGATTTATGGATCATGGCCCATGCTGTTAATGGTGTTCCTTTAGACTTTTCATACCTCCTGTTTGGAGTATTCATGACCTTTGCGGACTCTAGTTTTCCTGGCCCTCTTCCGCTTGGCCCCTTGGTCACTCATTTAATTCTTCGCCTGGGGATTTCCATTTCTCCTTTCCGAACGGAACAGCCTTCTTGGTTCTTCCTTATTGACCAAGTCCTTGACGAGCTTGAGATTGCAAACGAGGGGGAGATGGCTGTTGCTGCTGAAGATGCTGATCCGGAGCCTGAGGGAGATGCTGATCCGGAGCCTGAGGGAGAAAGTGATCCTGTAGAAGAAGAAGAAGATGATGATTATCAGTTTGAAGCTGCCTTCATTTATGGACCCACTAGACTGGTTGATTACAGCTCCGATGAATCATTTGTTGTCTGACTTAGGGGGAGTTGTGGGAGCTTTATCTTAGGGGGAGTTGTCTTTCGGATATGATTGATTCTGTTTGGTTTGTGTATTTGACAGTGTGGTTTTAGTTGCTCTTAGACCTTCTTCTTGTGTGTGGTGGTTGCTTATTGTCATGCTTTGTGCTCGATGAGTGTTTTTGCTCTGTGCTCGAAATGTGTTCTTTTGCAGGTACTTCTTCATTTGCAATCTCTGATCTAGGGGGAGATTGATGGACGAGATCAGATATGGCAAAAGCTAACAAGGAAAGTGACTGTATAAGAAAAGGAAGGTGATGATCTTGATCAAACGGCTAGTTAGCCTAACGGCTAATTTGGGGCTATATATATTCTCTGTTCATTCTTCTTTGAGTTCAACTTTTACAGAAGAGAGCATTAGGCGGTACAGGGCTTTTTGTCTTAAAGTAAAAGGGGGTTTCTCTAGGGGTATAGGGTCTGAGAGAAGTGGCTGATTATCTTTGCAGAGTTTTGGGATTGAAACTCTGGTTGAGTTCTTGATATTAGATAGAGTTCATTTTCTTTGTAATTGTATCAATTAAAGCAAAAACAATAGTGTCTCTCGGCAGTAGTGGTGACTATTGCCGAGACGAGGACGTAGCCAATTTTGGGTGAACCTCGTTAAAATCTCAGTGTTCTCTTTACCTTTCAATTTCTGCTTCTTTCTCTTTGAAGATTGCTGGGTTGTTTCTGTTCTGGAAAACATACAGAGTTCTACTCTGTTCTTCATTTCAGAAACACAAAGGGCCAAGGGCTCCAAAGCCCATTCGTTATTATTATTTCTCAACTAATCAAACTGGGCCTATCTTTGTCTTCGGCCCATTTTGTTTAAAACAAGAGAATACATTCTCTTTACTCTGCTTGTCATCGTCCCTGTCGACATTCCTTCTTCCCCTTTCTTCTTTTCAGATTCGAAACCAAATCCCTAACTCAAGTTTGACCTTCAGTAGTAGTGCGGTTCAAATAATTCATTCATAGGCAATGAAGAATGTTTTAAAGATATGGATGAAAGAAGTGTTTTCGGGTGGCTTTAATGTGGATATTTAAAATACAAAAACAATGCCAACCCCACTATCTTCTTTATTGGGTTTGGAAAAAACCTACCAATGATATATGGTTGGGTTTCTCCGATAAAATTGATTCAGATTTTTTTGAATGCCCAAATTATTTTGTCATACCGTTTCTTTTTATTTTTATGTTTTTGTCCTTTGTTTGAAAATCTTTATTATGGATTTGATTCGATAATTCAGCATTGTTACATTGTTGTTTTGTTTCTTATTATAGTTTGTGGAAAACGAATTATGCAAATAATTCATTCATAGGCAATGAAGAAAGTTTTAAAGATATGGATGAAAGAAGTGTTTTCGGGTGGCTTTAATGTGGATATTTAAAATACAAAAACAATGCCAACCCCTTTATCTTCTTTATTGGATTTGGAAAAAAACCTACCGACGATATATGGTTGGATTTCTCCGATAAAATTGATTCAGATTTTTTTGAATGCCCAAATTATTTTGTCATACCGTTTCTTTTTATTTTTATGTTTTTGTCCTTTGTTTGAAAATCTTTATTGTGAATTTTAATCGATAATTCAACATTGTTACATTATTGTTTTGTTTCTTATTATAGTTTGTAGAAAACGAATTATGCATTCTGTCAGAATGACTTTTCCATGTGCATCATTTGAATGCTAGCTAGCTACTAGTGCATGATTATATATTTATTAATTTATTTACAATTGGGAGTATACTTATTGTTATTAATATTCATATATAGTTAATTAGTGTCATCTCCCTGTTAATGTTTGACTGTATTAAATATTAATTAATATCGTTTTCAGCATTCAGACTTGTGCTTGTGTTCTCTTGGGTCCTTATTGGTACTCCATTCATTGAAATTTCATATTTCGTATAGTAAAAAAGTTCGACAAGAGTAAAGAGACTATTACTATATTTATTATTAATTGTAATCAACCAAAAAGTCGATTATTGTAACTACCTAATCAATTATCAACCAATAAGAATGGCTTAACAATCTCCATAATCAATAAAGCTTAAGGACTGGATTTGACCCGGAATTTTTTGTATATGTATTCATCATAATACGTTTAAAACTAATCTTCAAAACAATTTGAATCATTGAAGGATTCATTGACCTTCCCTCACTTTGACAGAATTACTTACAAAAATCGAAGCAGTACAATATGTTATTTTTAACAACTTCTCTTAACTATTATTGGCTTCGGGAAAACCAACATCGAACAATGAAAAGCATGAAAAAAACATAAAGAAAGTTAAGAAAACAAAAAAACTTAAATTTTGTTAATAATTAAGAGAAGTTGTTAAAAACAACATGTTATATACTTTCAAGAAGATCCGAAAGTCATTATCAGCAAATCCATATCCTGACCAGCGATAGAAAAGAAACCCATTTTCTCTTGTTGAAGTTGAAAATTTGATCCTTGGGGTTGAGCGATTCGGTACAGGAAAATGGGCTTTAGTCAGAAATATATATTTTCCTAACAGCAACCACACTAACCAAGATCTCTGGCATACGTGGAGGAATCTTCTGGAAATGAAAAGTGGGGAGGGCATTGTTACACCAGAGCATATGATCGTATAGTGGCTGCTAATCATCCGAAGCTGGTGGCCTTACAAGAAGGATACTTGGAGCCTGAAGATAAGCAGCAAGTTAATAAGTTGGATGTGAAAATTGCTGATGTAGCTCCAAATCAGTGCACTTTGATCAATAATTTTGTCGCACAAGTGGAAGTGAAGAATTAATTGGCTCATTTGGAGCTGTTGGATCTCCTGCAACTGTTTGAGTGGAGGGTGGTTGAGAAAATCGATAAAGGAAATACTTTGACTACTACAGACTATGCAACCTTTCATCATTCGGTAAAGAATATTGAGAATACCACAGAGGTCATGATGAATAATATTTTGATTCAAATTGCTGGTAATGCTGGCAATAACAATGGTGATGTGAGGTTTGCTGCAAATCAAAATGATCGAACTTGCAGGGGATGATTTAATAAATGATGGAGGTGGTGGCAATGAAGATAATGTTGGCTATTGTTGGTGTTGATGGGCTGCAGGCGATGGAGTAAGAGCTGCAAGAGGTGGTAATAGTGACTGATGAGATGTATCTCCTATTTGGGGAAAAATGTTGGTGAAATTGATTGTGGAATGGATTGATTATTTGGATTTCTTTTAAGGTTAGATGGATGAATCCGTTGATAGATTAAGCGTTTAAAGTTGATGAACGTGTGATTCTATTTGATGGTCTTGATTGACGTTGCAGTTGCGACTATTGCCACTGATGAAGTAACGATGCAAAGGCCCATGATGAACATTATCCAATCCAATATTAAGGAGGAGCCCAAGGTAGGATTGTGTTAGTTTTTGTTTTCGTTTCTATCTACTTGTACCTTGCATACTTACAAACCGAGCTACTATGCTTTTCTTGGTTGTTCTTTTTTGTAGGGGTTGTTCTTACTATGATGAGTAACCATTGGTTGCTAGCTAATTAATATTTAAAATATAATCTTACTTACTTACTGAGCTTGGATGCTTTCAAGCAATTGCTCCGAACTCTGGGGACGTCTACTGAGCTTGCTGCCGAGAAGATCTTAAGGTCACTCTCTTCAAGGCCCTACCCTGATACCCGCAGAAAGAGCAACTTCTGGTCGTTAGCTGAGATTGAGAATATTGTCCGTGGAGTGGAAAGGTTTGGAACTGGCAGGTGGAGAGAAATGGAAGAACAAATGGAACTGAAAGGTTTACTAACAGCGACAGAACTTTTCAGGATCTAAAAGACAAATGGAAGAACTTTAAGAAGAATTGTAGGGTGCCTAGCTATGTGGAAAAAGGGATCGGTATTGTGACATCTCAGCAAATGAATAGGATAATTGCAGCTGATCATGTGAGGCCAGTTGAATCTGAAGATTTTTTGCCTCCTGTATTCTCTGATGAGGCTTCTGATCTCGAGAGAAGAGTTGCTGTGTTGACTCCAACTCAGCAGCAGTTTGTCAGGGATCTTGCTGAACATGATCGAGTACGAGTTTACTTGACAACAATGCAGGATGTTGATGCTTTGCAGCTGTTTTTAACCTGGTTGGATGGAATCGGAGAACCCCACAATGCAGTGGCTGCTGTTGACTACAACTGGTTCCGACCCCTGCTTCTGAATATAGAAAATACAACCTTTGATATGAGGGACACTATAGTTGGTGGGAACTGGCAAAAATTTATCGTTGCTCATTATATGGGTGCTGGTAAGGATGGAAGCTATTCTTTGTTTTTGTTTTCCTATTGTGTCTGATACCAGCTTTTTATTTATTATTTATTAAACTCTTTTTTTCCAAATGTAGGTGCTGGTAATGATGGACACCATGTGGGTGCTATAGTTGGTGGGAACTTGGAGAATGTTATGGTTGGTCATGATATGGTTGTTGGTAAGGAGCTTGTACTTGCAATGTGAAAGCATGAAAACTATTCTTTGTTTTTGTTTTCCTATTGTGTCTAATACCAGCTTTTTATTTATTATTTATTAAATTCTTTTTTTTCAAATATAGGTAATGAAATTGATAAATAGTTGGTGAGAACTTGGAGAATGTTATGGTTGCTGGTAAGGACTTACTTGCAATGTTAAAGCATGAAAACTATTCTTTGTTTTTGTTTTCCTATTGTGTCTAATACCAGCTTTTTATTTACTATTTATTAAATTCTTTTTTTTTCAAATGTAGGTAATGAAATTGATAATGTGGGTGCTATAGTTGGTGAGAACTTGGACAATGTTATGGTTGCTGGTAAGGACTTACTTGCAATGTGAAAGCATGGAAGCTATTCTTTGTTTTTGTTTTCCTATTGTGTCTGACACCATCTTTTTATTAATGTAGATGATGAAATTGATAATGTGGGTGACTAAGAAGATTTTGAAGAGAATGGGATATGCAAGTTTCTTTGTGTTTGGTGATAGCAGCTCGGGACTTAGTCACTTAGCTAGTTATCCTGAAAGTGACTAAGAAGATTTTGGAGAGAATGGGAATATGGACTTCCGCTAGTTACTTAGCTAGTTATCCTGCAAGTTTCTTTGTGTTTGGTGATAGCAGCTCGGGACTTAGTCACTTAGCTGTTTCTATTACCACGTACTTTCGCAGTTTTTTCTTTATTTCCTTTACTGCTATTGCTATATTCTGGCAAGGTTGAATGATGTTCCACAACAGAAATGCACACTTTCGCAGTTTTTTGTTTATTTCCATTACTGCTTGTGCTTTACGCTGGCAAGCCTAGACTTCCGCTTCTAACAGGCCAAGCTCAGGAGAACATGCACCCAATTATGAGTCCCGAGGCTATTCCACGTCGCCTCACCTTCCTATGGTCTAGGTAATCTAGACTGCAGTGAGGATCTTAGCTTTTTGTTCGAAAATATGGGAGATTCACACTTGCCATGCAAGATTTCGAGCTTGAGCTAAACATAGCAGGCAACAATGAAGCATCTACCGACTTGGCATAGTCATGCTCCCCAATTGGTCGAGTTATAGATGGCCAGTCCAAAGGGAAAGCAATTATGGTCTAATCGTCAGGGTCCTCAAAAGTTTATACAAGGAGAAATACTGGCATTTGCATAAGGAAACCAGACAATTATGCAGTGGAGTCATTCCCCAAGCGCCCCAAAGTCGCAAAAGAGAAAAAGGTGGAGGAAGCCAACCCAAAGTGGCCCCAACCGGATAAATGAATGTCTACGCGTGGAATTTTCAAGGAATAGGCAGCACCTTGACTTCGCAAACGCTTAAAGCTCGCCGCAACATATCCAAGTCTTTCATGTTTTTATGTGAAACCATGTCTCTCAGTGACAAAGTTAGTACTTTTATTTCTCGGTTAGGATTTTCTGATTGTCATCCTGTGTAATAACAGTTTCATACTCAGTCATTCTTAACTGCTCCCCATCAGAATATTTTAGACCCTCAAGAGGTCTAAGACAAGGCGATCCACTTAACTCCCTATTATTCACTATATGTGTGGAAGGATTCTCTAGCATGATAAGGAAAGCTATGTCCTTAGGCTACCTTGAAGGAGTCCGAATCCGCCCCCAATGCCCGATAGTCTCACATCTATTCTTCGCAGATGACTCGTACCTATTCTTAGCCGCTTCTCCGGTATATTGCACAACTCTTCTTTCTCTCCTTCAAGCCTATGAAGAGTTGAGCGGACAACGTGTTAATTTAAATAAATCAACGGTCCTTTTCCGCCAAAATACAGACCCTATCCAGGAACAGATGATGGGTGCTCAATTAGGCGTTGGAAGCATAGGAGAGCATAACTCATATCTAGGATTACCAGCCATCTTCTCAAGATAGAAAAGGGATGCTTTCCTTTTCATGAAAGAGAAGCTTATCAAAAAGCTCCAAGTATGGAAACAACTTTCCTTGTCCAAAGCTGGGAAAGACACACTAATTAGATCTTCTGCCACTAATATTCCAGTCCTTGGAATGTCATGCTTCAAACTACCCAAGGAAAATTGTAGGCGACTAAACAGTCATGTAGCAAAATTTTGGTGGGGAACGACTCATAATACACAACATCCGATCCATTGGGTTTTTTGGAAAAGTCTAGCTACACTAAATTTCATGGAGGCCTCGGGTTCAGGGATTTCGGCGCCTTCAATATTGGAGGATTTGGACTAATCCAAATTCCCTCTTTTCATAGATCTATAAGCCTCAATTGGTTCGAGCCCCTCGTGGGGATGGACAAGTTTACTGTTCGGAAGGGATTTACTTCTGCAGGGACTAAGATGGCAGATAGGCAACGGGCAGGGGACTCGAACATTTATTGATAGCTAGTTACCGGGTGATAGACCTTTAGTTCCGAGTATTCGATTTCAGATTTCAAATGAGACTGCTATGGTTTCTTACTTCATTAGAGAAGGTCTAGGAGAGTGGAACATTTCGAGCTCCACCTTTACTTTGAACCTCAATCCGTCGATCTAATCAGAAAGATTCCTCTGCCGCATCGGCCGCAATAAGACATCAGAGTGTGACATTACTCCAAAGATGGAAAATACAGAGTCAATTCAGGTTACCATCTACCGTTGGAATCGGCTTTGGCCTCAAGTCGGAAACCGATAGTTCAGATTATCGACCCTCCCATTTGGAAAAGGACTTGGAACATCCAAGTCCCGCCTAAGCTTAAGTTCTTCGTATGGCAATGTCTCAAGGTCATTCTCCCTACAGTGGTGGCCTTACAATCCCGTGGAGTTAACTGCCTTATTCGATGCCCCGTGTGCTGCAGACATCGAGAGAGCATTGAACACTTATTTTTCAGATGCCCCCTCGCCACCAAGTTGTGGACGTTAGTAGGATCGATCAACTTCATTGATTCCGCCCTGACTATCAACTTTAGTATATGGTGGCGACATGTCATGGTCTCTGAAACCTCCCCTGACTACAACCCGGTCGTTGAAGTCTCCAATCTCCTCCCCCCCCCCCCCCCTCCCCCAACCTCCACCCCGCAGTTCTCTCCTTCCAACCCTCTCACCACACACCTGGATCCCTCCACCAGACGACTATTTAAAGATCAATTTCGATGCTTCTGTTTGTGATTCAGGGTGTTCATCTTCCCTTGTTGTTTGTGGGTCAGACGACCATGTGGAGCTGGCATCCGGTCTGCATTATCAGGGAGTTGTCAACCACTATTTGACAGAGCTCCTAGCCGCTCGAGATGCCATCAACCTTGTAGCCACAAGATCCTTGACTCACGTGATAGTGAAAGGGGATTCTGAAGTGGTTGTCAACCAAGTCCAGCAAGGCATCGTAGAAGATTTAGTAGGAGGTCCAGTGCTTCAGGAGTGTAGTCAGATCCTAGACTCTTTGACAGCTTGTATAGAGTTTAAGGCAACAGAGTTGCCCATAGAGTGGCGCGTAAAACAGTGCTTTTGTCTCGTCTAGAGTTAGAGTCTTTCGACTTTGTTGGTGGCTTCATTAGGGCGTTGATTGTATGGGGTCCTGGGTAGATTTGTATGTCTGACTCTTGTTCTCTCTTGTAGGGGTGACTATTTGGACCGGGACCGGATTAAAAACCGGAAACCGGACCGTATAACCCAGACCGAGACTGGACCGGGACCGAATAGTAAACAATCCAATCCAATCTTTGGGCTTAGATTTGAGGTAAAAAACCGGATAAAGACCGGATAAGAGAGCTCAACACCCAAAACTTAAGGGTAATTTGCATAAACGGTCACAAACCTTTGCACTTAGTACAAAACTTAACCAACTCCTCACCCTTTAAGGCCTTAGGCCACTCAAATCCCACAATCTCAATGTAAAATCAAGACCGAATTGGGACCGGACCGAATCAAAACCGGACCAGATCAAGACCGGACCGTATCCAATCCAATCTTTTGTCCTGATATTTTCAAAAAGACTGGTCTGGACCGGATCAAATTGGGCCAATTTAACCGGACCGGACCGTATAGCCACTCCTACTCTCTTGATATCACTCGAAAATAAAAGAAAGACTTTTCTTTACAAAATATAAAAAAATAAAAAGAACATCTAAATTTTTGACGGCAAATATGAAACGACAAAACTGCAGCTCTGATGGGAGCCCAACCATTGGGCCTAAAAATCAGGATCAATGGGCCCAATTTAAATTATACCAGTTTCCCTTATGCTCTTGTTCCCGTCGTTGTGCCTAAATATCATGATCAATTGCCCCAATTTAAATTAAGATATTTATGATAATTAAGCTTACCATATAAAAAATTACTAGTGTACGTATTTTTTAGATGTAATCAGATGTCCCCAACAATTTATTATATAAGAATTATGAACTAAAATAGTGATTTGCATGTTTGGTCGCTTAATTTATCTAAATGTTTCATGTTTGCTACTCAATTTTTTTTGTTTCTAATGATCATCGACTTCCTAAAGAAAGAAGGATCCACCTGAATAGGCATCAAACCGATCTTTGTCATGAAACGACCTGAAAGTAACATCAACACAAACACACTGAAGATAACCACATTTCACAGAATCCTTGAATTCAGGGCTGCAGACGTTGTTTCACGACCTGCAAAGATAACCGAAATATAATCAAAATGAAAGTTACAAGATGATGATTTCTCAATAAGAAACCAGTATCTGACCTCAAATGGAAGGAGATCCACCCTTTTCGTATAAGAAATCAACCAAGTCCTCAACATTGAGGGTCCAAGAAGTACAGATTCCCTTTAGCACTCCTGATAATTTTTATCTTCGCAGAAGTACAGCAAGAACACAAGAGCAAAAGAATATGCAGGGAAATGCATCATCCAAAGCCCTTTTAATCAAGAAAAATGTAGATATCCCACAAAAATTAAAAAGCATAAACATAGTTACAGGAAGTACATAGTTGTAGCAAGCAACAATTAAATTCATAACTTACAGACAATGTTCCTAAGAACCAAAGAAACAAAAGATTCACAGCAGTATTCAATATGGACCCGAAAATGTATAATTATCCTTGTGAGGCCAATTCCATCAGCAAGTCAGTGAAACAACATCGTATAGAAGTAGCTAGTCTGAAATGAAAACCAATTGAAAGAACTCTAGGCAAAAGCAAGTAATTGCATATGGAAATCCAGACCTAACAGGAAATAGAGAAGAGGGAGATCCCAATGTATCCGACTTTGATATGCACCTTTAAATCCCTCAATATAACCCGCTCACTCAACAGGGAAAAAGAACCAATTCAGCATCCTTATTCAAGTCTGGCCTTGGTTTTTATCCCAAAATGAAACAAAATAGCCTATGAAAGACAACACGTGACCTACAAAACATAATCGTGCACAAATACTTGCCCTTGAACTTGTGAAATGAGATTGACAACAAGAGAGAGGATTCAAATAGCAACATGAGAGACCAAAATTATTCAAAACATAATCAATAAATGTAAAAGTATAATGAAAGCGGACCATACCTGAATGGTTCCTAGCTTGGTTTTCAGTAACAGCTATAGCTTGGTTTTCAGTAACAGCTTGTTGAAGAGTCTCCGAGATTATCTTCACCTCCTTCCAAACAACAGCATTAAGAAAGTTAAGAAGAAGCACACATAATAATGTTGTACATAAAGAATGGTCAACAATCTGCCACCACCCAAACAGATTAAATATTTTCAGTTTATGTCAAATTCAATATTAATCCATCAATTCCTGAAGAATGGATTTCATAAAGCTGCACGAGGAAGGAGGTAAGAGGGGGACCTTATCTGTCTGTTCTTGCTTGTCATAGTTCTGATTGCTTGACATCCATGTCCATGACAACTGCGTAATTTGTTGGTTCAGACCTGCAAACAGATGGCAAATAGTTGTGAGAAGGGAGATGTTAACAGAGCAGTAAGGATATAAAGCACTGAAAACAGAGAAGTCAGTAAATACTAAATAGTCCCAGCCCTAACGAAGTAACGGTACAATTGTTGATGGTGAGGGTGTGGTTACCATTCAGTCATCTATACATCTGAGAAATAAAGCAGAAGGAACAATTGATGACAGAAAGAGCTGGGGGGGAATGTTTGGTTTCAAAAGAAGGAACCGAAGGGAAGAAATTGGAAACAAAGGACCAAGAGACATGTGTTGGCAACAGTAACCAAAAGGAATGTGAATAGCCTTTGCAATTCTGAAAGTGGATCGATGCTTTGGGGAAGATATCAGGCGATCAAAGAGGTTTCATGTTGTATAACTAACTTGGAAAGAGGTAAACATAAGTGGGAGCATACCATGTTATAGAAAGTGGGTTAGCAAGAGCTGAAGTTCGAGGTCAAGCTCGTTTTGTTGGTGAAGGGAAAGATATACAGTGGCCTTCTCCTTTATGCATATGAGATCAAAGGATATTAGATAAAAACATGAAGGACAGCCAAATGTGTATAAATTAAAGCATAAGTGGGCAAGCACGGAGTAATCAAGAAGCTAAATTTAATGCAGGAACAAATCTTATTGTACAACCTGGAGTAGTCGAAGGTGAACCTGCTGCCGCTGCTGCATTGAACCCTATGAAGCCAACCTGACCTGGGATGATAATCATAAGTGCCACAAAAAAAAAAAAAAAGAGAGAATGACATCAGCATTCAATATTTGAAACAAAAATGCATGACCATCCTTGTGAAATCACTTACGTTATATACACATATGAAACTGTTCAACAACTAGGACATAGTTAATTCCACAATCAACCTGAATAAATAAACTCAAACGGAGATCATGGCCATTACTGCAAGAGTTGGCGGAAGATAGATTATGACCTAGATGCTATAAATTTTCCCAAACCCAGTAAATTCATTTGCTCTAATAGACTGAATTCCTAATCTGCATATGAAAAAGGAAGGGATTGCAAGAATTAGCTTATCCTAGTAAAAGAAACCCAAATATGCAACAAAGTTTCATTTTGGTTTCAACTACTCTTCTAATGAATTGATGCGGCATACCCTCACAATTTGACACTACTCAAACACTAAATAACACAAAATAGATGAAAAAATAAAGAGGGTGAAACTCAAATAAAGCATATGATCCTCAAAAGGGTAATGTGCAAGCCTTTGTAGATGAATCATAATCAAAAAGGGGGAAAATTCAACGATGGATGCTGGTATTACAACTTATCATTGCCATGGGATTTATATGGTTAAAATGAAGCACATTCAATCTCCTAAGAATCTAATGGAATATATTAAGAAACACAAACACATATTAAATCACCTAACTTCATGTTGTCTAGCTCAGAAGCTATATGGAGTACCCTGTTTTACTTGGATCTTCATGACACAACAAAAACTACAATATCCCGTAAGATTCAGATTCTTTGTGTCAACCAAAAGCAACTCTGTTGTAACAATGAAAGGAAGGAATGCTAGACTATAATGTAAGATAATAGAAACGTTACTGATGAGAAGCTGTTAGGTTTCCAAGGCTCCGTAAGTATGAGGAATGCCTGTAGGATATACAGATATAGGCTAGTTATTCTGATACTCTTTTTACCCTGGATAACACATGAAGACAACACCTTCAGCCAGAGGTATGACCAAATAAACTCTGCAGAAGTGGTGTCTGATCAAATGAACTGTGCAGAAGAGCTGTAACTTGGCAGATTAACCAAATCTAAGGCAGTCGGTTCATCCTTCATGGCATTATAATCTGAATAAAATGGTGTCATTCCATACACAATTGGCAATACACAAAAGCAAGCAGGAATGAGACAGCATAGCATGAGTAATTGGACCACCAAACAGATGACATTAAGTAACCTCCATGTTGTCTGAAACAAGTCCCTCCTTTACCTTGTTCAAAATCATGCGAAATAAGCGAAGGTAGATTCAATTGCACACAAAACCAATGAGAAAGAAGGAAAAAGTGGAGAAACAGCATCTTTCTAAACCAAATCAGGAGGAGCAAAAATGGAGGCATCGGCTTCTATTAATCTTAATCGCGGAGATGGATCACCATCTCAAAATGAAAGGAGAGAATATGAATCTAGTCGAGACAACTGCCAAAAGGCAGCTGCAATCAAATAGCAAACGTGGTTTAAAATCATACATCTTATAACTATAGCTATATAGAAGAACCACTACAGTGTGTGCTGGGAAGAATAATTAGTAACAGACATGAAAGCCTCTCATAGTGGCCCTTTCACCATCAGCCTAATGATATCTCAGAGAGGCCGACCGACTGCAATATTAAGTTCTAGTCATATATCTGAAAACACCTCAAAGATAATAGAAATGCAGCTACTTGGTTCCAAACTGAGTTCCAATCTCAACCTCGCTCAGGTATTTTGACTTCGATACCACTTCATATTTATCATCTGTTGTTGGATGCTGCTATTTTTGGCCTTCAGGCCCATTGATTCATCAACTACATAAGCCACCAAGTTTATTGTACAAAAAGAGAAGAAAAATTGTGAACCATTCCAAATATATCATTTCCTGAAACTCATATCGTTTAACAAATCCTTGGAACTTAAACTTAACTTTCTTAAATTAAAATTCGACCAAAATTCAAAAACCATTCAAGCTCATTGGATTGTGACCCCCATTTTCCTCAGTCCATCCGTCTGTTGGTTGTTCCTTCTCCGGCCGTCGCAGAAACTTGGGCCGAGGACATCCATCCACATTCATCCACCCACTGGTCAAAACAAATCAAAATGACAAGAACTCGCCCGTGATGAGGAGGAAGTAATGCTAATTAAATATATTCATCTTCCAAATCAATTTGAATTGGTGTGCTAATTGGATCTTATAAAAGTACAATCCACTATCTGCAATTTATTTGAAGTAATAAATAACAAAAGGATAAAGCTGAAAAACAATAATCCCACCAATAAGACATAGAGTCTTTACAATATTTGAGATTCAATCTCTCTCTTAGATTTTAACGATTTAAATATCTGGACCTAACATCAACAATATAAAATGCAGTAAAACAAACACAACTTTCTCCTAAACGTAGATTTCATGCTGCAAATCGTATTCTCCAAATAAACCCTAACTAGTGGAAGTTATGTTTTTAGACTCACCACTATCTGTTCACTCACATTGATGGTTCTAAAGTTCAGGGTGCTAAATAACTAAAACATACATGGACAAGATTGCTTTCTGAAACCCATCAATATCTAATTTTATAATTTATAGATATATATGTACAAGCAGAGAAGTAAATTAACAATTGATTACCAACCGTTGAGTGAGCGAGCTGTTGCTGCACTGCTGTTTTGAAACCAAGCCCTGTAGGTTCTGTCGCACAGGCCTCGCAGCTCTTCGTACCTTGGAATTAGAGTCAGTCAGCAAGAGACTCTTGGTTGGAACACCATGCCGAATGCTGCACTGCTCGTTATTGAAGGAGGAAGTTGGCTGATCACCGCTCTTGTGATTGCCTCGTGCCTTCTCGAATTCTGGAATTGGAGTAAACCAGCTAGAAGCCCTCGGATTGAACACCATAAAGTGGGAGGCTTCCGGTCTCTCTTCTAGTTTAGTGAAGAGCTCTAGCTCTCCCCTTCTCAAATCACAGCAAAATACAACATTGCCATAGTTATAGACGTCAAGCAAATTGAAGAAGACGATTTCTGGCTTCTGTGGATGCAGAAAAGGTTGATAAAAGCCCCGAGCTTCATAGTTACCACACTTTGTTTTCAGGTTCACCAGCCCCTCGCATTGTTTTCTCCACGATTTACGGTCTTTTTCCAGCCTCCAGACGCTTACACGAACAGGACAACGTCTATTTTCTTGTACAACCAAGTGCAAGGCATCTTGACAGACGGTAATAGCCCACTGAGGTTTTGCAAGGAATGCAGAAACATCAATGGAAGTGGGTGGCAAATCAAGGCGGAAAGGATTGAACACAGCCAGGGATTTAACATCCATGGGATGAGGTTCAAAATACGTCCAAAACAACTCCCCATTGCACGAAACTAGACTTTTTCTAGTTAATTTGCTATGACTGTCACGGACAAGAGCATCCTTGGTCCATTTTCCAGACTCCGAACAGAACAAGTCTAATCTTATACTTGACGATGGAATGACCCGAAGATACATACACACCACCCGGAACCGATACCCAGAAGGTTCACAAACTAACCTTGAAACCGAAGAGTGATAGGCCGCTAACTTCCTGGGCGCTAACGGAAGAGCATTCCACTGCTTGGTGAACGGATTGCAGACCAAGTACGACCTGTCATGCTTCTTGTCCATGTTCTCTGTATCCCAAAACCCGCATAAAACCAAGTCCCTATCGCAATCCAAGACTTTGAGAGCGTCTCGGTCTTCGACTCCATTAGGCATGGGCGGGATAAAGCTGAGGACCATCAATTTGAGATCGTTCGGACTCATGGTCTGGAGGCGAGAAACCAAACGGCGATTGAAGGAGGCGGCGGAGATGACGGACCTCCACAGCTGGCAGACGAGCTTGCAGCGGCAGGCGATTCTAGGATGGAGGCGAAACAGAATCTCTACGAGAAGATCGTCCCCGAGCTTGTTGATCCTTGCATCTGAACTGATTCGTCGTCGCTTCCTCCTCCCCAGCGGCCGATCATAATCCGAGTTGCGGCACCTCTCGGCGGCCATGGTGTATGCAGACGGATTGGAAGACTATAAGGCACGCCGGCGACGACCGAGGAGAAAGGATTCGGTGGTAGGCGGAGAGAAGGCAGCCCGGAGCGCGAAGGGATCTGAAATCCCCCTTTTTCCTTTTTGAGAGTACACGAAACCTTCCCACGGCTGTTTCTCCTTCTCTCCAACAGAAACGGCTGGCTTGGTAAGTCTGGGTCACTACTTTCTTTCTGGGCCAGAGCCGACTTCTATGGGTCAATACAAATGGGCCTTATCGCCCTGGGCTTCTAAAATATAACATTCGGGATAGAATTCGAATTAGCCAATGGCACCTTTTTTTATACAATTAACCTGTATTTCAATTTTTTTTACAAAAGATAATTTTATATTGATTCAAATAATAGGCAGTTATACTCTGAAAGACAGACAGGTCTGAAAATCAAAAGAACGACTCATGACCGGGTACAAAGAAAGGGCTTTTCTAGCCACCAAATGGGCTACCCTATTACTACGCCGACCTACAAACCTAATGCTAAACCCAGGCTGGACTTGGAGACAATTAGCAATTTCTTCAAGAAGAGCACCCATCCTATTATCTCCATGATCCCCCGATTGAGCTTATCAACAATGACTTTGGGGTCGCCTTCAAAACAAACATCAGCAACCTGCATTTCAATTAAAAAGAGTTATTTGCACTAATCTCCAATCCCTGCTCACCTAGACTCAATGGACTGTTTACCTAGACCCATAGCTACTATTCATTTTGTTCTCATTGGTTGTTGCTTTTGTGGTGGGCCCTCTCTCTGTTGCTTATTTTTTCTGCCACGGAAAACGCGTCGGCCTCAAATGGGTGACTCTATCCAAGATAGAGGCTGGATATTTTACAAGTCGTTTTAGACGAGAAGGGAGGAGAATCTTTTTTGCCGCCAAATCAAGAAATTTTGACAATGATTCGAGAAAAGAGAGAGGAGCAGAGGAGACTGGGAGTGATTCGAGAGGAGCAGAAAATTTTGGTGGTTCTACATGTTCGACCGATGATCCGTTTCGATTCTTACAACAATGTTTTTATGTTGGGTATTGGATTAAAATCTGAAATTCTATCGGCGCCCGGAGTTCCAGTTTCTCTTGGAAGGGAAAAGTTGGAGCTCGATTCTCCAAGAGTGAGATCATGGAGGTAAAATAAGGCGGGAAATTATTACCCGGGGAGAAAGAACTGTCTTTGGGCCGGAAGGGATGGGACTGTGGGCCTCTCCATTTGGGCCGAAGATTAGATAAATTATCATAAGAGATTAGCTTCGTAATTACACTAAGCTTATGGGTCGTTTACTTGCCATTCCATTTCTGTTAGCTGCCACAACAGAAAACAAAATTAAAATGAAAACGAAGCTGTCATTTCCTGGAAAACAAAACCTGAAAAAATCTTGTTTAGCTGAGAATTTTGGTGAGTTCTGAAATTGAGTTCTGAAATGAAAACCTGTTTAGTTGCTTCATTCTGTTTTCTGATTCTTGATTATCATACAACCCTAGACATGATTATAATTTTTAATTTGAATTAAATAGTTTTTAAACTACAAATAAACAGAATACAAGTACAACATCTTATATTAATTAAGTACTAGTACAACATAAAAATTCAAATAAGTCCAGCTTGAAAGTCATCCCACAACTTGTCTGCTATTCCATCTCGTCGTACATCCATCGCTCGAGTTTCGCTCGAGTCGGCGACTGGAACTTCAGCGAAGGAGTAAGCTCCTGCCTTGTGTTCATGCTCAAACTTTGCGACGAGAGGGTCAAAGCTTGGAGGGATGGCTCACCGGCTGGAAGTTGGAGATAGACGGCTGCAAAAGGCAAGGGGCGAAGCTGGTATGGAGGGAGATGAAAGGGAAGAATTGCTACTGGTCTAGGGCAGATGAAATGAGCAATATCACTAGGGTTTTCCGGAAGGCACAAGGGAGTGGGTGGGGTGTCACGTGTGGGTATGTGTAAATATATGGGAAAAAGAGAATGGCGTTGGGGACTCGAAGCGGCAACTTCATTAATGAAGAGAGTCGCTTTCCTGCGAGAAAACGGGGGGAAACCCGCCCCAAAATTTTATGAAAACTCAATTTGATCGTTTCCCCACAGCTTCCCAATTATTGTTATTTGGTTTTTTTGTATGAAAACGAACCAACAAGTGAACACGTTTTCTTGTATGTGTTTTTTGATTTTTTTTGTCACAACAAAAAATAGAAAACAAAATGGCTAGTAAACAGGGCATTAGGGTTTCCTCCCAAACCAAGACAATACTGCATGAGATTATGTCAAATAAAAGATCGAACAAAGCCGCCGCCGATCAACCGGCGGCGTTGCTAACCGTAACCCTAACCCTGTCCAGCGGAAAACTCCCCGCCGACCTCGTGATCGAAATCTTCAGGAAGCTCCCCGCTGCCTCCACCCTTGCCGTGCTCCGCTGCGTGTGCAAATCATGGCGCGCTCATCTCTCCGACCCGTCTTTCCTCCGCCGGATCCTCGTCATAGACGACGATCTCGATGGCAGCCGTCAGATCATGACCTTCCGCCTGACCGATGATCAAAAGCCGCTCTTCTCTCCCTGCTCGTACGACACTCTCCTCCCCTTATCCGCCGATCCACCGCAACCGGTCCTCCTCCTCTCCGCCGCCGGCGAAGACCTGCGCTGTCACGTTGTGGGGCACGACAACGGCATCTTTTGTTTGGGGGACGGGATAGGTTATCCCGGCGGTACGCATATCTTACCATCACCATTTTTTAGGTCAAATATTTTGAGGATGGTCATTAATTATGTTTGCTCATTTTTGTCGAATCTGTAGATAAATTTTGTAGTTTTTATTTTTGTCAACAACGTTTAGGACGGCAAAATAAACAGAGCAACTCGCAAGTAGCTCAACATTCGGATAGGAAAATACTCATTTTCGGAAATCTGATGGTTGGCTAACGAGCTAATTCGTTAGCAAATGAGCCAAACTTCAACTTGACCTTGTTCAACTTGTCATGCTTAATTATGAGCTAGCATTTGATTATTGATAATAGTTTTGTTGAACTCAACTTATAAGCTGGCTTGATTTAGTTTGGCTAAGCTAGCTTCAGCTAGATTGTTTTCAATCGAGCTAACCTTTCATAAATATTCTATTTGAGTTCGAGCTGAACAATTTATAAATAAATCAAACTCAATTGAGGAAACTTGAATCATGGATTGTAACCCTAGACCACATTACATATATTTTTGGATCCACTACTATGTCCTTGTATCTAAGTCTAAACGACCTTCTTTCTTGATCATATCGTTACTACTTTTGGTATATAATCAATCAATGTGACTGATCGTTAGGAAATTGATTTTTTCAGGTTTCCATCTACACAACCCGGCGACCTCGGAGACCAAAGCATTACCCCCGTCGCCATTTACCTTGCCGGAATATTTCGGCCACTCATGTGGCCACATGTTTGGTTTCGACTCGAAAGCAAATGACTACAAGTTCATCAGGCTGAGAAAGGTCATCTTCCACCACGAGTGGAAACGTGTCCAGGACGGCCAGAAGGACAAGGGCGTCAGTTTCGCCGAGGTCTACAGCTTGAGAAACGATTCGTGGAGCAAGGTCGAGACCGACGTCAACCTCTACTGGTTCTGCCTTTACTCGGCGAACTCGGTCCTCGAGAGCCACGACGGGAAGTGCTACCGTTGGGAACGAGAATATTGCAACAAAGGGAGGAGTAGGACGAGGGTCCTCTCTTTCGACCTAGCGAAGGAAGTTTTCGAGATGTTCGAGGTTTTGGATCCTTTGCCGGAGAAGTGGCCTGCTTACTTTTACAAGGTAATTCGCCCTCGCCACGTGAGCTTCGTGAGAGGCTCGATGGTGGTGGTTTTCGACGGCGGTGAGATGATGCCGCATGCCGCCATGCTTGAGATATGGGTGATGTTGAAGTTGGGAGAGGCGGCTTCGTGGGTGAAGTTGTATGGTGTACCTAGGGGGAGTGACGGGTGGGATTACTATAAGTCTCGCCCTTTGGGGTTGTGGAAGGACTGGAAGTGTGTGTTCGTGAAGAAGAAGGAGGAGAATTGGTCGGTTCGTGGAGGAGAGGTTCTTGTGTTCGATCCTGAGATTCGAGATGCTGCTGGTCTCGAGGTTCGAACCGATTCGGAGGAAATTAGGATTATATGGGATTATACTCCGAATCGAGTTTCGTTGGCTGGGTTTTCTGATACAGATTGAGGATGGAAGATTGTGGGGTTTTTTTATATAGAATTGGGTGTTCTTTTAGATATAGGTAGTTTCTTTTGTTTGGGTGAACTACTACGTGTACTTACTCTGGCATGCAGGGATGACAATCCATTTTATCAAACCTGTTTGACTTGTTTTTGGCCGAATAGATGGGGCGGATCATGGGTAATCTTCTCTATCTGACCTGCCTCATTCTAATCCGTTCTTGTCTAAATCACGTGTAATTTAACGCAAACTGCTAGAATTTTACTACTACTACTATTATTCTATATTTTAGCTACAATAATGTTACTCAAACTAATTTTCTTGCTCAATGGTATGAGTTGGAATCGGCCACTTTGTACAAAACTGATTGTTTTTTATGAGGCATTTATCGTATTTCTAAGTGCAACTAGTTATTATAACATTTAGTTTGAAAGAGTGTTTGTGAAACCTCATACAACTTGCACTTAATTATATGTAAATTCCAGCTTACCACAATCTGAGTCACAAAGTTGACCATTTTGGCCTGACAACAGTAATCATAATCTTATAAAAAAAACTTGTTTCTTCATTTTAAAACTTAATAGTTGTCAATTTAGAAGAAAAATGAAGAGTTAATATTATCCTTTTACTCGTTAATATTACCTTGGATGAATTTCAATGAGAAACTAGATAGAATAAGGTCTTTAACTTTGTAGTGGGGAGAGCTATTAGGGTTAACACTTATCTCTTATACAAAACACATATCATCTAATGGATTTACACCAAGAACCAAAAAATTGAAAAAACAAAAGCATGGAAACATAAAGAAAAATGTTAACACAAAAATCTTCATTTGTTAATAATTAAGAGAATTTTTAAAAAATCTTTATTTGATTTAAGCATGGAGCCCATAAAAAAGAAAATGAGGGGATTTATGGTTTTGTTTGCTTATATGGGCAAGGACTAACAACTAAATCAAACTCCTTTAGACCTTTACTATTCGGGTTGAGGATTTCTCTGCCTTGTTAGTTGAATAAAGAAACATGTTCATGGCTTTTCGAAATCGTGTTTATGTAAAGACATATATTATTGATATGTTTTCGCTCTATGAAATATGTCTTGTTGTAAGTATTCTAGAAAGAAGGGTGTGGAATTCGTTGGTACAGGCTTAGAGGTGACGACCAATAAGGTGTCATTCGATAAATTGTTTGAATAATTACGTCTCTCTACTGATTCAACAAAGAATTAGATTTAAAATTCATGTTTTTATGGATATACATTGAACAACCGCCTTTTATTTGGAGAAATAAGTAGTTTAGAAAATCTAATTTATTGAATTATCAATATGTCATGGACCTGTCAGTCTTGTTAGACGATCAAAGACAAACGCTCGGTGCATTTCACGATTGTGTAGATATGAAAATTTATATTGCTAAGATGGCCTCCCTATGGAAATTGATTTTTTCAGGTTTCCATCTATACAACCCGGCAACCTTGGAGACCAAAGCATTACCCCCGTCGCAGTTTACCTTGACGGAATATTGCGGCAGCTTATGTGGCCACAAAAATCTTCATTTCCTAATAATTAAGAAAAAAAATTTAAAACTGTATATTTTATGTCTTTGATTTGAGAGTGCATCCCGTGAAAAGAAAAGAGAGGATTTGAGGCTTTTGTTTGCGTATATAGTAAAGCCTAACAGCTAAATCAAGCTCCTTTATTAATCTGTTTAAGGATCTCTCTACTTTAAAACTTAAGTGTATATTATCTTCGAATATTCATATGAGTAGATGAGTTCAATCGCTATAGACACCCAAATATTTGGATATTCGTCAACGATATTATACTAAGATGAAAATTCAATAAGTTTTTGTTGGAAGAATGTTGTAATTTTAGTGAACTCTTAGAATACACTAAAATGGGGAGGAATGTTGGAAATTTCAAATCGATTTGGAATTATGCCGACCAAACTGATTTTGGGTTAGACTGACCAAATCAAATATTATAAATCCTTGAAGGGACACACCCTTTTGATTTAGTGGAAGTTGCATTTTCATGGATAAGGTCAACCTTGATAAAGATGAACTTATGGATAAGGTCAACCTTATGGATTTGGACGAACTTATTGATAAGGGCAACCTTTCGTATGAATGAAGACAACCTTTCATATGGATAAGGACAATCTTTCATACGAATAAAGGAAATCTTTCATGAAACAACGCATGGATTCAACCCCTATAAATATGTGTGGGGTGGATGATGTCACATACGATCAAACATATTCTTCTTCTCCTTCTTTCTTCTAAAAGCATCTATGTATGCTTTAGTGTTCTTAAGCCTAGAACCTAAAGTGGTGATAGTTTTATACTACGAAGAAATTTCATGTAACCCAAGGCTTTGTAGAGGGTGGAAATATTCTTTACGGAAAGGGAACATAGTTTACTACTCTATCATAATCCTGATCACTCGGTCTCGGATTTCGTACATACACCCTCGTCTTAAAAAATCACAACATTGATGAGCTAGCAAACAAATATGAGATTCAATATTTTCAAATACCACTTTATTTCAGAATTTTCAAATTATCCACAAGAGACAAACATACTAGAGAATAAGGATTTGGATTGCTTAACCAGCATAACTAGATGCACCAAAAACTGAAGTCCACCTTTAAGGCCGAAGAAATCATATTGCATAATCTCATAAAAGACCATAAGTTGATGACCAAGAGGCAATGGAAGAACAAATTTTCAATTCTTTATTGGTACCTCCAACACACAGGCCATCACGTATTATACTCACTAAGAGGTGAGAAAAGGTAGAGGTGACAATTAGGATTTATATCTATGAATCCAATTCAATCCATCCACTAAGTTATCCACTTAATTTAATTCATTTGGATTGGTGAATTCATAAATTGATCCATATTGGTGAATTCATAAATTGATCCATAAATCCAAATGTCAAATTACAATTTAGTACCTATACATTATATATTTTGGTATCTAAATTTTATTTTTATAAAAAAATATCATTGAAAACTTACAATTTGGTGCCTAAAATTGGTCATTATGACATTTAGTACCTAAATTTTTCGAAATTTACATAATGGTCCAAGACTTGAATGTCATAAGGGGTCGTTTGATTTTGGTGATAGTTAAATAAATGTATTGTTATCAATGCATGCATAATAATATACGTGTATATACGAAAATTGGTATATTGTAGTTTACAATGTTTGGTTTCTGTGATAGTTGCTGTGTTATTTGAATAAGTTATATTAAAGTTATATTAATTTTTGGGTGAAATGTCACTTTTACCCTTTGTTTTTAATATAAAAAAGCAACACACATAAAAAGGTAGGGACATAGTTAGAAGAAAAATACACAACAATCTCACCAAAAACTTTAGATTTAACTATCACTCATTTTGAGTGATAGTTTGTGTCACATCAAGCAAACAATGCATGTATTGTTTGTGCAGAAAATTAAAAAAAAAAACAATGCATGTATTGTAAGTTTGTAACTATCTCAACCAAACAATCACCAAAACCAAATGACGTTAGATTTATAGATCAATCCACCAATCTAGGAATACAATACATCTGCCACCTCTAGGACAACAAAATTGCAGAAGAGGCGACGTGCGTATGCAAGTTAAGATGAAGGGGAAATTTTAGTAGGGCACATGTCAAAACTGGATGGCTAAACGTCGCCCTTATTTTACTATTATCGCCCTAACTTAAAACGCAAAACTACTAAATTGTCCTTCATTAATTAACTAAATTCAATAAAACAAATATCCCTTAAAATCCGTAATCCCCTTCTCCCCGTTGCCTACACCCCTTCTCCCTGATTCACCACCGACACCATCCATCCAGACGTCTTTACTTCTCCCCTGATCTCTGGGGCAGTTTCTTTTGCCTAGTCTGTATCCTTTCCCTCTCCCTTCCTCACAAAACTCGATCTTCAAGTTTCTATTTGCAATGGATTAATGCAACCGTTGTTTTTATTAGCATTTGGGGCCAATATGTTATTCAAATAAGGTGAAGGTGATCGTCAACGGGGAGAAGAAATGAGTTGTATTCATGGAATTCGACACGGAACTGGTAGACATTCTGTTTGGTAATCTCACGCTACCCATGGCCACCATCATGAATCACCCTCTACCAAAAGCAGCCGCCGGTAACGTTAGTTTGTGCCGACAATTGTCCAAGAACAGATCGGCGACGGCGGATTAGTTCTGTTTTTATAATCCCTTGCATCCGGAATTGGCCAGCGGCGGTGGAATGAATACAGAAAGCTCATGGGAATTTTGTATGGACTATGTTAAAATAAAATATTTTTTAAGGAAAAATACAAGGGTAAAAAGGAAATAAAAAGATGTGAGTTCGGGCGATTTAATAAAACTAGAGTCTAGAGCCACAATTAGTAACCCCTGTCAAAAAGCCCCAAAATTTATAACGGATATGATATGAAATTAAAGCCCACAGTTGGCCTGATTGGGGATTGAATGAGGAAGAGGAACCGTAGTAGGTCTGATATGAAATTGAAGCCCATAGTTCTGCAACAAATACAAACTAAATCTCACTCTGCAGAAACTGATTTCGCCCAGAAAAGACCCCCGGTGATATAACAATACTTAGCCAGTAAAAAGCATAACTTGCCGACGAAATAAAAGATTCACGGTAGTATTCAATATGGACCCAAAAATGTATAATTAACCTTGTGAGGCCAATTCCATCAGTAGGTCAGTGAAAGAACATCGTATAGAAGTAGCTAGTCTGAAATGAAAAACAATTGAAAGAACTCTAGATAGCGGCAGAAGCAAGCAATTGCATATGGAAATATAGATCTGACAGGAAACAGAGAAGAGGGAGATCTCAATGTATCCGACTCTGATATGCAGCTTTAAATCCCTCAATATAACCCGTTCACTCAACAGGGAAACTATCACTACAAACATTGCAAGTAACCTTGCACGGTAACCAAATTGACTGGTATAAAAATAAAGGACATCGGTTAAACCAATGAAACAACGAGCTTACTGGATGGCATTCAAATGAAACTCAGGGTATCCAATTCTGACTCGGTAGAGTATTCATACATGACCTGTTGAAATGAAAACAGAACAAACCTAGAATTTTAAGCAATCCAGGTTCTGACTTAACCTTTCCCACTGGGTTTAACTTTTAAGAGACTTAAGAATTCTGGTGTGTTCTAATCCACCTTCCTATCAAACCCTAAAAGCTCAACTCTCCTATGTGGCAGTAGGATACCAGTAAGATCTCAAATAGATAGTCGCAACGATGAAAAGGGTGAGGGGCAAGTTCAATTACAGCTTCAATCCAAGTCTGAAAACCCAGTTTTTGTGCTTTTGCGTCGTTGGACAATGGCTTGCCAACCTGCCCAGCAGTGAGAAAAAGAACGAATTCAACATCCTTCATTCAAGTCGGCCTTGGTTTATATCCCAAAATGAAACTAAATAGCCTATGAAAGACAACAAGTGGCCTACCAAACATAATCGCACAAATACTTGCCCTTGAAGTTGTGAAATGAGATTGACAACAAAAGAGAGGACTCAAATAGCAACATGAGAGACCAAAATTATACACAACATAATCAATAAATGATAAAGAATCATGAAAGCAGACCATACCTGAATGGTTCCTAAGATATCGATCCATAGCTTTTCCCTCTATAGCAGGGTTTTCAGTAACGGCTACGACAACCTTTTGAAGAGTCTCCGAGATTATCTTCACCTCCTTCCAAACAACAACATTCAGAATGCTAAGAAGAAGCACCTCTTAATGTTGTATATAAAGAATGGTCAACAATCTGCTACCACCCAAATAGATTAAACATTTGCACTTTATATCAAATTCAATATTAATCCATCAATTCATGAAGAATGGATTTCACAAATCTGCATGGGGAAGGAGGTAAGAGGATGAGCCGATCTGTCTGTTCTTCCTTGGCATAGTTCTGAATTCTGATATGTCCATGACAACTGTGAGAAGAGATGTTAACAAAGCAGTAAGGATATCAAGCACTGAAAACAGAGAAGTCAGTAAATAGTCAAGGCCTAACGAAGCAACAGTAACATTTACCATTCAGCCATCTTTACATTTGAGAAATAAAGCAGAAGGAACAATTGTTGACAGAAAGAGCTACGGTGAAATGTTTGGTATAAAAAGAAGGAACCGGAATGAAAGAAATTGGTAATAAAGGACCAAGAGACTTGTGCTGGTGACAGTGACAGTGACAGTGACCAAAAGGAGTGTGATAGCCTTTGCAATTCTGAAAGTGGATCGAAGTTTATATCAGGAGATCAAAGAGGTTTCATCTTGTATAACTTAGAAAGACGTAAACATAAGTGGGAACGTACCATGTTACAGAAACTGGGTTCACAAGAGCTGAAGTTCGAGGCCGAGCTGGTTTTGTTGGTGAAGGGAAAGAAGATGCAGGGGCCTTTTCCTTTATGCATATGAGATCAGAAGATATTAGAGAAAAGACAACCAAATGTATCAATTAAAGCATATAAGCGCGCAAGCACGGAGTGATCAAGAAGCTAATTTAATGCAGGAACATATCTTATTGTAGAACCTAGAGTGGACGAAGTTGAAACTGCTGCCGCTGCTGCATTAACCCTATGAAGCCAACCTGACCTGGGATGATGATCCTAAGAGCCAAATAAAATGAAAAGAATGACATTGGCATTCAATAATTAAAACAAAAATGCACGGCCATCCTTGTGAAGTCACTTACATTATATACACATATGGAACTGTTCAACAACTATGACATAGTTAATTCCACAATCAACCTGAATAAATAAACTCAAACGGAGATCATGGCCATTACTGTAACAGTTGGCGGAAGATAGATTACAACCTAGCTGCTATAAAATTTGCCAAACCCGGTATAAACATTTGCTCTAATAGACCGACTTACTGATCCGCATATTTAACAGGAAGGGATTGTAAGTATTAGCTTATCCTGGTAAGAGAAACCCAAACACGTAACGAAGTTTCATTTTGGTTTCAGCTACTCTTCTAATGAACTGATGCGGCATACCCTCACAATTTGACACTACTAAAAACTCACTAACACATAATGGATGAGGAAACAAAGAGCGTGAATCTCAAAAGCAAGCATGTGATCCTCTGAAAGGTGATGTTCAAGCCTTTTTAGATGAATCATAATCAAACTGGGGGGAAATTCAACAATGGATGCTGGTATTACAACTTATCATTTCAATGGGATTTATATGGTTAAAATGAAGTACATCCAATCTCCAAGGAATCTAATGGAAGATATTAAGCAACACAAACACATATCAAATCACTTAACTTCAATGTTATCTAACTCAGAAGCTACATAGAGTACTCAGTTTTACTAGGATCTTCATAACGCAACAAAAACTACAATATCTCAGTAAGATTCAAATTCTCTGTGTCAACGAAAAGCTACTCTTTTGTAACCATGAAATGAAGGAATGATAGGCTATAATGCATGAGAATAGAATCGTTACTGATCAGAAGCTAATCTGTTTCCAAGGCTCCAAAAGTATGAACGTCTGTAGGATGTACATATATAGGCTAGCTACTCTGTTACTCTTTTTACCCTGGATAACACATGAAGACAGCACCTTCAGCCAGAGGTATGATCAAATAAACTCTGCAGAGAGTGGTGTCTGATCAAATAAACTGTGCAGCAAAACTGTAACATGGCAGATTAACCAAACCGAAGGCAGTCTTCTCATCCTTCATGGCATGATAATCTGAATAAAATGGTGTCATTCCATACACAATTAGAGATAAACAAAAGCAAGCAAGAAAAAGACGTCATAGCATGAGTGATTGGACCACCAAACAGATGACATTAAGTAACCACCATATTGTCTGAAAGAAGTCCCTCTTTTACATTGTTTATAATCATGCGAAATCATGGAATGTAGATTCAATTGCACGCGAAACCAATAATAAAGAAGGGAAAAGTGGAGAAACAACATCTTCCTAAACCAAATCAGGTGGAGCAAAAATGCAAGCATCGGCTTCCATTAATCTTAACTGCAGAGAATAGTCACCATCTCCAAATGATAGGATTGAATCTAGTCAAAACAGCTGCCAAAAGGAAGCTGTAGTCAAATAGCAAACGTGGTTTAAAATCATACTTCTTATAACTATAGCTATATAGAAGAATACCTACAGTGTGTGCTGGGAAGAATCATTAGTGACAGACATGAAAGCCCCTCATACTGCCCCTTTCACCATCAACCTAATGCTATCCCAAAGAGGCTGACCCGCTGCAATATTGAGTTATAGTCATACATCTGACAATACCTCAAAGATAATAGAAATGCAGCTGTTTGTTTCCTAACTGAGTTCCAATCTCAACCTAATTCCAGCATCTTTTACTTCGATACCACTTGATATTTCTCATCTATTGTTGGGTGCTGCTGTTCTTTGGCCTTCGGGCCCATTGATTCATCAACTACATAAGCCACCAAGTTTATATTGTAAACAAAGAAAAGAAAAATGGTACACCATTCCAAGTAAATCATGTCCAGAAACTCATAGCGTTTAACAAATCCCTGGAACTTAAACTTAACTTTCTAAAATTAACTCTCGACCGAACTTTAAAAACCATCAAGCTCATTGGATTGTTGACCCCCCATCCTCCCATGTCCATCCGACTGTTGGTTGTTCATCCTCCGACCTCAGAAACTTGGATTGAGGACATCCATCCACGCTCTTCATTCATCCACCCACTGGTCAAAATAAATCAAAATTACAAGAATCCATCCGTGATGAGGAGGAAGTAACGCTACTTAAATATCTTCATATTCCAAATCCATTTGAGTTGGTGGGTCAATTGGTTCGTATAAGAGTATAATTCAGCATCTGCAATTTATTTGAAGTAATAAATAACAAAAGGAAGGATAAAGCTGGAAAAACAATAATCCAACCAATAAGACATTGAGTCTTTACAATTATTTGGGATTCAATATCTCTCTTAGATTTTATAAATTTTGAATATCTGAACCTAAAATCAACAATATAAAATGCATTAAAAAACACAACTGCCTCCTAGATGTAGGATTCATACTCCAAATCGTATTCTCCAAATGAACCCTAACTACTTGAAATTATGTTTTGAGACTCACCGGTTCAATCACATTGATGGTTCAGCGGTTCAGGGTTCGAAATAACTAAAATCTACATGGAGAAGATTGTTTTCCGAAACCCATCAATATAATTTTATAATTAATGGATATATGTGTAAAAGCAGAGAAGTACATTTACAAGTGATTACCAACCGTTGAGCGAGGGAGCCGTTGCTTCACTGCTGTTTTGAAACCAAAACTTGTAGCTTCCGTCGCGTAGACCTTGCAGCTCTTCGTACCTTGGCTGGAACACCAAGCCGAATGCTGAACTGCTCGTTATTGAGGGAGGGAGTTCGTGGATCACCACTCTTGTGCATGCCTCGCAACTTCTCAAACTCTGGAATTTGAGTAAACCAGCGAGAAACCCTCGGATGGAACACCAAAAAGTGAGAGGCTTCAAGTATCTCTTCTAGTTTAGTGAAGAACTCTAACTCTCCCCTTCTCAAATCACAGCACAAAATAACATTATTATCGTTACCAATGTCAAACTGATTGAAGAAGACAATTTCTGGCTTCTGTGGATGCAGAAAAGGTTGATAAAAGCCCCCGGCTTCATAGTTACCACACTTTGATGTCTTGTTCACCAGCCCCTCACATTGTTTTCTCCAAGATTTATGATCTTCTTCCAACCTCCAGACGCTTGAACGAAAAGGAGGAACTTCATTTTCTAGCACAATTACGTGCAAGGCATCTTGACAGACGGCAATAGACCACCGCGGTTTTGCAAGGAATGCAGAAACATCAATGGAAGTGGGTGGCAAATCGAAGCGGAAAGGATTAAACCCTGCCACAAATTGAACACCGCTGCGAGGATATTCAAAATACTTCCAAAACAACTCCCCGTTGCAGGAAACTACACTTTTTATCCCCAATCTATGATGACCCTTACGTACAAGGGCATCCTTAGTCCATTCTCCAGACTCGGAACAAAACACGTCTAGTCTTACAAATGATGTTGGAAAGATCTGATGATATATACACACAACCCGGAACCGATCCCCGGAATAGTAAACAGATGCCTGGGGTTCACAAACTAACCTTGCAACGGGAGCTCCGTAAATCACTGACTTCTTGGGCGCTAAAGGAATAGCATTCCACTGCTTCGTGAACAGGTTGCAGACCAAGTACGACCTGCTATGCATCTTGTCGTCGCTATATGTATCCCAAAACCCGCATAAAACTAAGTCATTTTTGCAATCCAAAACTTTAAGAGCGTCTCGGTCTTCAACTCCATTAGGCATGGGAGGGAGAAAACTAAGAACCATCAATTTGAGATCGTTCGGATTCATGGTCAGGCGGTGAGAAACAAAACGGCGATTGAAGCGGGTGCGGGAGATGACGGACCTCCACCGCTGACAGACGAGTTTGCAGCGGCAGGCGAATCTAGGATTGGGAAGGCGAATCATAATCTCTACAAGAAGATCGTCCCCTAGCTTACTGATCAGAAGGTTTGCATCTGAATTGATTCGTCGTTTTTTCCCTGAGCAGCCATGGAGTTCCCTCAGCGGCCGATCACAATCCGAGGAGCGGCAGCCCTCGGTCGCCATGGCGTATACAGACAGATCGGACGAAGATAAGAAACGCCGATGACGGAGGAGAAAGGATTCGGTGGAGGTGGAGAGAAGCTAGCCCGGAGCGCGAAGAGATGTGGAATCCTCTTTTTTCTTTTTATGGGCATTAAGAAACCGACCACAAATGGTTTTCCTTCTCGTTTGCATATACGGCGGCTGCTGCTGACAGGGGTGCAAGTGGGCCGGGTAATACGGTTTTTACTTTCTTTGCTGGGTCACGGCCGACTTTTATGGATCAAAGGCCATGGGCCTTCCTGCCCTGGACTTCTAAAAGTTCTGCTGCAAAAATCAAAATACAAGTCCCAGACCTTGACTACCCAAGACATTAATCAATGAATTCAGAAGATCATGGTCTCTGAGTTTTTGGAACTAAACGAATTGAGCTTAATTAGCAGAAACTATCACAAACATTCACAATTAATACAAAATAATCACAAACCGTTAATTTGTAACGACTCGATATCAATAAACGAAGAAGGGCGGCAATTAATGACGCGGAAATTTTCTACGAATATTAAAGACACCATATGCAAGATTGAGACAATATTTTTGGTTCCTTTCCGCTGAAATATTGCATCAGAGAAGAACAAAGGAAAAGGGGCAAGCGAAGGATAAGGAGAGAAGAATGGAAGAAAGGCTTAATTTGGTCCGGGTGAGTGGAGACTGGAGATCGGGTGTGTTGGGTGGTTTGGTTGGTTAAGTTCAATTTTATTATTAATCATTTTGATTAGGTGGAGTGTTGATTAGATCAAACTGGTATTACTAATTCGTTAAGAATTAAAGATTTGTAACCATTTTGCACTAAATGTCGAGAGCTAAATTATCCTATAAAAATGTTATTCCTTATAGAAGTTTAGTGTTCCAGTTTTAGCAAATCCTTCATGTTAATGTATTCTTCTTGATCCGTCTCTATCCCTACCCATGTCAAATAATCAATCACAAGGAACGGACAACACACAAAGTTTTTGGTAAATACTAATTATTAGTCAAATCTTTCTCGTATTTTTTTATTAGTAAAATTTATTGAATTAATAATAATTAGCCAAACATTTGATAATATTACAAAATAACATCCACAATATGTCTAAATATATTAATTCTAACGACTTGTTTGACGGATAGATAGGTGAGCCGATCAACACTAGCTCAATTAAGAAAAAAAATTGTAATTAAATTTTGATTTATAATCCATCATTAATATAATGCACACTTTTGTCAATTTTTCAGGGATTCAAATTTCCTGCTCTCCCCTTCATTTACGATGGGGGTATTTCAGTAATTGACCCAACTCTTATTAGCAGGCGGCCAGCCTTACCCGTTTCTATTATTTTTATTTTTCCCACCAGACCCGTCCTTCACGAGAAATTATTGTATACGCCGGGACTACCACGCTGGAACACTGACGTGGTACTCCCCACAAATGGGTTTTCAACACGTGAAAAAATACCAATAAACGTTTTTGTCTTTCCTTCTCCGCTGCCGTTTAATCATCAGTGTTTCTCCTACTCCTGTCAGGCATCATCCTCTCTCATCCACTCTCTCTCTCTCCTTCTCTTTTTGGCTTCCAGTTCCAGATTTATATGAATATGAACATAAGTTCAATCAAGGTTTCTCTTCTTGTATATTTAACTGTTTATTTTAAAGTGATGAACAGATCTTGTGAAATTTGAAATGTTTGTTTTATTTAGATTTCATGGGATCTATGTGTCCCTATGAAACTCTGCAAAACACTGTAGCTTCGAAGAACTCTGCAAAGTGGAAAGGAAAACACTTTTATGGGGAAAATTAGATTTTTTTTCTCTTAGCTTGCAGCAAAATACAAATTGATGCATAGAAATTTGGGGTTTTGTGGGGATGGAACTAGAATTTTGTGGATGACGAAACCGGCCGGAATCCGCCTCTCCACAGATGATGCAGCTCAGCCGGAATAATGCAATCAGCAGATTGGATTTTGAACAAAGTAGCGGGAGGGACAGGTATTGGGGATGCAAATCGTTCTGGATTTCGAGGGTGGAGAGCGCAGCCAGTGGTGGAGAGCTGGGCGTTGTTGGTGCCGGAGAGGATTCCCGGCCGATTGTTTGGCGACGCGGTTGGTGTGCTTGGAAGGAGCTGCTGTTTAAATTCCTGGAAAAGAAGAGAACATAGAAGATTGGAATTGGGGGGTCGTGGGAGAGAGGGAACTAGCGGGTGAAATTAATAAAGATGGTAAGTATTCAATTAATTAACCATTAATTAAATTGATGGACACATGGTATGCTTTTATTCGCCGGGAGTACCACATCACCAATCCTACGTGGTACTCCCGGTGTACCTAATAATTTCTCGTCCTTCACATATTACTCTTCAGTTTCCCATGTATTCGATAAAAAAAATCTCTCTTCAGATACTATTCCTTTCACTTTCCCTTTCCCAACGTTAGAGAAGAAGAACTCGATCTCCGGCCGTCGGTTTGGACAAGAGGAACTCGATCTGGTGGCGCGGTTTTAGCCTGCGGCGGGCTGCTTCTCTAATTGCCGAGGTCTTTGCCGCCGTTGTTCGCTCTGGTTATTTCTTCTTCCTCTTCTTTGAACTAGATTTTCAATCCTCATTTCCTTTTTATCCAGGTATTATTCTTCCCATTATTGTATATGCATTCTCATCCAATCGAACTATCGAAGTCAGAACCTCATTTTCCTATTTGGCTTATACGTGTTTCTGGTGGCTTTGGTTGTCTGCGAATTCCATGTTGTTTTTGTTGGGTATTAGCGGAAGTAATGGTAGAAATTAGGATCAAGACAAAGAAAATATTTGGTGTTTAATCACTCATTTTAGAAAACACTCAATGTATGAAAATACACTAACCAAACAATGCCTTAACTTGGCACTTGTTATTACACGGCACAACTTTGTGCTTCTTTCCTTTCTTTTGTTTTTTCTTTCATTCTTCCCATACATACACTTATATAATGAATACATAATGGAAATGAAAGACAAACTATTAACTCACCACATGCATGGACCCTCATCTTCTTACACACATTACTCCATATGCATGAATCGTCCATTGAGATGACCATTGATTGGTCCATGCAATTTAATACATGTCTTAAATCTTCATCAAGTGGTTTTATTAATTGAATTTTGGCCTATCATGTAAAGTGTTTAGATGTAGATTGATTGCTAATTACCATTCAACACTCCCTCTTAATTTGCAATATGAAGTTGCTCCTTGAACTTCTCGAATTTCTCACGGGTGACCATCTTTGTCATGATATCTGATGGCTGGTCGTCGGTGTTGATAAATTCCATCACGATTAATCCTTCATTGACGAGGTCTCAGATGAAATGATGACGCAATTCCATATGCTTCGATCTTGCGTGAAATACTGGATTCTTTGTCATGGCTATGGCTGACATGTTGTCACAATGAATAATGGTTGGACCATTTTCATTTTGCTGCAAATCAGAAATTAATCTTTTTAGCCATACCGCTTCGCATGCTGCATCTGTAGCTGCGATATATTCTGCTTCCGCTGAAGATAAGGCAACATTCTTCTGCTTCTTGGAACTCCAGGAAATTGGTTTTGAACCCAGGCAGAATATGTATCCCGATGTGCTTTTTCGATCATCCAGTGATCCTGCCCAGTCACTATCGATATATCCAGTCATCTTGCTTTCTGCTTCTTCCTTGTACGTCAGGCCTAATTTTTTTGTACCTTGAAGATACTGCAAAATTCTTTTGGCTGCTGCAAAATGAAGTTTGCTAGGTTCATTCATAAATCTTGATATAAGACTTACTGAATGACATATATCTGGCCTGGTATGTGTCAGGTATATGAGTGACCCGATGAGACTTCTGTACAGCTTTCCATCGACTTTTTCAGCTCCATCATTGCGTTGTAATTTTTCGTTTAACGCCATCGGTGTTGAGATTGGTTTGCACGTTGCCATGTGAAATCTTTTCAGCATATCTGCGGTGTACTTCTCCTGTGAAATAAATATTTCTCCAGGTGACTGCTTCACTTGAATCCCAAGAAAATATTTCATGAGTCCCAAGTCTGTCATCTCGAATTCTTTCATCATGGTACTTTTGAATTCTTCGATCATATGTTGATTTGTACCTGTGTAAATCAAATCATCAACATACAAACACACCATTAGAAAATCTTTTCCTTCTCCCTTTTTTATGTAGAGAGATGCTTCACTCGGACTTCTTTGAAATCCGTTTTGCTGAAAATATCGATCAATCCTACTGTTCCAGGCTCTCGGTGCTTGCTTCAGCCCGTATAAAGCCTTTCGGAGACGATAGACTTTGTCTTCTTCTCCTTTTTTCTCATAGCCTCGTGGTTGTTCCACATAGACTTCTTCTTCCAGTTCTCCATTCAAAAATAATGATTTGACATCAAGATGGTATACTGGTAATTCCAGTTGAGCAGCTAGAGCGAGAACTGTTCTGATGATCTCCATCCTCGCTACTGGTGTATATGTCTCGTGAAAATCAATACCGGGTTGTTGTGAATAGCCCTTTGCCACCAGTCGAGCTTTGTACTTCTGGATTGAACCATCTTCATTGAACTTGACCTTATAGATCCATTTGAGACCTATAACCGGCTTTTTCTACGGTTGATCAACAAGCTCCCATGTCTTTTTTTCTCGATCATGGAAATTTCTGCATCCATTGCCTCGTTCCAAACTTCTTCTTTTGATGCTTCTTCAAAAACTTGCGTTCACAAGAAAAATATGCAACATGACTTGTTTCATAAATTTCTCGCAAAGACCTTGTTTTTAACGGAGGTGAATCCGAGTTTGTTACGACGTCTCTGAAGTCGTCTTCTTCTGGTCTAGGTGTAGAATTTCTTTCTGGCTTACAATTGGATCTGGGTCGTTGCCGGGCTCTTCTGGAATTGCTGAATCCTCCATTTCATAACTTGGTGGAGATTGAGAAATTGGATTTTCCCAATTCCACTCCGCCATCTCATAAAAGATCGCATCTCGGGAAACCACCACTTCATTCTTTACTGGATTGTAAAGACGATAGCCTTTGGACTCATCACTGTGGCCGGTGAAGATCAGCTTCTCTCCCTTCTGGTCAAACTTGTCTCGGTTTGGATTAGAGTTGTGTGCATAAGCTATGCACCCAAAGACTTTGAGGTGATCCACCTGTGGCCTCCTGTGGTGCCACGCATGTATCGATGTCTTGTTCCGAATTGTTTTGGTTGGTGATCTGTTGAGGATGTAAATTGTTGTATTGACCGCTTATGCCCACAAGTTGTTAGGAAGCTTCTTGGCTTTGAGCATACTTCTCGCCATCTCCACAATCGTGCGGTTTTTTCGTTCTGCCACGCCATTTTGTTGTAGTGTGTAACGGACCGTCAACTGCCTTTTTATCCCGTTGTTGCGGCAATACTCCATGAACGGAGTATAAATAAATTCTCCTCCACGATCTGTACAGAGAGTTTTGATTTTATGGCCGCTTTCCTTCTCAGCTACTGCTTGGAATTGAAGGAACTTGGGAAAAACTTCTGACTTTTGCTCCAGAAAGAATACTCACATCATTCTGGTGAAGTCATCTACAAATAGTAGAAAATATATTTTACCGCTGAGTGATTGTGTTTGGGTTGGACCGCATATGTCTGCATGTACCAACTCCAGTGGCGCTTTTGCTCTCCAAGATGTCTTTGGAAATGGTAAACGATGCCTTTTGCCATATATGCACCCTTCACAGATCTTGTCTTCTCTGTTGATCTGGGGAAGTCCCACCACCATATTTTTCTGCCTCAGCAATTTGAGGCCATTGAAGTTGAGATGACTGTATCTGAGATGTCATAGGAAGGATTGATCCAGATTTTCACTCTTAAATGCTACTTCGCCGTTTTGTGACATAGCAAGAGAGAAAATTCTGTTGGAAGTCATTGGGACTTTGGCCACCATGAAATTGTCTGCTTTGTTGATAATCTCGCGCACGTCATTATCAAACAATAGTTTGTAATTTTTCAGCATCAGTTGTCCCACGCTCAGTTGATTGAGAGTTAGCTCCGGAACATACAAAACATCTCGAATGAGACTTTTGTTACCTTCTTATGTGCATACAACAACTGTGCATTTTCCTTCCACTTTTAGCTTCTTCCCGTCTCCCAATTTGACTTGAGAGCGGTATTTGTCATCGATGTCGGCGAAGGACTCCAGATCTCCAGTCATGTGGTTACTACAACCACTATCCACCATCCAGGGAAGCTGTGATTTTTGCTCACCATTCAAGCATGATAAGGCCACCATATTGCTTTCTTCATTTTTGGTGCCGCTTGACTCGCCTTCTTCTTGCTTGTTCTGGAACCAACAATCTCTCTGGGAGTGGTTTTGAATTCTGCACTTGGTGCACTTGAATCTGCAGTATTTTGTTGCATGACCCGCCTTTTTGCAAATTATGCAACTCGAGCCGGTGTAGCCCGATCTTTGTTGTTGATAATTTTGTCTGTTGTTTCCTCTGTAATTGGATCTTCCTCTTCCTTGTGAGTTTCCCCCTCTCTGGCCTTGCTCCGATTTGGCATATTTACTTTCCGTCATGTTGACTTTTGACGAGAAATCTTGCTCCAATGGCGGTTTGGTGAAGCGGCTCATTCTTTGCTCGTGTGCTACAAGTGAGCCCATCAACTCGCTCATTGGTAGATTTGCCAAATCTTTGGTTTCTTCAATGACAGCAACAATATGCTCGAACTTTGATGACAAACTGCGGAGAATTCTCTCCACAATTTTTCTTTCTTCCATGACGTCACCGGTGGCTTTGATCTAGTTGACTGTCTCCGCCACACGCGAATGGAAGTCTTTGATGGTGTCGATTTCCTTCATCATCAAGTTGTCGAACTGGCGCCATAAACTTTGTCGTCGGATGGAGATTGACTTTTCAGAACCTTGAAATTGTTTACGCAAGACATCCCAAGCTTCTTTGGCCTTTTTAATGCCATAGATTCTCGGGTAAATTGATTTACTCACTGCTCGCTGAATAATTCTTAATGCGCTGGCATTTTGCTTGGCATTCTCCTTGTACTCCTTTGTCTGCTTGCCTGCTCGTTTCTTCGAGTCTTCATCCTCGTCTTGTGGATATTCGTAGCCTTCTTGGACGATATCCCACAGATCTTGAGAGATGAAAATAGGCTCCATTTGAGCACTCCAGTACTCGTACAATTCTCCATCGAAAATGGGAATTTGATTAGAGGAGGTAGCAAACATGGTGTTTGATGAAGTTGTTGCCATGGCTTTTTGAGAAAATTGTGTAGGCAAGAAATTTGGGGATTTTTGAGAGGATAAAAGGGTATTAGCTCTGATACCAAATTTGTTGGGTATTAGCGGAAGTAATGGTAGAAATTAGGACAAGACAAAGGAAACATTTGGTGTTTAATCACTCATTTTAGAAAACACTCAATGTATGAAAATACACTAACCAAACAATGCCTTAACTTGGCACTTGTTATTACACGGCACAACTTTGTGCTTCTTTCCTTTCTTTTGTTTTTTCTTTCAAGCTCTCTCACTGACAATTTCATTCTTCCCATACATACACTTATATAATGAATACATAATGGAAATGAAAGACAAACTATTAACTCATCACATGCATGGACCCTCATCTTCTTACACACATTACTCCATAAGCATGAATCGTCCATTGAGATGACCATTGATTGGTCCATGCAATTTAATACATGTCTTCAATCTTCATCAAGTGGCTATCCAATGGAGACTTGATAATGCACAACTATTATTGGTGGTTTTGCCTTCTCATCATCCCACTTTGAGGCTCCACTTTTATTAATTGAATTTTGGCCTACCATGTGAAGTGTTTAGATGTAGATTGATTGCTAATTACCATTCAACAGTTTTACGATGGTTCTTCGAGTTCATCTGTACCCCTGTGTATATTTCTTCTGGTCGGGTTTAGGGTTCCCCATTCTCATGAACAGGTAGGATTTGGGGTTGGAATTGGCCCGGGTCTATGCGATTAGGGTTTGTATCGCCTGCTTCCCTTTCAATCCGAGGAGGATTGCCGCCCCAGACCATCTGATTGTAATATCAATCTGCAATTGGAAATCCCTCCTTGGCCTGTGTTGCAAAGTCGACTTCAGTTAGAATAGCTTCACCATCGACTTCAGTTAAAATATGTTTTGTCTGTTTTGCCGCTTGACGCTGATAGTACCATCGTTTCTTCCTTTAGTAGCATGTCTCTCCTCGCACTCGACTTTCCCCTTCCATACCAAGAACTCTCGATCAAGAATTAGTGGTATGATTGAGAAAAGGTTTTGATTCAATCAAATTCATCAGGTACGAAAAAAAGAAAAAAATGTCATTACCAAGACTTGAACTCAAGTCCTTCAAATTCATAGTCAATATACCTAACCAACTAGACTACAACAATGTTTATGTATTTTTCGAATTAAAGAGACAAAATACTGAAATATCTCAAAATCATAGGACTATCCCCCGCAACAATCAATCATCGAATTAATTAATAACTGTAATTATTTACAAAGTGAATCATCATGATATACCTAGCTTTATGAATCAACTAAGTGAGTTCCTCTAATCACACAATTCTTCACCAAGAATCAAATAGTACATTTTGAGTTTATGTATGTCTTACAACTTTTACATTTATTAGGTTACATGACTTTGCAGTTTGTAGGAATACAAGGATTGTTTACAAAAGTGCTATACAAAATTTTATTTCAAAACATAAAATTTTGACATTTGTGATCTATGGTTTTGTAAAGAGACATTTTCAATGCTATAAGTGAATGACCAAAAATTATTGGCTAACAATTTCCCTAATGGTTGAGAATTATGAGCATAGAATTGAAAGACTAAATACCATTGACAAATGTGCCAATTATCATTGGCTAAATTTAACAAACAACGGTATGTGTATATACATTGGAAATTATATGGTACGCTCGATGGATTGAGGGTTATTGCATCTCCTTAGTTAAATAACATTATCTGGACCATAGATTCATCACGTAACTAAACCCTATATCATAATTCTCTAAATCCTAATATAGTACATATGGTATGTTGTATACATCTTGGCGAATCAGAATCATTGATTATGTTCTTAGTATATGTGATATTAGGGTTTAAGTTCTATAGGTTTAGGGTATATGATTTAATTATTTGAAACTTAATCTCCCTTTTCAAATTTCTTGCAATGAGAACGAAATTAGGAAGGACATTTTTGTCTTCACAATTATCTGTATTTTTTTTTATTTATTTACAGAAAAAGATAGACATATTGAGATTTGAACCATGGTCACTTCAAACAAAGTAAAGGTTTAAAACCAATCAGACTATGTAGATTTGTTGTATTTTTTTAAATTAAAAATATATACGAAGCTAAATATGAAATCACAAAACTTTTCAACAGTTAGCTAGCCCAATAAATATTCCGTAAGTACTTATTTGGTGTTTTGATACTTCAATTTTGATATTTTTATTTAATTATAGTTTAATACTTAATTTAAAATTTTATCTATATTATAAATAGACAATAACCATAAATTTGCAATCAAAATATTGTTGGTTCGAATATTTCATATCGAATTATAGTATTGAATATGTAGAAGCGATATAGAATTCTTAAATTATCATTAATTTCCAGAACTATAGTGAAGCAATCATATCTTTATGCAAACTATAGGGGACTGGTTCTCTAAACATTTTTGTCCGGATAAATACTAAGTTTTGAAACTCTTCCTAGGGGTGTGCGTGGGTCGGTTCATTTGGGTTTAGATATTTTAATCACCTAACTCATATCCCACGATTTTGAAAACACTAAATACAAACTCACCCATATAATTTAGAATTTTAACGGTTTGTGTCCTCCATACCAAATGACCAATTTACATGCTGCTTAACTAAGGACGATCTCATTGTCCAATCCCATCATTCTAATGTCAATCCATAAAAGTAATCCATATTCGCGTTTGTTAACACATGTTTCACATTGTCATTACTGTGACCGGTAACTTCGCTGCAACTAATTCGGTATTGCTCATCATATGGCCTCCAAATTGATAAACATATGGGGCTAGCAGTTTTATGACAAAACTCAAAGTGAAGACAACTCATCGTCTGGTGGAATTTTGGCGTTTGCTGGTGTCCATTAATCTAATTGCAAGCATAATGATTGCTAAAATTAAGCTTTCACGCAACACACTGGGAGTTGGCAGCCTAGTTATTCTGCTAACTTGAAAATTCGTTAGTATATACTAACTAATATCCAAAATGTATGAACTAGTATCCAAGTCTGCTGAGTATCTAGATAGCACAGACTAGTATTCTAAACATCACAAACTAGTATCCAGGTAGCAGATACCAACTAATATCCACAATCAACCAACTAGCATTTAATATGGATACTATTATGTGTTATCTGAATACTCTTATGTGTTATCTGGATACTAATTATGTGTTGTATGGATACTATTCTGTGTTGTCTAGATATTAGTTTGTGAATTTGGGATAATAGTTGATTCATGGTGGATATCAGTTAGCAAACTTTGAATACTAGTCTGTGCTCTCTAGATACTTTAGTACTTGGATACTAGTTCATGTATTTTGGATATCAGTTAGTATCTGCTAACGAATCTTCAAGTTAGCAGATTAACTTTTCCCGGGAGTTGGGGGTGCGTACTTGGAGTAAAAGTTGATATTGGGTTTGGGAAGGGATTAAGGGAAGTGGTGAGGGGAAGAAATTGTGTTTGAATTTGGTAGCAGGTAAAGTTCATGGTTCAGTTTCTTTTCGTAAAATGCTTTGATTTATTTTAGTTAGAGGTATAATATCATGGTTATGTGGGATCAAATGAACCAAAAATGAGCTTGGGGGATGGGAATTCCAACTTAGAAGGAGTGGATTAGATTTTGATAAACTCAAGTTCATGATTAACTGAAAGAATATTTAGATTTAGACTTTGTGGTATTGTGATTGAACCAAATAGGGTATTGAAAGACATAGAAGCAAAATCGGAGCAGTTGAAGAGAGAGAAGTGGTAGATGATCAGGATATTAATGAAAATGGAGAGGGTATTGAAGGACATGAAAGTGAACTGTATCAGGTGAAGGCAGAGAAGGAGGAGAAGAGCATATTGATGGAATTGAAGATGAGTGTTGGTTTTACGAGCTTATTAAAACTGCCCCGAGAAGATGAGTTGGCCAAATACAAGAAAGAGGATTGAGGAGTTGGAGATTAAACTGACAAGAAACTCAATTGAAAGAGAAATTCAGGTTCATGGAGAGAAGGTCCATCAAAGTAGCATAAATGGAGTTGCAGAAGGAGGATTAAAAATTGAATTTTGGTTTAAAACATATACGTTGAGAGATTGAAGATGGAGGGGATAAAAAGTTGGTAGTACAACGGAGAGTAGAACCTATTGGATCTTTAGATGTTATAGTTGTTGCAACTACCACAACCTATGTTTATGTTAAAACGAGGAATCATTGATTGATTTACTAAAGTTAAGGTCGAAAACTATTCAAACTACTGGAACCTGTAGATAAGGAGTGTCTAAATTTGTGCCTCATTACTTTGATCGAGTCTATTAGTACATTGGATGTAACTTTAATTTTGTCATTTGCTTTCAAGTTTTGATGGTTTTCTTTTAGTTGAGTTGTTAACATATGATTTACTTGAATCAACAACTCTTCAATTTTTTTTATAAATCCATTTCCTTTTTATTAGTGGCATGTTATTCATAGAGGAGAGCTTTGAATAATTTATGTGGGATTGTGAGGTTTCGTTTCAGTTTCAAACTATCTATGGATCGTGTGAGAATTCCAATGAGCTTTTATATTATATATTTCTGGACAATCTATTAACCAATATCATTTTAATGGGGGCTCAATTATCATTATGAAAATGGGATTAATGATACATTTTTATATTCTTAAATGAGGAGGGTATTTTCCTAAATATTCGACCTATATATTCATTCTTTATGTATAATCTCGATTGAATGATTTTCAATAAATTTAAACAAATTAATAGACTTAAACATAACATAAAAAATTTAAATATTAAAATATAAACATTCCGGCCAACGGGCCGAATTATAAGCTAGTATATAATAGAGGGTTTTCCAATATGGGTTAGCAATTTTCTCTTGAACTTAAAGGAACTGGTGCAATTTTTTTGTGGAAGAATGACACGAATATTATTTTTTTAAAAAAATTTACCACCAATATGGCGGATTAAAAAGTATTGACACTTATATTGTGTTTTGGAGAAAAAGTTAGGCGAGACCACCTGAGACTGAGGTGCCACCACCTGAGTCTCAGGTTAATAGATGGGAAGAAAGTCCCAGGTGTTGGCACCTAAGACTGAGGTGTTACCACCTGAGACTGAGGCGTGATCACCTGAGACTGAGGTGGCACCGCGCAGAACAATCCTAATTCTAACCCTAAACTCTGAACCATATGTAAAAAGAAATTTGGAATCCAAGATGCTTCTACAAATACTTCAAATCCCGGCGCATGGCGCGGGAAAAAAATCCTCGTTATTATTATTGTTTTTATATGATATTATATTGAATGATGGGCACCGCTATGCCACTGACTTTCTAACACACTAATCGTATTATTATTACTCTTACAATTATTGTTATATGCTATGTTACAGTGATAGCAAATTAAAAGGAATCAGAGTAAATTCCTGAAATTGATAGGTTCCAGAATGATAAAAGCTAAAGTGAATAGCTAAGGTCAAATGACCTATGGATAAATGGGTTATCCGAATTATGAGAAATCCTCTGGATCGTAATTCCATTCCCGGAAGTGAATGTGAAAAAGGACAAGGTTAAAATACCTAAACCTAAATTGGTTTGTCCTAATGATGAGAAATTCCAACGGTAATAAATTTTCACCTGCATTGAAAAATGGGATAGTAAAGAAATTTCCTATAAAGGACAAAGATGTTACCGTACAAGTAGTACGTGAAATGGATTTAAAAATGGACAAGAACAAGGATATTGGTCATATTCGGGATGAGATAGCATGCCTACCCATAAAAGGGTTGGCAAAATGACAACCCCTATTAATTATAGGTTTTTAAGGTAATTAATTTGTGTTACATTTAATAATCTGTATGAATTAAAAACACATATTAATTACTTTCCTTTTTTCAGTGCACTGGTAGTTGTATCAGTGCACTGATAGTTGTCTACAGGTGCAATGGTAGATGTATCACTGCAATGGTAGTTCCAAAAAAAGAACGTAATTAATATGAGTTCAGTATACTAGTGCACTGATACAACTAACCAGTGCACTGAAAAAGGAAAGTAATTAATATGTGTTTTTAATTCATACAGATTATTAAATGCAACACAAATTAATTACCTTAAAAACCTATAATTAATAGAGATTGTCATTTTGCCAACCCATACAAGGGTTAGCATGCTAACCGATCCCGTCATATTCTGTACTTATTGTACATGATGTTCATGATGATGATTTTATATTCATTGTGGTGGAACTGTGGTCGGTACAATCCGCATATCTCATAAGTGAATTAAAGTATGGTTAGTTAACCACCTGTTACAAGGAATCAATTATGTGTGGTCGACTTTTACCAAGAATCACTTGAACGAAATGTTCAAACCGGGAGATAATTTTAGGCTTAATTGCAAGTTTGGTCACTCGAATTGCTACAAAATTTCACGTTTGCCACTCAAATTAATTTATTCCATTTATAGTCACTTAAATTAGGTTAACAGTCCAAGTTTGGTCACTGGCCGTTAGTCTCCGTTAACTTTTGCTGATGTGGCGGTCAACTCTTATAGTTGACCGTTAAATGCATGACGTGGCAATTAAAAAATTAAAAAATAATTTAAATTAATTATTTTTATTTTC